ACCAAAGATAAATATTATTCACTAAATTAGGATGAAAGGATGGAAAAAAAGGTGTTTCAAGCAAATTGAACCAGGAAACAATCAGGTGTTCTTATTTAGTATCTGATATAAATTGGTTTCAAGCAAAATCAAGGCAGACAAGACAAGAGGGTCACTTCTTAGGGATCAAGAGAACAACCCAGCAATATGAAATTATATACATATATATATATACATTTCTCAAACACAGGCTTTTGTCAAAATTCCTGAAATAAACACTACTAGAATAAAAGTCACTGACAAACCTCAATGTAGTAATAGTAGGTAACTTCTATATACCACACTCACCATTAGACCAAGTGGACAAAAAATAAAATGAACCAAGAAATTCTGGATGGAATTAAATGATATCATAGATCTTAAGGACCTAGTAGATGGCTACAAAACATTTCACTTGAACACAGTATGTTTTCTTCTTAACATTCCAAGGAACATCATCTAAACTAGGTCACATATTAAGACACAAAGCAAATATAACCAATACAGGAAAACTGAAGTAATGTCCTGTATTCTGTTGGAACACAATGGGATAAAGCTAGCAACCAATACCAAGAGAAAACTGCAGAAACTAAACCAACTCATGGGAAGTAAATGACTGATGATTGAATGATGAATGAGTAATTGAAGAAATCAAGAAGGGAGTAATTTTTTTCCAAGAAATCAAGAAGGGAGTAATTTTTTTCCTAAGTGGGATGAAAATGCAAATACAAAATAACAAAACACATGAGAAACAATGAGTGCAGTCTTAAGAGGTAAGTTTATAGCTCTAAGTGTCTACATTAAAAATAATCAGGGGTGGTGGTGGAAAGATAGCTTAGTTGTGAAGAGCACTGGCTACTAACAGAGGATCCACGTTTGTGTCCTACCACCCACAGAGTAGATCACAACCATCTGTAACTCCTGTTCCAAGGCCCTCATCTGGCCTCCTCAGGTACTACATGAACATGGTGCACATACGATTATGCAGGCAAAATACCCACACACATATATACATGTGTGTATGTATCATGATAAAATTAATAATATAAGAAATCAGAGTGATCTTAAATAAATAACATTATGATACATCTTAGGCCTATGGAAGAAGAACAACAACAACAAACCAATCAGTGGGGAGAAATAACAAAAAATCAGGGCAGAAATAAGTGCTACAGAAACAACAACAAAATGCATCTACACTTGCAGTTGATTTACAGTTTTATTCCATTGTGATTACATAAAATACAGGAATTTCTTTTTGTTTTCCTAAATTTGCTAATGTTTGCTCTGTATCTCAATGTGTGACCTGTTTTAGAGAAAGGGCCACAGGCTGCTGAGAAGAATGTGTACTCTGCAGAGGTTGGATGGAATGTTATATACGTCTGTTAAGTGCATTTGATCTATGGTGTCAGTGAGTGCAGATATTCTGTGCTGAGTGTTATGAGAGGCGACGACAGTCTCTTAAAGGGTCTCAAGAATTTATTTAGGTATAGGATAGGGACAAACACTGATACAGAACCAATTAGACACCGCCACTGATTGAGTTGCCTTCATCAGTCATTCTGCCCAGGGGTGAAGAGCACCAATCTCAAGTCACCTCTCTGCTGCCTGCCCACTCTGGTCAACCAAGAGAGCACCACAGCAAGAGAGAGCAACCCTCTCACTCAGCTTTTAAGCTGTCATGTAGGCAGACCATACCATGTCCTAGGGCTTGCTGCCCCAAAAGTCATTGGCTATAAATAGATTGAAATTCCACAACAGATGAGCTACCCCTTGGTGAGAGCAGGGTATTTACTTGGGGGGAAATCCATGTCTTTATAGCTCATCATGTGTTTTATGAACTTTGGTATACCTCCATTTGGTATGTATATGTATAGAATTATAATGTCTTCTTGTTCGGTGAACTCTTTAATCATTTTGTTGGTTCTGTAGTGTTTGGTCCTTTCTTAATCCTTGGTTGCATAACTACTGTTTGGCAGGTTTTAATTTTCCCCAGTAGGCTCTTGGATGCCTTTAGTTACTGTCCTTAGTTCAAAGGATTCCTTCTAAAATACTCTGCAGGTCTGGGTTGGTGTTCTTAACTTCCTGTAGCTTATGTTGTCTTGGAAGCTTTTATTTCTCCCTCAATCATGACAGATACTTTTGCTGGATTTACAGCTGTGATCCTTCAGAACTTCAAAGTATATCATTCCAAGCCCTTTTTGCCTTAAAGGTTTCAAATGAAAGTCTGGCAGCTATTTTAATGGGCTTGCCTTTACATGTGGCTTGGTGTTTCTCATGAAGAGCTTTCATGACACTGGAGTTTCTTTTCTGGTCCTGCCTATTTGGTATTCCATAGGCTTCTCGTTTCCTAGATTTGGGGAAATTTCTTCTATAATTATATTGAAAGTATTTTCTTTGCTTTTGGTATGTAGTTTTCCCACCAACTTTTATGTGCATCATTTGTAGACTTGGTTAGTTCATGGTCTCCCAAATATCACACATTTCCTTCATAAATAAAAAAATAGTATTCTTAACTAAATGTTTCTATTCTTCCATCTTGTCTTCAACTCCTGAGATTTTTCTGTCTTCCGTCCATTACATGTTCCATTACTTTAGTGGAGCTTTCCCTTGAGCTTTTTATTTAATTTATTGAAATTTTCATCTCCAGCATTTCAAAGTGTTTTTTTCAGTGTTTCTAAATCCAATTTTTATCTTATATAGACTTCTTTATTTCATTTAGCTGCTTTGTCATGTCCTCATTCATATCTTTGAGCATATTGTTTGCTTGTGTTTCCTTAGAATTTAGGTTACCTCTATTCTTTTAGTGAGAGTGTTTGTAATATTCTTTAGGGGTTAGGTTATAGTATGAGTTAGGTGTTATTTTCCTCTGCTAGACTGGGATTCAGGCTACTGAGTTCTACCACATCTTCCCCTAAGAATAGATACCAACTGTAATGAAAGGTGCTGTCTATGAGTAGATTGTTTGATTGCTGGGTCATCTCTACTGTCCTTTGCATTCCTTTCCAAGCATCCAGAAGGTTGTCTACTACTCAGAATTCCTCTCTGATAGCAGTTCTTCTCTGATAGGAGCTCCTCTCCTTCTGTTCTTCCTTTGGGCAAATTGTTCTGTACCAGTGTCTGAAAGTTGCTCTAGCTGCTGCTCTGAATCTTGTTCTGCTTATGGTTCTGTGGCATGGACCTCACATTTTTCTGTTCTAAGGTGCAGCATAGTAGCAAGGGAAACTGAGATCAGGCTAGGGCTCTGGCTATGTGTCTCTGGCCTTACATGGACAGTTTACAGTATGATTATGGAGGGAAGAGTTGAACTCTATGAACAGGTTTCTGACTTCATAAGGGACCAAGCCTGATGTGGTTGGCTACAGGACATGATCCTGAACTTAGAATGGGGTTCTAGGCCAGGCGGTGGTGGAGCACGCCTTTAATCCCAGCACTTGGGAGGCAGAGGCAGGCGGATCTCTGTGAGTTTGAGGCCAGACTGGACTGACAGCCTCCAAAACAATACAGAGAAACCCTGACTTGTAAAACCAAAAAAAAAAACATAGAATGGGGTTCTAGGCATGATTCTCTGACACCACATGGGGCCAGTCCAAGGTATAGCATGTTAAGGTGGCGTCCTAGGTTTGTGCTGGAGAATGAACATAGGGTTTCTGACCTCACATGGGGCGAGGGCTGGTCTGAAATCTTTTCTCATTTTTGAATGGTGCAAGCAAGTGATTTTCAAGTAGAAATATAAATATACTGTGAATGGTTAGTTAACTACTCAATGTAAAAAACACCTTTGCTACTTTTTTTCCCCGACAGGGTTTCTCTGTGGCTTTGGAGGCTGTCCTGGAAATAGCTAGCTCTTGTAGACCAAGCTGGTCTCGAACTCACAGAGATCCTCCTACCTCTGCCTCCCAAGTGCTGGGATTAAAGGCATGTGCCACCAATGCCCAGCCCCCCTTTGCTACTTTTTTTATTTAAATATCTTTAGTTCACAAATATCATAGTTTATTTAAATTATTGTTATAAACATTATTATACTCATATATTTTAAATTACTGTTTACTTTTCTTACTGAATCCAAAGTGCTTACAGAACTTTGAAGTTCAAATTTTCTGCATCCAGAATGACATCAGAAATAACCACGGAGTACAGCAGAGAGAGTGAGACCAACACAACAGGTAGGAAAGTCTAAGAAAGGGGGAGTAGTTACAGTGTAGAATATCTATATTTTGGGCTGAAGAGATGATTCTCAGTGGTTAGGAGCACTCATTGCTCTTCTAGACACATATTTAGTTTTCAGCATCTACATGGTAGATCGGTAACTCCAGTGCCATTGAATTTCATGCCTTCTGACTTCCACAGGCACCAGGCATGCACATGGAGAGTGAACACATGCAAGCAAAACACTCATAACACATAAAAAGCAAATATAAAAAACTGAAAAGGAATTTGACTACATATGTCCTTAAAAGCTTATTAAAACATCAGTATCAGAATACATACAAAAACACACACAGCACCAAGTTTCGTCTAAGAGGAACATTGGAATCATGAAACAGAAGAAAATTAAAGCCATAGAGATGAGAAAGTTGTTCAGAAACTAACCAGAAGAAAGTGTACTGAGTCACATTACAGCATATGAGTCAGATATTAAGGGAAATGAAGAAAACTATCAAAATGATCAATCTTCCTTTAGTAGAACAATATGCTCTGATCTTGAAGATATTAAATTTTGAAATCTGTTTATACATAAAGACTACAGCATCACAAACTCAGAGAAGAACTCCATACTACAGTAAGAAACAGACATCTAGAAAATGGGCACTGAGCACAGGCAAACCAGCAGTTAATTACAAGAGACATCTAATTATCAGAAGATTCAGAAGTGGGTGCATGTAATAGTCCAAAGAAACATATGGCTGCAGGCCTATTCACAAACCCAAAGGCAGGTCTTTCAAGTTTAATAGAAAATAATGTAAAAGAAGTGTACATACTCTCTGCAATATCATCCCGAGAAGGGACATATTTCCTGTTTTGAGGCTGGTTTCTGGTTATAAGAAGTTTCTTCTCAAGGAGTAGATTGTCCATGGGTGCATCTTTTTTCTGGTATTCTAAAGGAACCGCTAAGGAGAAAGAAAATATATGTCAGAGAATTTCTGAACACTCAGACTTCTCACCCACTGGGAGATGGGGAAAGCTGAGCACAGGACCCATGAGTATGTGACAGTCTTTCTTAGCAGCTCCTGCCGGGAAAACAGCTCCCAGAAACCACTGATAACTGTTGGTTGTTCTCTCCCCATTTTGCCTGTTTTATTCATTTTGACTACTGTCTCTTGTTCTATAGAATCTACACTCAGGTCAGAGCATGAACTGTCCATGAAACATGCTCACATAGAATCTGGGGCACAGAGAAGTGGTCTCCTGTTGGTTTTGATGTCAAGCTATTTACTTATGCTTATTCTACTCACTGAATCTCACATCTTCAGATGTTGTTGCTCTCTCTACTTGTGCTTGGGCTTCTGACAAGGACTCTTGATGTAAATGTACATGGCTTTCATCTGGTACTGCAAAATGAACTACATAAAGAGATGCACTTAGTCTCTTCAATATAAAGGAAAAAAATCTATGAAATATCAGGGCTCAAATTTCTAATAAGATGACAAGCATACAAGAGTAATTCCTCTTATTTCCACAAAGTCCTAAGTTATCATGGTATATCTGGCATGAGTATGAGGGGGAGTTTTATCAATGGATATTGTAGAAATTGCCAGACTACTTCATAAATATTCTGTGGTACCGACTGTGTTATATTCTGATTCCTAATTTCACTGACTGCTCATGCCTTAGGTTGTTAATTATTCCTAGACAAACCAAAGAAAATGAATGTCCATGAGGCTAATTACCACTACAGTATTATTTGCAACTGTAAAATTTCCAAAATCATATAAATCAAGCACAGGTGAGCGACTAAGTAAACTAACACACGTGTTAGTAACTGGCGCTGTATAGAAACCGCTGCGTCCGAGGCGGCACAGGATGCTGAGTGTAGCTACAAAAGAACGGCGAAAAACATTCTATGATGGACTCGGGAAGACTCTTTAAAAGAATGTTAAGTAAAAAAAACAAAACAAAACAAAACAAAAACCAGCAACAAAAGAAACCAAAGTTAAAATTCTGGTTCAGAGCTTATGAGTGGCCAACCAATTCTGATCTAATATGAGGCCCTAGCCACAAGAAGAAGCCGTTGCCCAACACTGCCTGGATAGCAGGAACCAGAAGCTGGATGGCCCAGAGACCTATGGTAGAACCAAACAGGACTGGCGAAAAATGTCAATGAAGTGAATCTTAATATTTTGCTATACTTATAGATGGGTGCCTAGTCATCAGAGAGGCAGATGCAGTTGCAGAGATCCACAGCCAAATATTAGGCAGATCTTGGGGAACCCTGCAGAAGATGGGGAAAAAGGATTATAGGAGCCAGAGGAGTAAGGCTACCATGAGAACAAGGTCCACAAAATCAAGTAAGCAGGGCTCATAGGGTTTGAAGAGACTGAAGGGAAGTCACGGAGCCTACATGTTTTGCTAGGTCCTGTGCATGTATGCATATATATATATGTATATATATATATATATATATATATATATATATATATATATATATGGCCTGCTCCTGGGATGCTTTTTCTCCTACTGGGTTGCCTTGTCCAACTTCTATATAAGGGTTTGTGCCTGGTCTTATTGCTTCTTGTTATGCCTTGTTTGATTGATATTCCTGGGAGGACAGCTCTTTTCTTAGGGGAGGTGGAAGAACAGTGCATCTGGGAGTGAGGGGAAGTAGTTGAGGGGGGACTAGGAGGAACAGAGAGAGAGGAGGCTGTGGTCAGGGTTTATTGTATGAGAGAAGAATCAATAAAAGGGAGAAAACCCCTATAAATATGGTATCTAGTGTGATAATCTTTGGACCAAAAGACAAGCAGAGAACACTGTAGTTGGCTACCTGAAAGAACAATGGGATTGTAAGGACTGTGGAAGGAAGGACAGTCCTCTTAGGGCACCTGGGTGACAGCACACTTCATTCAAAAAATAAAACTAAATCGATGAGGAGGAGTAAGGACTAAACTGCAAACAAACTGCAGAAGTGAAGCAAAACCCCACATAAGTAACTAGGGAGTGAGTGTAGCCTGGACACCAGGGGATAGGCTGGTGTCCTGGTTCCTTTTCCTGTTGATGTGATGACATACTCTGGTAAAGGCAGATTCAGGGATAAAGGCTTATTCTGGCTCCCAGCTCAAGGGTATAGTTCATTTTGGTAGGTAAGTCAAGGAAGCAGATGCTTGAGATAGTTGGTCATGCTGCACCCACATTTGGGGAGAGATGCTGAAATGTCTTGGGAACATGCTTACTTCCTAGTTATTACAGTGAGACACCATGGGCTTAATGGGGCACCCCTCCCCCACAACAATGTGTCCTATAATTGCCAGTGGTATGCAGAGATTCTCAGTTACCTTCCCCTAGCAACGGCTCAGTATCTGAGCCTCTGTGTTGGGACAGAATAATAACAGAAGCTTGGGTGGTCCCTTCACTACACAAGGAAGGAGCAGAAAACAGCAGAAGGCAAGACTGTTGACCAGACAAGATTTTGTTGTTGTTGTTGTTGTTATTTAGTTGCTTACGTCCATTATCAGTCTCAACCAAACTTATTCTGGGGTCATGTCAATCAGTCTATGACAAATCAAATCTTTAGTTGGTCAATTTGGGGGCATGGAAAAGTGGTTGGTCAGATGGCAAACATGGACGAGTGAAGAGATCTAAACACAGCATTGATCATCTGCTGGACACTGCAGGCCCTGCACTACTGAATGCTTTATTGGTTTTGGGTTTTCTGTGTGAATGGCCTTAGGAAAAAGATCTTGGTGCTACTAAACAACTTTGTATGAATGTAGTAGATGGATGGCCTCTGCATTAAACACCAAGGTCAGACAATAAGCTGTGTGTGTGTGTGTGTGTGTGTGTGTGTGTGCCAGAAGGTGCCCATATCCATATTTGATGGATTAGAAGTGCAATTCCTCCAGTCTTCTCAGTAGATCCCAAGACTTGTGAAATTTACTTCCCCGATGAGGAATAGTTAGTACAAGGGGTTCCTTAGTACAGATTCCAACTTTTATCCAGACATTACACTTTTCATAATTGAGCATGACCAGGGCTTAGCCATAAACTATTTGCTGTGACTGTACAGTTCTCACCATAAGAATGAGAGAACATCAGGTAATTCTTTCTAAGTTTCCTCTGAGGCAAACAGAAGTGAGACTTCACATTCTTCACTATTGGCAAATCCCCTTCAGGCCACTAGAATTCCCGCTGTCACAACCTTTACTATTGCATACACACTCTGGTAGAACTACCCAGAGAAAAGGGTCTCTCACATCAGTACTCAGGCTGCTGTCACATTTTGAGAAATAGCTTCACTGTCCAAAGAAGAAAGCAGGCATGATTTTTCATCATTGCTGAAAAAATAAAATCCACAAGCTGTTTATCTCCCTGAGCAGGTACATCCAGCACAAGTTCAAGATGTTGGGTCCCTGGCTCTGATTGATGAGAGCCCATAAAGCCTCAGTGTCACTATTGGGACGAGGGTTACTTGAAACTGTGACAGTGATAAGTACAGGGTGAAGTTTGGCATTCATCAACAGGCACCGAGTCATACATGTAGCTTTTCTAATACAGGTGGTCAGGATTGGCTAGCTCTGCGAAGTGGGCACTCAACACATTACTTGAACCTTTCCATGGGGGACCCTGAAGTTGTAACTACTGCACAGATTATAGTCTGGAAAAAAATCTATGTCTGGGGAACACTGGCTTCCTACTACTGTATTGATAGAACCATCAAGCTAGGATTAGATAAGGGCACAGACCCAAAAGAATCACATGTTGTCTTCCACATGTGGCATGTGACTGGGGCTATTGTTTTCTGAAAGTTACAAGAAATTCCTGGTGTGTGAAAGTCCTGAGTGTGATATATAAGCATCCTGGCACCTCACTTTAGAAACAATGACTGTATGTAGTTGGCCCTCCCTACCTCTCAAGAAAAAAATCACCCAGAGCAATTGCTGGACCTGCACATCTATTGCTGCACCCACATTTCCATCCAGAGAGCTCAGACCATACCCATCTCCCTACCTACCATACAGACACCTTAACTCTGAGTAGGCCACAAACAACTTGCTACCATGGGCTCTTGCTGGAACCCTGTGACTTGTGTTTGCCTTTTCAGTGACATGTGACCTCTTGGTCTGCTGGCTGGAGCCTGGGGTAGAAAATTTGCCTTGGGACAAGCCACTAGTGCTGGAGTCCACTGAAAACACTCACTGTTCATGAAATAGTAATTTGCCCGTTACTATTCTTGGTACTTGTGAAACCATAGTCTTGCTATAAGAAACTGTAGTCAAGACATTGACTATGCTTTTGATTTTGAGTTAGGCTGACAGTGATCAAATCTGTTTAAAAGACAGATTTTTTAAATAAGATATGCACTCACGTATACATTTATGAATCAAAAGTTCTAGTGAGTTTAATTTAAAATAATATGATGGTTATAGTCATTATACTTACTAGTAAATATTTCTGCTCCCAATGATTTTTGCTTCTTTAACTGGACCTGGGAGCTTGACTGTACATTTTGGTCTTCCAGTTTAATACTTCTATCTGATACTTCACTATGAACTATATTAAGAGAGAAATTTCATCACTTATTAGGAAAAAACTTATTTCCAAAGCATTCAGATTCCAAATTGATACAAGCACAGCAATATGTTTTCATTTTATAAATTTAGAAAGATTGTGATGCTAGCTAGCTAAGATATACTGAAAATTGCTGTAACAGCAGTAATGTTTATTATAGTTTCATTGTTTTGTATTTCTAGGCATCTGATGTTTTATATTAGCCTATGATTTTCTCAGGTTCCTTGTACTTTGGTCATAGACCAACTGATGAAAGCACACATTTATCAGGCATTTTTAGTCACTGAAAATATTTAAGACCACCCCTGTTTTCCGGCACAAGAAACCGAGTGACGGATGTTTAGCAGATATCTAATGAAAAGTATACATGGCTATTAATATACACAGGATACATGATAGAAAAAATGGTGTGGATGACTGCGTGCTTCTGAGCCATGCCCTCTCTGTGCTCAAAGACGCCCCCTAGAGTCTTCCTAGTGGATGTGCCTGTGACTAATGTAAGTGTACTTTCTTCTCCCGGTGAATGCTGAAACAAATCCATGAGCCCTGTCAAATTTTACCCAAGCTCTTGGCGTAAGCCTGATAAACAGCAAATAAAAATAAGACTACAAGATGGCCAGTGTTCTTCTGACCTGCTGTGGGGGAATGGTGACCCTGGATCAGAGCTGAAGTTTGAGGTAAAAAGACATGACTTTCACTCATGTCTTTTGGATGGTGACTTGCAGGTGACTGAGCCATCGACATGTGAATGAAGGTTTTGCTGAGTGGGTGTCTGCAAGCCCTCCACTGTCCACTGTCAAAGCAGCCAGTATTGTCAGATATGGAGTGGCTGAAGGGTCCTAACTGCTTTCACCCAGGTCCCTGGGAACTGATGTAGTTAGAATCATGTCAGCAAGCTTGCTGGACACTTACACAGCTCAGAAACACTATCACCTGTCTCCAGGATATAAGAAATGCCTGCTCTCATTGCTGGTTTAAGAAGCTGTGTTCCCCAGCTGATCGTGGGAGCTTGGTAACAATTGCTTGTTGGTGACTTGACCTCGCAGTGTTGCTGCTGGCCATGGCATTGCCTGACACTGTGCCATCAACAGTGGCTACCACTCAAGCTGAGGGCAGAGGGTGTCAAGTGAATGTCCTTGCAAGCACCTTTGTCAGCATTCCTGTCCACACAGACGATCAGGGTCAGTTTGTTTTATGTGGAAAGAGTTACATCTTTCCATAGGGGATGGCCCAGGAAAAGCAGCACTCTTGAGAAACAGCAGACTATCATGGTCCTGACCACGTCCTTCTCTGGGACCAGACAACGGCAATGCCAGAGAAGACTAGAGTCTTATTAAAACACAGCTGGAGCATTAGTGCAGGTCAGAGATCTAGACATAGCACCCATGTGGAATTTGGGGGAAAACTTAGGAATAAGTAGGTAATTTCACAGCAAAGAAGACAGCTGCCAAGTGTTATGAGCTTGCCATCCTAGCAAATGACAGCCACTGGGACTATTTGGTTTTTGGAGCACTTTCACAGCTTCCATCAGCTACGTGAGGGCTCACCCATCTGGCTAACAGACAGGAAGCCCTGGAGGCCTTCTGTCTTAGGGTTACTATTACTATGATGAAACACCATGATCAAAAGCAAGTTGGGGAGGAAAGGGTTTATGTGGTGTATACTTCCACACTGTAGTCAGGACAGGAACTCAAACAGGGCAGGAACCTAGAGTCAGTAACTGATGCAGAGGTCATTGAGGGATGCTACTTACTGGTTTGCTCCCTATGGCTTGCTCTGTCCACTTTCTTTTATAACCCAGGACCACCAGCCTAGGAATGATACCACTCATAATGGACTTGGTCCTCCCCCATCAATAATTAACTAAGAAAATTCCTTACAGCCTGACCTTAAAGACACATGCTCTCAGTTGAGGTTTCTTCCTTTCAGATAACTCTAGCTTATGTTAAATTGGCATAAAACTAGTCAGCAACCCTTCAATAGGCAACTCTCCAATAGACAGCCCTTCTCTTGAGGCTCTAATGGAGTTTTCCTTCCTGTCTCAGCAGACTCTTTGATTGACAGTTGGAATCTATGGAAAGGATCATGGAACAACATCCACTATTGCAGAAAATAAACACCAAGGAGCAACTGCTAAACAGTTGTTAAGTCTTGGTGAACACTGAGCCATTAAGTCTGCCAGGAAGGGATCTTAAGACCAGAAATGTCCAACAATTCCAGAAAATTTGGTTTTCTAATCATTTTAATGATTCACACTTTAGGTCACGATACAACATTTCTATAAATTATATGCTCATGTGTATATTTATGAACTAAAGAAAAGGATTTGATTAGATTAGTGCTTTAAATTTGAAGTTAACTATAACTTTTATACTTACCATTCTCCGGTTTGAAAAATTTTAGTTTCTTTGCCTCGATTTCGAATCTTAGCTCTGAGTCTTGATGTCCAGAACTTTTGTCTGGAATTTCATGAGAAACTGCAGGAAGAAATGCATTTTACCTCTTATTAGAACACAGAGACATTTTTTAGTTCTGCAGATTTCAAAGTTACAATAAGTGTGCAGTAGAATTTTCCCTCATTTTGATAGTAGTAGGAGAATTACCACAGGATCACATGTAACAAGAAAATCAATAACTATATTTAGTGGTTGTGTGTTGAAGCTCCAATTTACATTTCCAGGTATCTGCTCTCTGTTGGTCTCTAACTTTCTTGTGTTATTTACCCTTTAGGCTAAAATGTATCAATAGAAACAGAAATGAAAATGCACATGCTCAATGTCCAGGAAAACAAACAAACTCTGACACAGAGAAAGCTTGCACACTAGCTTTGCATTTAGGAAGAGGAATACCTAGGAAATGGAGAAGGAGCAATGGTTATTTGTTTACGTTTGCGGTATTGGGGTTAAACCTGGAGTCTTGTGTCTGTGAGGCAAGCACTGAAAAGCTAAGCTACTATCCCAGCCTTCTTTTTCCCTTTTCCTTTGAGACAGGCCCGGAGTTGCCGAGGATCACCTTGAATGGTCTTCCTGCTCAGGTTTCCTACATGATAGGCATCTAGGCCTGCACCACCTGCCTACTGAGATGGGTATCTTTTCAAAACTAGCCCAGGACAAAGAGGAGGAGGATGGTGGTGGTTACCTACAAAATGAGAGGCCAGGGCCGGGGAAGAAATGAAACTCCTCTAAGTATATTTGTCTATGGATTTTTTACTTCAGGGGAAAGTTCAGGTTTCATATATTTGGGATAAAAAAACTCAATCAGTAAGCATATGAGGTGGAATGAAAATAGAAAACAATGAAATTAAGATATTAAAGAAAAAATGAAAGCAGTAAGTCAAGGATATAATATTGGCCATAGGCCTGCACTGTGTACTGGGCTTGGCAGTTAGGAAATAAACCTAAATTGCTTTAGGCTATATTGTTGTTCCAGAGGCATGTGCTGAGCAATTTCAAACTGATTATGGGGGCTGGGGCTTCTTGGGGTTTTAGCTATCCTGGCCTCTGAAGCTATAAAACCAAAAGGGCCTTCGGTTTGGTCACTGAGGGCTGAGACACCCACCACGTACCCATGGCCCTCTGCTGCTTTCTGCATTAAAGTGTCTGTCCCTTGTCAGGAGCTCTTTTGGGGGCACAAAAGAGAATTTAACCAGGGCTTAATAATGCAGCAAGACATGGTTAATTGTTACCTTGGGATTGGTTTGTTGTCTTAAAAGACCAACTGAAAAACTGACACCCATCTTTGTCAAAGTTTCTGAACATAGAGCAGCCATCCTGAGCCATGGTGTGTGATTTGCATGTGTCTGCCATGGATGCCCTCTTGCTCTGTCCCCTTGGAGCACTAAGAATGCCCTGTGAATCAGGGTCTAACTCTTCTGAGTTCACCTGGCATGAGCACAGGCTCCAGACAAGTCACCTGGCACTTCACCGTCCTTGCTACCTGGTGGCCCTCACTAGGCACAAAGACCTCCTAGAGGGAGCAGCTCCTGACCAACTGCCCATGCTCTTGTGTGTGAACCCCATGTGATTTCCAACTCCTACAAGACCTTGCTGGACACAGATTCAAAAGCTCTATCTTTGCCTGTGGTCTGGCCTGCACTGGTTGACTTACCTACACCCCTCCACTCCTGGGTCTTGTGCCACAGTGTTCTCTGTGGTATAACTATGACAACCATACCTCTAGATCAGAAGAAATGAACAGCATGTAACACCCCACGAAAAAGTAGTGGTAGATGCACAAAGCCTTTCTAGAAGAAACAGTGTTTGGACAGTGGTGATTGTAGGATACGCTCAGAAGGGAAGGCGCTTCAATGGCAAGACAGGGTTCTGACTCAACACTCTGTTAGCTACACCACTAGCCTTAAAATGTGTTGGCAGCCCCACAGGGCGTTCTTGATGGCTATGTATCACATTTTCAAGATTTTCAACTTTGACTGGGACCATAATCCCTTTTAACTTCGGATATGATGACCAAAATGTCCATGTACCAAACAAGAGCTCCAGCCCAGAGACTCTAAGAAAGAGGTGACATGGGGGTCAGTTTTTGTTTATGGCTTATGGTCCTAAGGTGATGAGGGCTTTGCACACTGGGTTTCACCAATGGTAGTTACGAGTTGTAAGCATGCCTATGATACAGTGAGTGTCAAAGACTTGCACTTTTGTGAGAAAGTCCTGAGGATCACCTTGCCTAACCATCCAAAGACTTTGGGACCTGAACTACTTGCCTCCATAATAAAGGGAGAGGGTCGGGAATTTTGCTTACCTTAGTAGGGGAGTGGCACAGTGTAGCCTTGTCACTATACAACTTTCCTCAGAGCCTTGGCAGCTACACTACCCAAAGAGGGGAGGAGCATCTGAGAGTCCTTACTTCCTCACTAGGTACCATTTGGTTTTACATGATGTCTATGTACTGGGAAAAAAAATACATCTAACCTTTGCTGAGACACTATACACTTCTCCCAGGTCATGGAGACAGAAGACAAAAAGTCAAGATCTATACTCAGAATCAGATTTCTAGTTTTATTCCTGCCACCTTCATTAGTTACCTAGGTAAACTAACTTTATTGGTTATTGCTATTGTGCACGCACATATGCATATAAAGATCAGATAACAACTTTGTGCCATTTCCGTTTTCATGGAATTTGTGATCAAACTTAGATCATTAGGCTTGTGCAGCAACTGCCTCTATTCACTGAAGCATCTTGCCAGTGCTTACATAGCTGACACAAACCCTCTGCAAGACTATAGCAATTGATGTACAGTAATATAAAGGTCTTGATGGACACACACTAGAAAAGCAGTTACCATTAAGACAGCACTGCTTGATTGGAAGACACTGGGACCTAACATTGGTAAGTGGACACCATTCCTGAATGATGTAGGTAAGGTTTCCACAAGAATCTCTGGTCCTTGTTACTTCACAGTGTGGTCTGGGTCACTTCAAGCCCTTACTTGCATTCAGCCTTACTCAGGCCCTCAAGAAGTGGTTTTCAAACTTCCTAATGCTGTGACTCTTTAATACAGTTCCTCATGTTGAGGTGACCCCCCCAACAGCAAAATTAGTTTTGTTGCTACTTCATAACTGTGATTTTGCTATTGTTATGAATCATCATGTAAGGTTTTTTATTGTATTTTGAGATAGAGGTTTGCCAAAGTGGTCATGACCTACAGGTTGAGAACCACTGCTGTAGAGGAACACAACAACGTAAAAGAGGTCCAATGGTTGATGGTGTTACTCAGATATCTACATTCCCTTCATTCATATGGGCATGTTTCTTGAGACCCACATGTGAGGTACCAGAATGGCTTCTTCATTTCAGGGGCCATGAACACGAGGATGCCCAGATGTCCTAACAAGGCTTTCCAGGTGACTCCTTAGGCTCTCTGGCTCCTCATTTGTATTTAGCTTGCTCAGCTCAATAGTGTCTGTATTTGTGACTGGAGCCTATGGCAGTAGGCCAACACTCCCCAGGTCTGAGACACCACAACCTCTAAGAACTGTGCATGTGCATGCGTGCGTGTGTGTTTTGCAGGGTAGTTAGGGGATGAGATTATGTTCTCATGTTCTGCTTCTGAGGTTACCAGGAAATAACAAGTTTGGTCAAATTCTACTATGGGAATATACTTTTGTGCTAACACAAAACTCCAAAGAGACACACCATAACTCTGAAAGGGACACTATTTTGGGAATCTATAGGACTCAAAGACTAGTATATTTTGCAGCCATTAAATAATCTTAGAGACAGAATTTCTAGTTGGGAGGATGACGAAGGGGACTCAAGTTGAAGGTCAGTCTGAGCTACATAGTTCTAATATTAATTCTTTCTTTTTAGTTAGGGAATTAACATTTGAGCAGAGGGAAAAGTTTTCCATGAATATATGCTTATATGCATCTTCATGAATCAAGTGAGAGACCATCCAGAGAAGCTAAAGGAGAAGAAAGCTACTGGAAATATTGATACTCACCAGTGGGTCTTTCTCTTTTGTGCATTTTCTGCTTCTTTGTTTGAATATCTGCTTTTGACACTGAGCCTGGACTGTCGGGGCTGAGTGCTCCATCAACATCTGCATCAGGGGCTGCATAAAACAGATAAATTTAGTTCACTGCATAAAAAAGGTTTGAAACTGGGTGGTGACACATGCCTAGAACTCCAGTACTCAGAAGGTAGATACTGGGGGATTCAAGGTCATTTTTAACTACACAACCAGTTGAACACCTGCCTGGGACAGATGAGACTTTGTCTCTAACAATACTTAAGTTTGAAATCCCAAAGTTCAAATTTTCATTACTTCTTCTTCTTGTTTTTTTTTACATAAAGAATGCAAGTCTCTCCAGTTTAGTCACCATTGATCTGCAGAGATAAAGAAACCTGAACAGTTTCTTCTGCCTAGGGGAAGGAGTTTTGTTAACTCCATGTATGAAAGTGACCGCTTCTGCCAGTAGACTGTGGCAGCCCAATGGCAGGCCTAGGGGAGGGTACTAGCTAACAAAAAATCCACATTCTGCTGACTTTAATACAGATAAGATGCATGGACCAAATATTTTGGTGAAATTCTTTGAGAAAGTTGAAGGAGCATGGAGTCTCATTCTGGTGTAGCTAACTGTCAAACTTTGGTCTGCCTTGGCCCCAACAAGTACAAAAGAAGTGGTGTAATTTGTGGGTCTCTTCTGCTGGGAAGCCTCATTCCCATCAGTTGGATGCCACCAGAAGTAATCTATGAATCTCAATTTTTGAGTGAGTCTGAACCTACAGATTGCCTTGGAGGTCATCTGAGAGGCCACCATGGCCACTGATCACAATCCTCATCAGCCCCTCTAAACTACACTTAACATACAATTCCAGCAACAGTTCTGCTCAGCACTGGAAAGCATATGGAATAAGGTCACTGCACAGGTTAGTGGGATGAACTGGCTTTTAGACCTCTAACTTTCTGGAGCTGGTGAAAAGGATCACACATTCCTAGACAGCATGTAATCATGCCTTTGAAATTACTACATCTAGAACTACTAAATAAAACCAATGCATACTCTGGCTTTTGTTTGCAGTTATTGCCAAATGGAACATCACCATAACATAAATGGTAAAATATAGATTCTTGAACCAAAGACCAGATTTTTGGATGTGATGGAGACAATTTTAGTCTATAGAGGCACTACAGTGCATATATGTGATTTAAGCATCCTGGAAGCTGAGGCAGGAGGACCATCCTTAGCTGGTCCCATTCTAAAACTAAAACATAAAGTAACTAGTAGTTTTTATGCTCATGAGCAAGCCCTTTTCCTTTAGCAGGGTCTTGTTTCTTTGCTGAAATTTTGGCTTTTGTTGAGTATTCATAGACCACTCTGATTCCTCCTCATAAGCTATAAACAGAGAGAAATAGTAACTGTGCTAAGCATAAAATGAACTATTTTAAAGTCTCTATTTTATGTTTCAATCAAATTCAGTGTTATTCTTTGCTATTTTTACAGAGTTATAAACAAATGACCATAGTGGTAGACCTGACAACACAATGGAGAGTTTTGATGAATATCTGCTAAACTTCATCATTTTATATTTTATGGGGATAATACAGTTAGTATTTACTGTTATTACTTTTGGATGTATTTTTTATGTGTATTGGTGTGTCCCAGTGCCTTCAATGCCATAAAACAACACTGGATACCCAGGAGCTCAAGTTATAAGTAGTTGTGAGCCACTAGATACAGGAGCTGGGGAATGATTTCAGGTCCTTTGGAAGAGCTACAAGCACTTTTAACTTCAGAGTCATCTCTCTAGCCCCTCTACTTTTCTTAAGCTGCTTACATATTACCTATCACATAGGTTTCAAAGGCAAAATAATAAAAATGAATGTGAAGATTTATTCATTATTTCATTGTCTGTAATTGAAAATCAAAGTATAAATGCTCAATCATGAAAAATGAGTTTGAGTAAGCACATCATACATTATCTTAAGGCTAGAACATATTATGTACTACAGTCAATGTACATTATGATAAAACAACTGTACATAGATCTGAAAAAGGATTGAAAAAGTTCTCCGTATTGGGAGACTATACCCAGAGGAATGGGCTTGTACACTGCCTTTTAAGCTGAAAGAAAGGTAAACAGTGAAGAGAAAAGAGAAAAATCACACATAGTTATCCTTACCAAATGAAACATAAGAAATATTAAAAGGCAGTACACATGGTTAACTACAAAACGGAACAGAGGCTACTTTGTTTTATGTCACCCCTCGGAAAGGCACAAAGCACCTCATAAAGTCAGGTCATTGCACATGACACAATCTGGCTATTAACTAGAAAATTATGAAATATTCAATAGAAACTACTGCCAAGAGGCAGTGACTGACTAGTAATGAACACAATGTAATAAGACGTAATTGGTGCTTATACTGGACATGCATACAAAGCCCGGACATAATGTATGGGGGTACAGTGAAGTCTTAAGGCAGCACACTGATAGACTGTCTACCAGAGAACTCAAGGCCCACTTGTGAGTCAAATGATGCTCTAAAAGTGACGCAGTGAGGGACAACACAGTTCCAGTTCCTGCACCAAATGAAAGCTCCATCACTCATCTCTGTCTGATTATTGGAGATTGTGGCAGGTGATTATTAGCAAAGGGAAGAGGCACTTGCTGTAGTTTTTTAAGATACATAACCTATAGACAGGAGCTGGAAAGTAGGACCATACTTAACAATGTGGATTACTGGTCTGTTTCAGTAGGAGTTTTATCAAAGAAATAACTACAGAATCAGAAATACCAGGCAAAGGGCACAAACTCTTTGTCACTGTTGTCTAGTTATCTTAAGGTATTTTAGGACAAAGTAAACATTCCCATAAGATAGATGTCAAATTTTCCTGGATAAAGAAAAATGATATGATGAGTTTAATTCAAGATGACATAATATCATAGATAATTCTCATACTTACCATATAGTTTCCCAGTCTTAGAACCTTTTTGTCCCTTTGATCTTATATCGCCTTTGGTAAACTTTTTATCTGGCTCTTCAGATTCATCTGCATAAAATACATTTAGTGCAGTAAATAGGACAGATGCCTACATTTCAAATTTGTAACATGTACACAATAGCATTTCCCCAATGAACTAGGTTACTATAATGTGAGAAAACATTAAAGACATCTGGTGGATATCATCTAATGTGTGCCCTTAATTCATAGACATATATTAACTTTTGTCTTAATTTCTAGTTATGCTGTTCTGATTGTGCTTTTATGTCAATGTACATAAATAATAGGACAGTGGCAATGCATACATACATGATCAGTGTCGTAATTACAATATAGTTAAAGCTCAGTGATGGGGACTAGGTTAAACAAACTAGGACATATACAATATTGAATAGTAAGCATCTCTGTAAACAAAGTGTAGGAATTACTTGGAGGTAATGTTAAGTGGGGAAAAAGAATGAAAAGGATCACTTGTCTGCTACCTCCCCAATAAGAAAGAAAGGGGGCAGGGAAAAGAAGTACAGAATCAGCTTTATAAAAGAAAATACAGTAAAGGTATCAAAATCAATGCAGCTGGTTACCTACAAGAAGAGAGGGGGAAGCCAGGATATTCTTTTAGGTAAATGTGACTTTCTGCAGTTATTTTTAAAAACAGTTTGATTTTCCAGATATTCCAGAAATTAAACAAAACCATAAGGTATACTATAAAAAGAAAAGATGAAATGAAACAAAGTAGAAATGAAAACAAATAAACGGGTCTAGCGAGGTGGGGAAACTGGTCCAAATAAGTGACCACTGTATTGGGAAAAAGAGAGGGACAGACCACAAGCAAATCATAAAATATCCCTTACTTCACACAATCTAAATTCTCAGAAAATGAAGGACAAGGAAAACCCAGATTGGGAGAAGCAAAAAGAAAGCAACATAAATATAAGAGTTAAAAGAAATGAATCCCAAAGAGTTTAAGTATATATACAAACAGGAGTAAAATCTAAATGTCTAGAAAGGAGACCAAGAGCAAAGACCACTGGGTTATGAGAAGGATTCAGGGAGGAGTGCTGGGCAAAAGACACATGACATGAAAGAGGAAAAGAATCAAAGGTGAGGGACAGGAAGGGTAGTGGGGAAATAAGAAAAGTCCTGGACAACAACCCTAACAATAATAGATACAGTGGAATGTATTCATGAAAAGAGGTGTTAGGACCTCGGTTAAGGTAAAGAGGGTGGGAAGGAGATGATAGGGTGAATATGTCCAAAATACATGTACAGAATTCTCAAAGATTAATAAAATATTAAAAAAACAAAACTTCAGACCCATGGCAAAAGAACATTGAACTGACATTAAAAGAGCAACAAAAGATGTGCAGACGAGTGGAATGAGTAGAGAATCTAGAAATAAAACTCATGTCCACAGCTAAGTGATAGTCCACAAAGGTGACAAAGGCCCACACTAGCAAAAGGCTGGCATCTAATAAGGGGACTGGGAAAACTGGACACCTACATGCAAAAGATGAAACTTGACTCATCCTTCACCCTGAATAAAAACCAACTCAAAATGAACCAAAAACTTGAACATGAGACTTGAAACAGAGAAAGCTTGAGGAAAACAGGAAACAACTTCCTGATATTGGTAAAAGCAATGATTTTCTTGATGAGATTCCAAGATCCCAGTAAGCAAAACAAGGCTGGCGTGTGGGATCACACCAAACTCAGTAACCTTATGGGAAAGAGAGCAATCACAGAGTGAACAGGCAGGCTACACAGAGGGAGAAAATCCCTGCCAGCTGTCAGCTAATAGCCAAGACGTGTAAAAAATGTAAATGGTCTTAACATTGGAAATTAAGGATTGCAATTAAAACAGCCACTATAGACACACTTTAAAAGAAATGCAAATAGTCAATACATGAACAAACTTCGCAATTTGAGCTATCAGGGAAATTCAAATTAAAAATAAGAGACAATCTCAACCAAGTCAGGTACTGTCGAGGACCTGAAGGAGAAGAATCCTTGTGTACTACTGGTGGGAATAAGCTAAGCACAGAAAGACAAGTGTCACAAATGCTACCTGTTATCTTGTGGGTAGAAACCAAAATGGAAATGACTTGAAAGTAGAAGAGGAATTTCTATGGCTGGGGAGGAGCCAGTGCTAGGGGACAAGTGTAGAAGAAACTTTGATGGAGATCAATGCATGAGTAAAACTACTGTGTGATAATGACATAACAAAAATAAAAATGAAGAAATTAAAGAGTACATATTAGAATGTCTGACTTCCCAATAGCAGTAATATTAAAATTGTAGTCATATAGTGTTGTGTGTGTACTTTTAAATAAGTCAAAGAAAGTCTGAAAATAACAACAGTGATTTTATCCAGTGAATACAGGGGCAATCTATTACTTCAAATAGACATGGACAACTTTATATTTCTTTGGGTGTTCCCTCTTTTAATAGTTTAACACTGTGTGTTCATGCATGTGTAAGTGTTTGTGTGAACATGTGAGGGGGCAAGCAATGGTGGCTACACTGTATTTAAACACAACCTAACTGTAAATGTTTGCATCCAAAGAAAGTATGCAAAAATGGTACATCATGAATGTACTGATGAGCAAATCAGGTTGGAAGGAGGTCAGCAGTAGAGACTGCCTATTAAAGCCAAGGCCTTAGGTTCAGTAATCTTTTCTCGAAAGGATAAATATAACATGGATCTATCAACATTAGAAAGAGAAAAAAAGATGAGTTTTCCAGAAAGGTGGAGATTTGTATGTGGTAGACACAAAAGAGAATGCTAAACAGCACAGGTAATGGGAATTCCTGAAAGAACAATGGGATACATGCTCATCTTGCTCAAAATGAATAGTACAATTCTATTTACTATAACTTTCCTAGCCACTCTTGGTGTCAGATTCAATATTTTTATATATTCTTCCCACACACTTAGGAATACAAGGAAAAAGGCTCTTAAAACTCAGAATTGAGCCATAGTTGTTAAGTACTAAGTTCATAGCATACAATAATTATTCAATGTAAGTTTGTCTCATTTCTTTAGACATAAGAAATTTCATACTTTGTGACAATAAACTAATAAAGGAGATTATCTACCTGAGCTATAAACATTGTTACTTTTCCGATATATGGGTAGATAATACATTCTCTAGTTTTCTTAGAGTATTAAGACAAGACTATCAAAAATTAAAAGCTTAAAATATTTGTTATTATATTCCTAGGGAAAATATGTGGTTATAAAACTATACAGCATTAAAGACAGTAATAGAACCATATTTTAAAAAGTCAAGATACAAAGAATATGATATACTTAAACTTCAAAATAAGGAGTAATTAAATTTAATGTGATTATGAGTACTAACTAAAAGACATCCAATTGTATTTGCAAAAATATATCATTATTATATGCATCATAAAAGGTATGTGACAAAGTCATAAATGTGAAGGAAATTTATACTAAGATGGAAAATAAGGTATCACAAAAACATTAGATAAAAAACAGTAGAACTTCACAAACAGAAGAAATAATAGATTTTTAGTCTAACACATAACTACCGAAGTGATAAGATGGTGTCTTTTATTAGGACTAAAGTAAGTTTCTGTTCATTGGGGTCAGTAGGAAAATTAACAACTGATACGGTAATCACACGTAAATCATCAATAAAGAACAGTAACTATGAATAAAGTCATTACAAAAAACACTAACAGAATTGCCAATATAACTATGAAATGAGGAACAGAGCTATTCTGAATTGAGTTGAAATAGCTTTACAATATTTTAACAGTTACTTACTCAAGTTCTCATATTTGGCGGCTTCAAGATTCTCAATTTCAGGTTGTGTTCTTAAAGTGATATTCAAGTTTTCAGGTGTTTTTGCAGTGATGAAAAGTGCTAAAGAGAAACAGTTATAAGAATTCTGGGTAGGCAAAATCCATCCCACTTGTGCAATGCTACATAAAAAGGAGTGAAAAGCTAAATTCATCAACTATGTAACAAAAAAGACAGTGGAGGTGGTATAGGAAATGCGTGAGGAGTTTTCCTGCATGTGGAGAGCAAACTGCAGAGTGGTCACTGACCACACAAATGACAGCCAAAAGGTACCAAAGCTTGCATTTTAGTTCTCCAGGTATCTTAAAGTATGCATGTTTACATGAAACACTTCAAAGTCATGAATATGTGAAATGGAACGGTAGGGATGAGAGTATGTGTGATAAGGATGGATGGGAGATGAGAGAGAAGAGAGGAGGAGGGAGTAGTAATCAGAATACTATCTATCTATCTACCTACCTATCATCTATCTATCAGAGGAGGGAGTAGTAATCAGCATACTATCTAACTATCAATCTATGAGAGGGAGTAGTAATCAGCATACTATCTAACTATCTATCTATCAGAGGAGGGAGTAGTAATCAGAATACTATTTATCATCTATCTATCTATCTAATCTATTTGTGTATATGAAATTGTTGAGAATGAAACTTAAAAATTATCATAATAATGCTATAAAATATATTTTCATATAAATAATCGAAGGAAAATGTCTTGCAGTTGTGTTTGGCTTATTATAACAATCTAGTCAATGTTTCTGCCACCATGCTCACGTTTGCGTCTCCCTTGGCTAGCAAGTTGCTTCGCTGTAGGTGCTTGGGCTTCTGACAGCAAATCTTTATCATCTGGTACAGGTCTTTCATCTGGTGTTTCATAAGAAATTTCATAAAAACAATCATTCAGTGTACTAAGCAGAAAATCCTATCTACTATGAGCTCTCTAGAAGTCAAATGTAAAAGGAGACAGCAGTAAAATTTTCTCTCACTTTCAAATGCAAATAACCCAGATGCTGGGCTTCCCAGGGTCTTTCAGTCTGAAGTTTGATAGGTTGCTCTTAATGTAGCTATTGGGCTGTTATCCACAAGATAAAAGATACTATTGTACCTGTCCCTCCAAGGCTTAAGAAACATCTCAGAAGAGAAGAAAGTAATGTAAGTGCCAAAAGACTAGGAAGCCAGCTGAGAAATACTGACTTCTACACAGGACAAAATCTGTAGGCCTTTTATAAATAATAAATAAATAAATGGTAAATCTGAAATTTGTATGGGATTATAAAAGACCACAGACAGACAAGAAAACAACGTTACAATTCCCATTTCAAAATCCACCCCTAACCACACAATGAACAGATAAAGACACATACACCAACAAAGAGTATCAAGCACACAGAAGATTGATTCATTCTTTTAAACCACAATGTCAATACAATTCAGTGAAGAAAGAACACATCCTTCACAAACTAGTTAAGTTCTAGAAAATTAGGCAAACATGCTAATTTTTGTCGGTGCTTCAGCAAGGCTAGTTCTATCTCCAGGCCCTGGGGGATCTCTGACAACACAGCCCTTTACTGGGCTTTGGGTCACACGAAAATGCTCCTGTGGTTGTCTTGCACATTTTCACATCTTCAGCTTTTTAGGGTATAATAGAGGTCTTTTGTAACAGCTAGGATGTTTAAACTTGAAAACTGGTCTCCTCCGGGGCAGATATACACCATTTAGTTGCCTTCTACTCATTTTTAAAGTCTGTTACTTCCACTCCTCCTGATGCGTAATTCCTAAAGTTGTCCTTTATCACACAGACCTGTGGTTAAGCATGTTGTTATAGAGCTTTACTTCTCTCAAAGGAGTTAATATTTTTTACTTAAAAATTAGTCCTGGGACAAATTGATTTCTACACACAGAAGAAGGCGTTGGACCTCACACCTTATTATCTGCTGTTGCAGGGCAGCCGAGCTTAGTTCCCAGTGGTAACAAGGTGCAGCTCACAACTGCCTGTAATCCAGGTGCCTGGAGATCTGCCTCTGCCTTCCAGCCAACACACACACACACACACACACACACACACACACACACACACACACAAGTAAATCTTAGGAAAGAAAATATGCATAGATATCTATACCTTAGACTTAGTGAAGATTTAATAGTGAGGACAACAAAAAAGTATAAACAACCAAAGAAATACAGAAAAACTGAACTTCACAAAATTGAAATCTTTTGTCAACTTAAGAACATTATCCAAAAACTGGAACAACATCCCCTCAAAATAGAACAATTTGTAGGCAAACCAACCATCTCATAAGTTAATATTTATAATATAAAAAGAAATAGAAAGGACAATACAACTAGATGAATTAAAAACTTAGGATTTGGTCGACACTACTCTAGAAATCACAAAATGACCAGAAAATGGACAGAAAGAAAGGAAGCTTCACATATGGAAGAAAGGACAGATACTATATGAGTGGCAGTACAGAAAGACCAGAGATTACCAGACATGGGGAGGGGAGGGACACGAGAACTGTCAGTTTGTAGCCATGAAAGATCACTTAGATAGATATCATGATGGTCACACAACACTGAGTGTACTTAACAGCTCTGAACTGTATATTTAAGTCAGTTCTAATCAGCTCTTGTTTAAAATCATAACCTACATGGAGTCCTCATTGTGAGCACTCAGTGTCTTTGTACCCCACTGCCACAGAGGAGATACAGAGGCATGGAGTCCTCACCATGAGCATCCCCCCACCAACACAAGCCTTAAATCTCAACCATTTCACTTTATTTGGAAAGTTCAGGCCAACACAATGCAATATAAGTGGGGTATTAAAGATAGATATGCATAAAGAACAGCTCTAGCTTTGTTTTTATGCTTATTATATGCCGAATCCTCAAAGAACCTAACAAAATAATAAATTTTCAATACCAGAAATGGTCGTCTCTTCTGGTATGTCCAGATGGATTTCTGATACACTAAGAGCTTATGATGCTAACTCTACTCCACGTTTAGGCACAGGTGTCATTTCTTTGTGCAGACGTCTTAGTTGAAATAGAGTCTGAGAAATGCAGCGAGACTACATCAAATTAATTCTTACATAACCTCCAGGGAGCATGTGTATCATCTGGTACTATGTTACACTGGTATTTAACAAAGTTCTTATTCATGGGGAGACCCAAACCTTCACATTTCAGGCTACAAAACAGAAAATCTTTTTACCTTCAAAGTTTTCTGCTTTTGTATGAGATAGGACTTGTTCTGATGCTTCAGCCTTAATGACAAAAATTACAATAAATAATTACAAATGATGCACATCAAAGCTCTCTTCTTTATCAGGAAGCTACCACTTTGTCCTAATCTACACTCGTCATTACAACCACAATTTATTTTTCATTGCTCCCTCAGTTTATTAAATAAAAAGTTGTGAACAGTATGAAGATCTGAGCTACAGTGGGGAACACTGAAACTGCTGAAACGGGTGGGCAGTCAAACCAACATTACAGTTCTTCCTTAAATCACAGTTTAGTCTACTTAACTCTTTAGACAAAGCCTAATGGCTCACAGATTTCTTTCCATAAGTCCACTTTAGTAACATCCATGATAGAAACATACTGTGAAGATGTGTCACATGTGCCTGGACTGTTTAACATCTCTTTCCCATGGCATTTTTGGCCCTAAAAATGCCATAACTAAATACTTTTCTAACTAAGGTGGTTCTTATAGTTTCCCAGGTTTTAAGTGTATATAACAGCACTCAAAGTGATTATGGTTTCATAGTCAAACCTTTTTATACTATAAATATCATTGATAAGTCTTGAATAAAAAGTGAATATTTACCTTATCCCACGAATTATACATTTAATTCATCATTAAGTCAAGCAACTCTCTGTCAATACCAATTAGAATGTCTTCAACATTAAAAATTTTACTTATATTTCCCAAATACCACTTCCAGCATACTAAACATAAACCAGTAGTATTTAAAAGCAAACTCGTTATTCTTTTGAAATAAGGAAGTATTGATAAGGATTAATCAGCAACTACTCAAAACACTAAAAGAATCTACAGCCTAAAATAAAGAATTTTCAAGTTATACTGTAACTCACCTTTTCAATTTCTCCCATGAGATCAGGAAATGACATCAAGGACCACATATTTGTTTCTTTCAGCGGAGGCAAGGTTGATTCTAGGTGCTCTTTAATTAATGGCAATTCTGTAAATGACTTAAAGACCTCTGGTGGGGATGGTGAAACATCTGAGACATCATAGTAACCCTCTAAAGATGAACGGTCTAAATCAGCAGAGCTAGATCGTTTCTTCTCCAATCTTTAGAATCACAAAATGTCTAGTGTTAGATTAGGTGGAGAGCACTGGATTTGTAACTGAAGAATCATTTAATTGGCAAGGATATTAGGTAAGCAATTATAATGCACCAAGTAATCAAAGGTAATTCTGATACAAAATTTATGTCACACAAATTGACGATGGTATGGCATCAGGAGATTTAAAGTGGAGATACAAAAAGTGCTTTTCAAATATTGTAGTAGTCATTTGTAATGATAACAGGGCACAGGACAGGCAGCCTTGGCTAGCCAAACTGAATGTAATAGTCCGGAAGCTACTGTTTAGTCATGCATACTTGACAGAAACAACCTCACAATTTCATTTCAGAATGGAATAGAAACTGCCCCAGAGACATTTTGACAATAAAAGATATTTTTTCTTTTAAAATCAAAACAACTCCAAGTTCAGAGTTAGTTTTCTTTGCAGCAGGTTTTCTTTCAAGGCACAGAATTGGCTTTTCCCTGCCACCACAAGTCAGAGTGGCTCCTCAGTTTCCAGACCTGGAGGCCACAGAGCACTTTCTGCCTGCACAGTCCCAGTTATGCATTTACCAACATTCAACATCAGGTTGTAATTTAAATAGTGTAAGTGCCTACATTGTCTACAAAACTGAACAAAGCCTTCCTTCTTATTAGGCCCATCATTAATCACTGGTCTTTAAGCAGTCTTAACCAGTTCAAGATTCTGATAGCTTATCTTAATCAAACAATACTTTGGTTGAAACAATCCTATAACACTTGTTGCAAGGTCTCTAAAGTAATTCAGTGAGGTGGGTGATAACGTTTCTGCAGACAGATTTCTGTTGTGCTGTTATAAAAACAGTTTCTAATTACAGAGAATAGGGGCTTCCTCTTCCATGTTGACAAGGATAAAATCTCACCCTCAAACATGATTTACTGGTTTTGCCTAGTATTTAAGATGACTAATTATAAGACACATATTCTTCTAGAGGTGATTTTAAAGACACACACTAGAAGACTACCATCACTGGGCTTTGAAGCATGAGAATGGTTCACCTGCACATTGTGAACCATGTTCATTTAGAAACTTCCTTGCACCCTTGCTCACTACCATCAAGGCCTCCATATAACTGCAAGAAGAGAATACGGTAATTCTAGAGATTTTGATATGGATGTTTGATTTGGAGGCATCATGACTCACTTGATTTGAGTAGATAAATCGCCATGTATAACAACAGAGAAAGGATGTACCAACCCCCAAAGCATGGCCTCAAATAGGATGTGTAGACTATCGATAACACTTGGGTTTCACCCACTTTCATCTCCTGTACTCATGAAAGACTGCTGGATAGAACAAAGGAGGGGAAAATACTAAATGGGTGCAGTTGGTGGGTGGTAGACGGCAGTTGACCTCAGTACCGCTGAGACGTGGACACAGCTATGTTTTCCAAGCCTTACTGTGAACCATGAAGGAGGAGGTGGAGAAAGTAGTGTATACTCATAACGATAAAAATAATAATGAAAGTGACATACATTGGCCCTCTTCTCTGGTGCAGTTTGTAAGTCTTATCTATTTATGACAGTCAACACCTACCTCAGATTGAGGCTCTCTGTAGCCATCACTGTGCTCAAACATGAAGCAGTATAGCAGTATAAACTGAGACACAGACTTCGACAGTGTTCCTACAGCACAGGGATAGCTTATATAGTGTGTAAGGAGAAATCACTTTCTGGTTGACACCCGTGTTAATTGCCTATGCTGGGGCACTGCAGCGTCTTCACACTGAGTTACCAGCTTGTCATCACAGACATACCATAGACAAAAGCTCTAACTCCATGAGCCTTCCAGGAAAACCAGAAAACTGCCCTGCTTTCTTATTCTCAATGTCCTTTTCAGGATAACTTTGCTTAGATCCACTTTCATTCTTCCAAGTCACCCCAGCCATAACCCTCCTCTTTAGGGAAAACACAAAACTCTCACAAGTGTTATTGTATATGCTGCAGTTTTAATTACCAATGCAAATATAGATGAGTGAATTTGATATTATCTACTATGGTACAAGATGTGGAATACAATCTTATATAAGAAAAATATCTAAGCATCAAAGTGTATATTATAACTTAAGATATTCTAAAAATGAAATTTTTAGAAAACTTCAATATTGGAAATATAAAACTCAATAGTTATAAATGTTGTGTGTGTTGTGTGTGCATGTGTGTGTGTGTGTGTGTGTGTGTGTGCGCGCGCAGGTATATATGTGCACATGTGGGCAAATGCATGGAGGTCAGAGGAGAACTACGGTTGACATACTCAGAAATAATTCCTGCCTCCTCTGAAACAGGGTCTTTGTGTGTACAGAGCCTAGCTACTAAGCTAGGCTAGTTGGCCAGAGGGAGTAAGAGACCAGTTTATTTTGCCTCTCCAGTGCTAAGATTACAAGTCTATACAAGGATGTCTTGCTTTGCTTATGTGGTTTCTGAGGACCAAATTCAGATGTCCCCACTTGCAAGATAAGCACCTTACTAACTGAAATATCTCTCTAGTCCTGTCACATATATTGGATAGTTTTAAAAAATTACAAATGTCATTGGTCAAAATCTTCAGAGTAACATGTTGTAGGCCCTTCCACTAAAGAGAAACTCAGGTTTACTAGTCCACATTATTATAAGACTATAAAAGCCATAGTTTAAAAATACTTGCATTAATTCACTTAGAAAAAGTATGGATGGGAGAACCACTTAAAAATGGCCACAGAAGTGGAAAGGTTTCTTGAAAACATTGGAGCAGACAATTTGATTCAAAAGAATATTCTGAAGTGATGTATTCACAAGTTGATTGCCAATTTCCAAGTTACAGGTTGTTGTATAATGTAAAGACCCTTCACTCCAAAGTGACTGGGATTCAGGTGTGTGTGGGGGGGGAAGATTTCAATAGGAATAATGTTTCATTTCTCTTTTTCTCTTGCTTTAACCATACTGCAAAGTGAATACAACATATTATTCATTTAAAAGATGGACATATCCTTGCATCAGGACATTCTGTAGGTGACCACCATGGAAAGCTCTCCTAAATTAATCACTCCTGAAAATGGAGTGTCTGGCTTATATCTCTATGGGACATTAACAGATGTGTTTGCCAGATGTACACATGTGTGACTCCGGGGAATGGCCAAAGAGTACGTCAAGGGAGACAACAAATATGTTTCTATTCCATGTAGGGACCAGGCACCCATAGTTGTTCTCTGTGGTTAGCTAGGGATGTGGGATCTAGTCTATGTAGTTCTCATGATGCTGGATTTCCACTCTCACCTACCCCATCTGGTGTACCTGCTGGCTGATATCTTCTCTTCTACTGGTCAATACTTAGAAACCAGCCTGTTCAAGACCAGGTCACAGCCAGAGGTGATGAAGAGACTTATGGGAATGAAACTCAAGCATACAGCACAGGCAGCTCTTCATCTCTGGGTGGCAAGGGTGACTCTCTTACTTCCCCTCTAATGACTGCTTTCCCCAAGAGTGCTCAGTGGGAATCATGTGTGTAGTGCTCCCCCTGCATGTGCATTTTCATAACAATGTCATTGCCCTGACCAGAAAGTTCTCCTATGTATGTGGTTGGTTAGGTATTGCCTGTTCTCTTCTAATTTCCCTATAGTTTGGTAACGATATATGAAGAGGGTATGTGAAGAGGGATCCCTCTCTAGAACACTGTCAATGATTAATCCAGCTGTGCCCAGTTTATGAGCATTTCTCCACATAATGGTGTCTTCCTTGAGGATATTTTACCTCTGCTATTTCTTACTACATTTCCTCTAGAAAATCTCTCTTATGTCTAAGTCATTAGTTCACAGACCCCTGACAAGGGCCATGTAAAGGAATTAGGAAGTCTCCTCTGGAGTTCATAATGATAAAATAAGCTTTCACTTGCAGAACTATATCCTGATAATATTAGGAAAAACACATTTTAGCAGCTTATTTTATAACTAGATCTGAATTATCCTTTTCCATGACACAGCCTCCTCTTATGTTTGGACAGTTGGTACCCAGCTGGCGGCTGATCTTGGAGGTTTGTAGATCCTTTGACTGAAGGAAGGGGGTTGCTGAAGTTGAGTTTATAGGCCCAGCCACCATGCCAGTTCCCGCTGTGACACTGTGTGCTCTGGTGGGCTCTTCTTCCCCTGGCTTGCTTCTTGTATTTGGTCATAGTGATGAGAAAATACAGATAGGGATTTTTTATTATTTTCACTGTGCATTCTATTCTAGAGTTATCATGATATTTGTTTGTTTTATTTTGTTTTCCAGCCCCTCTCCTGTTCAAATGTGGGCATAAGAAAAGGGTCCTTACCTGTCTTTGCTGTGCATGAATTTCCTAACTAAAGAATGCCTGGTGTTAAAAGGGACAAAAACATGTGTTGAATGATAAATAAATGAAGTAAACTTAGCAACTTATTAGCTTATTAGTTTATGGAAGAAAACCAGCATGGATTAATATTATTTGTTTTTGTTATTTTGTGATTTATAATAAGCCTCTGTGTATTTGGGAGCAAAAGTTTCTATGAAAATATTCAGAATGATGAAGGTTGGATGTGCAACTCTTAAAAATAAAACACTAAGAAATTGTTTATGCTTTCATGTCTGGAAGGCGTGAGTTTCAATGTGAAACATTTTATAAAAGCTAACAATGTGCATGTGTGTGACAATAAACTATTACAATCTGTTTGAATACTTGTCACTAACTCATTCCCTAAGCCAAAATAAACTGCTAATCATGCCAATTGCAGAAGAATGTTCTTTATTGCAAGTAATGCCATATATCTGCTGAAGTGGGGTCTCCTTTCACTCCCATCCGCTCTTGGAAGGTCGGGGGGGGGCTTCCAAAGTATTTCACAAATTCTATTTGGATCTAAGGAGTAACCCAAAATGAAGGTTGGTGAATAATACTGTGTGCCATGTGTTTAACAGTTTGAATTGTAAACATATTTAGCAATATTTAAAATACAGCTGCTAATGGGCAATTCTATAAAGTATAGTAAGAAAAAATGTTGTATTTCTCAGTATTGCCTTTAGTCTTTACTACAAACAGAGAATGTCTTGGAACTTTTCCTTGAGCACCTTATGCAGATTCTAAACAATCTCATGAAGGCCCCCCAATCTGTCCACTTGGAAATATCTTTTATCATATTGTCCTGAAAGGCCAATCCCATGCCTTCTCAAATTGGATGCCATATAATTCTCAGTCTAGCCAAACATGTGGCATCCTCTCTGATGTGCCACACCACATTCAGCTTCTTTTGCATGTGTCACCTCGAACCTATTCTACTGCTCATGCAGTGAGAGAGGGCAATAGCTATGTATTTGTCACCCTTTTACATCCTCTACACTCCAGCAGAGTTTTTACAGGGCATGCAGAGTTTCTACATCAAAGATACACTGAATGGAAATGAACTGAAATAACCTTCTGGGAATCATACACTGGATTCTGCCCTGGTGATATGTTCCATATTACCCATCTGTTTTATTTACTAGTCTCCATTATGAGTCTCAAACCTGACTCACTGCTAGGCATGAGTGGGGTGTAACATCTCCTTGGAAATTATTTGAAGATGTACTTATTAACTTGAGATGGGATCCTACTCTGTAGCCCTGGATGGCTTGGGAATCCCTCTATTGACCAACCTGACCTTGAACTCACAGAGTTCCCTTGCCTTTCTTGCTGAGAGCTGGGATTAAAGGCGTGCACCATATGCCCAGCCTGAGACTGCTTTCTTAATGCCTTCATTGAGCCTGTTATAAGACATAGTTTTAAAGGCCCTGTCTCTGTTTCCCAAGAGGTGGGTTACCAAGGTAGCCTACTGGGTTCATTAACAGCAACTCCATGTTAAATATTAAAACAAGTTGAACCAAGACTTACCACTACCTTTGAAGGTGGCAGATGCAGACAATCCAGAATTTCCAAAGCCTACACTCCATCATGTTTCTTTAGAGAAACCACAGAACTATACAACACCCACCATAATCCCAGAATGGGCAGGACAGTTCCCTACTTTATTTCTCTTTCCACATAGCTTTTAAGATGGTTAAGCTTCCACGGAGAATTTAATTACCAATACTTTTTCTTATGCTCTCACAACATCTATAATGCTGACCATGCTTTGTAAAAGGGCAAATTAGAAACCCTTTCCATAGTAAGATAGCAAAGGTAAAGGAAAAGCAATGTCTAATGTTTTCTGAAATAGAAAAAGTATACACTTTAAAGTTTTCTATCTAACTATCTATCTATCTATCGATCTATCTATCTCCAAACATTAAAAATGGGGTCCAATACTTGCTAATTAACCCTGGTCTGTGTGTAGAAAATGTAAGGATGGTAATAAAGCATAGAAGTACACACTACCAGGCATTCTTTTCTATTTTCTGCAAGGTAATCAAAGTAAAAACTTTACACACAAATATTTGTACAGTTAAGGAATAAATAAATAGACATCAACAGCTTATTTTGACTTTGAAAGACCCTAACTCCCCTGGCAGAATCCACTGCCCTGTCAGTACCCTGCCTTAGGAACACTGTGCTCTGACTGAGCAGGCTTGGTAATAATCACACTGTGCTAATCAAAGAGACTCAAGAGGGAAAATTCTACCATTTATTGAGGTGGATTAAGCAACTCAATTGGCTTCATGTTCCCTTACACACCAAAATGTGAATGGCTGGGACAACAAAAGACATACTTGTATTGAGTTGCTCATAGATCTAGGTCATGTATTTTGATAACTAAATTCAAAGTAAGAGTCAGTTCATTACTCTAGAAGAAATCTAATTATGATTTAAATCTGACTCTTAATTTAATGTGAATCTAAAATTTTGAGTTTTTGATTGCTCATAATCTCCAGTTTTTGACATCTAACGTTTCAAACATTTTGTATTTAAAGTTTGATGTCCAAAGCAATAGCCCAAGAGCAAGTGATGATATAAACAAGGACTCGGTTTTCTACTTTTACACTTATGTACATAAACTGATAAAATTATGAACTAACCTTTCGCTTTTTTCAGGTGACATCTGCAATAAACAAAATTAAAATTATGTATAACAAATATGTATAGGCAATGTTTACAATGAGTCACTTAGAAAAAATACTCAAAATAATTTTCCTACCCCCTCCCCCTTTGTTGTTGAGACACTGTCTCACTATGTAGCCTTAGCTAGCACGGCACTCACGATGTAAACCAGGATAGTTTTGAATTCATGCCTGCCTTGGCCTTCCAAGTGGTGGAATTAAAGGCACACATCACCATGCATCAAAACAGTTTTTTTTTTTTTGGTTTTACAAGACAGGGTTTCTCTGTTTTGGAGGCTGTCGGTCCAGCCTGGCCTCGAACTCACAGAGATCCGCCTGCCTCTGCCTCCCGAGTGCTGGGATAGTTTTCTTAATATGACAATCATGTAAGACAAATATGTCACAAAGGCTGAGAATTATATTTTGGCATAGGAAGATATAATGGAGAAGCTCACCCTGAAACTTTATTTCTCAATTAAGAGCCAATAAGGTTTTTAAAATAATTTTAGTAGATAAAATTATTTTAAATGTATCAGTTTCTATATTATTTTAAATGAATGTGCTATGGTTTATTATGCTAGTGCACTAACCTGATGGTGTTTTTAGAATTTAATATATTTTGAGTGGACATTGAGAATGCTTACTGGAATATTTATTGAGGTATCTGAGCAGAGTGAAACCTGTGGCCTAACAAGTGTGATTTTAATAGATGAATGCCTTGGAACAGTAATAGATGTTTTTCTATCACATGGATGTCAACAATAGGTTTCCCAGAAGCCAGAAGATCACCTAGTTTTGCTTCTTTCATATGAACATTCTTCACCCACATGCAGCAAGACTTCTGACAGCTCACTAAACTGATTCCCTTTTCTTCTTAGACACCTTTCTAGTCTGTATCTCTAAGCGTCCTTCATCTTAAATGTGGCAAATGGAAAGAAAGTTCCTCGGGTCAGTCTTGAGCAGTGAGGCTGACTGTGGTGCCGGAAGCTATTTGTACAATGGTAAAGCTTCTCTATGCCAGGACACACGAGTGCCAGGATACACGAGTGCCAGCAGAGAACTCTCCAACAGATACTGACCCTGGTCTACTCTCTATGATGAACTGGCATGATAGAGCCATTTCACATTTTGTGTCTGTCACAAGAATCCAGCAGCACACTAATATATCACCACACTGCCATGAGAGAATTATGACTGACATAAAAAGCACCAGCAAAATCATGCAATAGTGTTACACAGTGCTTACAAAATACCTAAGCAGTTCATGAACATTATGTCATTTTATGCTCACAAATTCTTTGAAGAGTTACCATATCCCATTAAATAAGGGTTGATGAGTAATTGTGCCCAGTTCCTGACAGAAATGATAGCAATTCTGGTCCCTTACTTAATTTATGCAATAGCAAGCCAGCAAATCTTTTTTTTCCATCACATTTGTAAGATCATACAACAGAGCTCTTGTATAATAGAGCATAGCATTCAGTAGCAGTGATGCACTATTTTTCCTTTGTTGCTGTTTGGTTTTCTGTTTTTATCTCCTGACACAGATGATAACAAGGTGTGTCCTACATGAAATCCAGATTCAAGAACTGATGTATAGTCTCCCAGAGAAGACATAAAACTTGACCTAGACTGTCACATTGTTACAGCCAACAAGAGGACTGGAATACCAAGACAGTGGCATTAACAGAAACAGGGGTAAAGTTGTGTACCATACCCACAAGAGACTTTTAAACTATGGGCTCAGTAAAGGAGCATAATCTACCTGTCTTAGCAATTCATCATTTGTTTGCTTAAAAACACAGGTATTTACATGTTACTCCCTTGCCTAAAATCTTCCCATGGTTCCCTTTGTTCTGAGTATTGAAAGACAAACTGCTAAATCGAGTGCACAATTTAGAATTTTCACAATCTCGATCTACTTTTAGCATTCAACCTCTCAAACGCCGGCCACACTCTCAGCCTGGTATCCTTCCAGTGATGGACTCTTCTAGTGTATGGTCTTGCCATAACCAACAATTCACCAGGAAATGAAGCTCTTCTGATGCAGGGGATACAGAAAGACTGAGGACACGTCATTTCCAAGGTCAACACTTCACTGTGTGTCTCATCTCTCCCTGACTTTGCTTCTGTGGTGTTTTTCTAGCTTCAGGTTGAAGAAAGTGTTTTAATGATAGCCTTTTTGTGATATTTTCATGACACTGTCACAACCTTCAGGAGTGTGTACACACATTATCTCTCAACTTTGGTTTGTTGACTGGGTGAGTTAACCTCATTTGGTAAAAATAATAGCTGAACAGTTTTATAATTAAAAGTAAATGTTACAAAAATCCCACCTCTGAGAGCAATTTTTAATTCCCATGCATTTCTCTAAGTTGTTGGTGTTCTAGGCTGCAATTGTACAAGAAAAATAAAAACTAGTGGAAGATGTATAATATTAGAAGGGCATACTATGACCAGGGCAATTAATACCATAATATCAAAGAGAAAGTGTAGAAAATCAATTCATTTCTTTTTACATGAAAACTCAAGGCTTTTAATTAGGAAGAATATAACAAAATGCACAAAATCTCATCACAGAGAGAAAAACTAATGCTTTGGTGTATGAACTTTGAAATGGTTTCTAAATACAGCTCGAGTATATATGATGCATTCTCACCTTTATTTTCCTTAGGAAAGAAAGGCACTGACCCTTAGCCTACCCAGGCCTGAGGAGCTAACAAGTTCATCCTGCTCTATGTGGATCCTAAGGCTAGAGCAGCCAAGGCTGATCCTGCGACTGCACCCATCCTTAAAGAGACCCAACTCTGGCAGGCCCAGCTAAAGCACACCTGGATCCTAGCCCACAAATGTGCAATACTCGTGTGCGCTGTCTGGGCCATGAAGTGCAGTGGGAATTTATTACATAGCCACAGGTAAATAACTGAATTGGTGCTTTTCATTCTATACCTCTTTTTATAAATAGAAAAATTTTAGAAAACAAGGGAGAAACAGGCAAGCAGAGCATACAGGGAAAAGCCTGCACATGACAGAATGCATAGCATTTATCACGGACTTAGAGAGACCCTGTGTGACTACAGTGGGAGACACATGTCACCATGCATATGTGATCGAGCATCGTCACAAGTCACAAGAGTATGCGCCAACACCTCGGGGGCTGATCAAAGAGGCTCAGATCCCAGAAAGCATCAGGCCCAACAAAGCCAGAACAGAGGTCAAGAAAGCATTTCCTGTGTGTGTGGTGGGGGTGGGGGCTTCTGAATCCACAGTGCAACACAAACAAAATAAAATAGTCTTCAGAATTCTCTATGATTTTTGCATTTATATTGAGTCTTATCCATTTTAAGCAGGATATACTTAGTCTTTGAAACTATTTCCTTCCTAGTCTCAAACAAAAGCTCAAATCACCACCCAAAATTGTTAACTTATAGCTGGTATTTAGGATGATAACTAATCCATATATCTAAAGTTTACAGTAAAAGTAAAAAATACAAATAAATAAAAAGCAATTTCTGCAAATAAAGTAAGAAAGGCTGCAAATAAACTCAATGCAGATTTTATACACTGACTGCTTTGGCCAGTTTTTCCCTCACCTGGTCAGAGTCCTGCCTTGGTCCACCCAGCTGTGCATCTCTCTCCCCTGGTGGGGAGTATTTGGAATCCTCACCCCATTCCATTTCCATTCTACTCCAGTCTTCTTTAGACATATCCATCTTCTGATGTAGCACAAAGTCCAGATGATTCTTATTTCTTTCAGCTTCCTGTTTGAGAAGGCAGTGTGTCAAGCTCCAGGCACATATCACCACCAAAGAGCTTCTTCCCAGAATCTACATGCATTGACACCAGCATTTTCTCTAACTGATCTGAGGAAGCTAAGCTAAATGGTCTGCTATAATTCAACAGCTTTACAATTAGCTTTATAATTAGAATTAATAAAAGCTATTGGCAGGGTGGAGAAAAAGAATAATAATTAAAAAGGCCTTCTACTTCCATCTTATTAAAACAAAGCCCAGGCATTTTCCCAAGTTGTGAATTTTCAAGGCCATGCTGAGCAATGGCACCCCTGAAAGCCTTCAAAAAGGGAGTGCTAACAGAACCAAGGATCAGAATTTATTCTACAAAGAAAAAGATGAAAAATTCACACACACACACACACACACACACACACACCTCATTACATAAAAAGAAATCACTTAACATTCATATTATTCTCTGGTATGTTTATGGATATACATTTTGTTTTTTTTTGGTTTTGTTTTTGTTTTTGTTTAGTTTTACGAAACAAGGTTTCTCTGTATTGTTTTGGAGGCTGTCGGTCCAGCCCAGCCTCGAACTCACAGAGATCCGACTGCCTCTGCCTCCCGAGTGCTATGATTAAAGGCATGGGCCACCACCACTCTGCTTACATTTTGGTTTTATGTATACTATATTATGCAACTAGGGTTGCCTGGGGAGAGGGAACCTTAGCTGAGGAAATGCCTCCATCAGATTGGCCCGTGGGTCTGTATACAGACACACTCTCAGTTTGTAAGTTCACAGTCTGGAAACCTCCACTAGGCATCCTCTTTGCTCACTATGTTTGGAGGTCACCACTCACCTGCAAAGCCAATTTAAGTTGTTCCTGAAGGGCTTTCTTCTCCATCTTCAGCTCTTCTGCTTCTTTCTAGGGAGTCAAAAGAGAGAGACACTCATTCTGGTATTTTTCAGACACTCCCTGTGGTTATTACATGTCTGCAATCCACAGACCACCAGTGTGATGACCTGAACACATTTAGCTCCACAGTCCTCCTACGTGGTGGTAGGTACCACCTGATGCCATAGCCTCCTGTTACTTTCTCATAACCATGAATCTTGTCAATTACAACTACTATAAATGAAACATTTCATATCTCATTTTCCTCAGGTCCGAAATCTTTAAATGGAAATGTTGCGCGAACCATCTCCAATTTTAACATAAGGTCCAGCACTTAGCAGAAATTAGTGAGTTATGCATTCAGGAAACCTACAGTGTATGACCGTGTGAGGATTGTATCGAAAGCCCTATGCATGCCTTTTGTGCGTCGCACCGAGCCCCTCGAGGACAATCTAAGTGGCATCTAGCCACTGTACACCATGCACTAAAGAGAAGTGCCAACACTGAAGTGTGAGCAAGGGAAGGAGTTCGGGGGGAAAAGGAGGCCTTGGTAGGATTCCTGTTCTCACAGCCTTCAGTTTGGGAGTAAGGCCTGCTTGAGCTGCATGAGGTATTCAAAAGCTTACAGAAAGCTTAAAAACAAGGGCAAAGTTTGGGACAATCCCAACCATGAGAGGCTCAATGGAAGCAACATGAAGGAGAAAACCGAAGACAAGGGCCCAATAATTTTGTATAAAATATGTCCAAGCCTCTCTCTGACCTCTGAACCACACACATTCAAAACAACCTGGAAAAAAAACACCAAAGAACAAAATAAGTGGCTGGAGTGGTATATAATTTCCGCACTCACCCAATCATGCTCATTATATAACAGAAAAAAAAACCACTAGTCATCAAAAGGACACAGAGGATCCCAGAGTTTCAACACATTACTCACAATATCCACAAAACAGTATGAATAACCTGGAAAAGCAAATTCAGGCAAAGGAAACCAAGAAAGAGACTCCAAGACAGTCCCGACTTTAGTGTTACCACAAAACACTTTAAAAGCAGCCATCATGCAACACCCAATATGTCTATGAATGAACTGACAGAGATTTTGTCAAACACAAACAGTATAATAGATGGCCAAATGGCAACAAATGTAGTATCAACAATTAATTGTGGTTTAAACACTGAATGTGTGGACACAATAGCAAGTTGGATAGGACAACAAAAAGGTGAAAACACCTAGAGATATCAATGCAAAACATGAAAATATAGAGATAAACATTTTACAAATATGAGGAGCATATAGAGTGACGTTGGATTTTTACCACCTAACTGTATTTTTGTTCAGGGACAGAAAGAGGTAGAAACATGTTTGAAACCATGGCAAAAATTACATAATCAAGATGCTTGAAAACATACCAACTGAGTGTATTAAGAACAGTCATGTACTCATGCAACAAAACCAAACTGCTGCAAACAACGAAAAAGTGAAAATAAGAAAGAAAGAAAGAAAGAAAGAAAGAAAGAAAGGAAAACCCCCAACATCACACAGAAAAACAGACAATGTGAAGGCTGTATCTTACCAGAAATACTAAAGTTAAATAAAAATTTTTAAAAATCTTTAAAGCGTAAGACAAATGTCTACAAATCTCCTTTAATAAAGCATTCTTCTCCCATCCCCTTGAGCTTCCGTGGCCACTCCTGGCATCCAGAAGACCCGCCCACACAGGAAAGACATCAGCCCTTCCAAGACCCCAACCCCAGCGAGTCCAGCTTCAGGAAAGACATCAGCCCTTCCAGGCCCCAAACTCCGTCTCAGAATCCCCAACTTCAGCTTCAGGAAGGAAGGAGACAGGTGGAGAAAGAAAGACCCCACCAGCACCCACTGGAAGAAGAGATGGGAAGAAGACAGAATAAGAGCTCACTCAGCAATAGAAACACCAACATGACCCCACCAGAATCTAGGGATCCAACACCAGCAAGACCTGAAAAGCACTACATAGACGAAGCAGAGGAGACAGACCTTAAAAATTATTTCATGAAGATGATGGAGACCCTCAAAGAAGAAACGAGGAAATCCCTTAAAGAAATAGAAGAAAAAACAAACAAAAAAATCCATGAAATGGGGGAAAAATTCAAGAAATAAACAAATCTCTCAAAGAATCTAAAGAGCACCAAGAAAAAACAACCCAAAAAATTAAGGAAACAACTCAAACAGTTGAAGGATTGAAAGCTGAAATATAAACGATAAAGAAAACACAGAATGAAGGGATGCTGGAAATAGAAAAGTTGGGTAAACTATCAGGAACTACAGATGCAAGTATCACCAATACAATACAAGAGATAGAAGAGAGAATCTCAGGTGTTGAAGACTCATTAGAGGATATACAGTCGTCAAGCAAAGAAAATCTCAAAACCAACAAATCCTTAACACAAAATATCCAGGAAATATGGGACACCGTGAAGAAGCCAAATAATAGGTATAGAAGAAGGCGAAGAAATACAACTCAAAGGTACAGAAAACATATTCAACAAAATCATAGAAGAAAACTTCCCTAACCTAAAGAAAGATATGCCTATGAAAATACAAGAATCTTACAGAACACCAAATAGGCTGTACCAGAAAAAGAAGGCACCTCACCATATAATAATCAAAACATCAAACCTACAGAGTAAAGAGAAAATATTAAGAGCAGCTAAGGAAAAAGGCCAACTAACATACAAAGGCAGACCTATCCGAATTACACCTGACTTCTCAATGGAAACGTTGAAAGCCAGAAGATCCTGGACAGATGTCCTACAAACACTAAGGGAACAAGGACTACTATATCCAGCAAAGCTCTCAATTACCATAGATGGAGAAAACAAAATATTCCATGACAAAGCCAGATTTAAACAATACGTATCCATGAATCCAGCTCTACAGAAAATGCTAGAAGGAAAACCTAGATCCAAGGGAGATAACTACATTCACAAAGACACAGGCAATATATAATCCCACTTTTAAAAAACACCAAAAGAAAAAGGGAGGAGAAACTACACAAAATAACTTCACTAACAATAAATCAAGCACAAACAAGGATCATCAATCAATGGTCATTAATATCCCTCAATGTCAACGGCCTCAACTTGCCTATAAAAAGACACAGACTAGCAGAATGGATACGAAGACAGAACACTTCCTTCTGCTGCATACAAGAAACACATCTCAACATCAAAGACAGACATTATCTCAGAGTAAAGGGTTGGGAAAAGATCTTCCAATCAAACGGTCCCAAGAAACAACCTGGTGTAGCAATCCTAATATCTAACAAATTAGACTTCAAATTAAGATATCAAAAGAGATGATGAAGGACACTTCATATTCATTAAAGGAAAAGTACATCAAGACGAAGTCTCAATTTTAAACATCGACACCCCAAATACAAAGGCACCTACATTCGTGAAAGAAACATTACTAAAGCTCAAAATGCACATAAAATCTCACACACTAATAGTAGGAGACTTCAACACTCCACTCTCACCACTAGATAGGACCTCCAGACAGAAACTTGACAAAGAAAGAAAAGAACTAATAGAAGTTATGACCCAACTGGGTTTAACAGATATCTATAGAACATTCCACCCAAATACAAAGGGATATACCTTCTTCTCGGCACCACATGGAACCTTCTCTAAAATTGACCACATAATAGGAAACCTAGCAAATCTCCACAGATACAAAACAAATTGGAATAACCCCCTGCATCTTAGACCACCATGCATTAAAATTAGAATTCAACAATAACACAAATCACAGAAACCCTACAAACTCATGGAGATTGAAAATTGCACAATTGCACCACCCCTGGGTAAAGGAATAAATAAAAAAAGAAATTAAATACTTCCTCGATTTCAATGAGAATGAAGACACAACATACACAAACTTATGGACACATTGAAAGCAGTGCTGAGAGGAAAGTTTATAGCACTAAGTGCCCGCATGAAAAAACTGGAGAACAGTCATACTAGAGAATTAATAGGACAGCTGAATGTTCTAGAACAAAAAGAAGCAAACTAACCCAGGAAGAGCAGACGCCAGGAAATAATCAAATTGAGGGCTGAAATCAATCAAGTAGAAACCAGGAAAACACTGAGAAGAATCAATGAAACAAAGAGTTGGTTCTTTGAGAAAAATCAACAAAATAGACAAAACTCTGTCCAAACTAACCAAAAGACAGAGAGAGAGCATGCTGATTAACAAAATCAGGGATGAAAAAGGGGACATGACAACGGACTCTGAGGAAATCCAGAGAATCATCAGGGCATACTTTGAAAATCTGTACTCCACAAAATTTGAAAATTTAAAGGAAATGAATAATTTCCTGGATAGATATCACTTGCCAAAACTAAATCAAGAACAGATAAACAATCTAAACAGACCTATAACCCCTAATGAAATAGAAGCAGTCATCAAAAGTCTCCCAAACAAAAAAAGCCCAGGCCCAGATGGCTTCAGTGCAGAATTCTACCAGAAATTCAAAGAAGAGCTAATTCCAATACTCCTCAAAGTATCCCACACAATAGAAGCAGGAGGATCACTGCCAAACTCTTTCTATGAGGCTACAATTACCTTGATACCCAAGCCACACAAAGACACAACTAAGAAAGAGAACTATAGACCAATTTCCCTCATGAACATCGATGCAAAAATACTCAATAAAATACTCGCAAACCGGATTCAAGAACACATCAGAAAAATCATCCACCATGATCAAGTAGGCTTCATCCCAGGAATGCAGGGATGGTTCAACATTAGAAAATCTATCAATGTAATACACCATATTAACAACCTGTGAAATAAAAACCACATGATCATCTCACTAGATGCTGAAAAAGCCTTTGACAAAATCCATCACCCCTTCATGATAAAAGTCCTAGAGAGATCAGGGATAACAGGAACGTACCTGAATACAATAAAAGCAATATACAGTAAACCAACAGCTAACATCAAACTAAATGGAGAGAAACTCAAAGTAATTCCTCTAAAATCAGCAACAAGACAAGGCTGTCCACTCTCTCCATATCTCTTCAATATTGTACTTGAAGTTCTAGCTACAGCAATAAGACAAAAAAAGGAGATAAAGGGATACAAATAGCAAAAGAAGAAGTCAAACTTTCACTATTTGCAGATGATATGATAGTTTACATAAGTGACCCAAAAAACTCTGCAAGGTTACTCCTAGAGCTGATAAACACCTTCAGCAATGTGGCAGGATACAAGGTAAACTCAAAAAAATCAGTGGCCCTATTATATACAGATGATGAAGTGACTGAGAAAGAAATCAGAGAAACATCACCCTTTACAATAGCCAAAAACAGCATCAAATATCTGGGGATAATGTTAACCAAGGAAGTGAAAGACCTGTACATCAAGAACTTTGTGTCTTTAAAGAAAGAAATCAAAGAGGATACCAGAAAATGGAAAGATCTCCCATGCTCTTGGATTGGTAGGATCAACATAATAATAATGGCAATCTTGCCAAAAGCAGTCTACAGATTCAATGCAATCCCTATCAAAATTCCATCACAATTCTTCAAGGACCTGGAAAGAACATTAATCAACTTTATATGGAAAAACAAAAGGCCCAGGATAGCCAAAACAACCCTATACAATAAAGGAACTTCAGCAGGCATCACCATACCTGACTTCAAGCTCTATTATAGAGCTATAGTCCTGAAAACAGCTTGGTATTGGCACAAAAATAGGCAGGTAGACCAATGGAACCGAATCAAAAGCCCTAATTTTAACCCACACACCTATGAACACTTGATTTTTGACAAAGAAGCTAAAACTGTACAATGGAAAAAAGAAAGCATCTTCAACAAATGGTGCTGGCATAACTGGGTAGTGGTATGCAGAAGACTGCAGATAGATCCATGTTTATCGCCTTGTACAAAACTTAAGTCCAAATGGATCAAAGATCTCAACATAAATCCAGCCACACTGAAACTTTTAGAAGAGAAAGTGGGAGATACTCTTCAACGAGTTGGTACAGGAGACCACTTCCTGAACATAACACCAGTGGCACAGGCACTGAGATCGACAATTAACAAATGGGACCCATGAAACTAAAAAGCTTCTGTAAGGCAAAGGACACAGTCAAAAGGACAAAAAGGCAGTCCACAGAATGGGAAAAGATATTCACTAACCCTACATCTGACAGAGGGCTAATCTCCAAAATTTAAAAAGAACTCAAGAAACAAGTCTCCACAACACCAAAGGATCCAATTAAAAGGTGGGGTACAGAACTAAATAGAGAATTCTCAATAGAGGAGGCTAAAATGGCCAAGAGACACTTAAGTAAGTGCTCAACATCCTTAGCCATCAGGGAAATGCAAATCAAAACAACTCTGAGATACCATCTTACTCCTGTCAGAATGGCTAAAATCAAAAACACGGAAGACAATTTATGCTGGAGAGGATGTGGAGGGAGGGGACACTCCTCCACTGCTGGTGGGAGTGCCGACTCATACAGTCTCTTTGGAAATCAGTATGGAGATTCATCAGGAAAATGGGAATTAATCTACCACTAGACCCAGCAATTCAACTCTTAGGCATATATCCAAATGAGAAAAATTCATACAACAAGGGCATCTGCTCCACTATGTTCATAGCAGCATTATTTGTAATAGCCAGAACCTGGAAGAAACCTAGATGCCCCTCAACTGAAGAGTGGATAGAGAAAATGTGGTACATTTACACAATGGAGTATTACTCAGCAGAAAAAAAAAAAAACAATGGAATCTTGAAATTCGCAGGTAAATGGATAGCACTGGAATAAACCATCCTGAGTGAGGTAACCCAGTCGCAAAAAGACAAACATGGTATGTACTCACTCATATGTGGATGTTAGACATGGATCAGGATAGTGCTAGTCTGCACTTCCACTGATAGAGAGTCTGGGAAACCGGAAAGAACCTAAAAGTTATGCATATATGCATAGTACCCAAGAGAAGAGGATTGAGACAAGATCCTCCGAATGGATGGGGAACATGGCAAGGGGTGGGGGGAGTGGGAGCTGGGAAGAAGAGAGGGGGTGAAGAGGAAGAGAGTTGGTCATGGGGAAACAGGAAGTTGAGTGGGTGGGGGTAGAATAGGGGGAAGAGGGAATCATAGGATAGAAGACAGATCAGGCAACAGAGTGACCTCGAGTGATCTAAAGGGATAACACCAATTGGCAAGGTAGGCAATAGTGGAGAGACCACCTCGAATGCCCATTCCTGATAATGAACTTGATGTCTATAACCATCTTGGAGCCTTCATCCTGTGACTGATGGAAGCAGAGGCAAACACACAATTAATCACTGAACTGAACCCAAGGAACCCAGTGACAGAGAGAGATGAGTGATGAGCTAATTGGCAAAGAATGGGCTGGCAAAACCAGCAGAGACAGCTGATCTGAACAGGGGCGAGCTCTTGGACCCCAGAGCGACAATGGGGAGGCCAGCATGGGACTGATCTGGACCTCCCAAATGTGAGTGTCAGCCAGAAGGCCTGGGCAACCTATGGGGTCTTGAGCTGTAGATAAGTGTCTATCCCTGGAATACAAACAGTCATCGTGTACCTACAGCACAAAGAGGGATGCTCTCTCAGCCTGGACTCTAAGGGTAGTGCCTGGACCCTACCCAGAGTGAAATGACAGACTCTAGATATCCCCTATGTGGAAGGATTTGGCAATAGGGTGGGGGGGGAGGGGCGTGCGGGAGGAGGGGAGGGAGAGGGAACTGGGATTGACATGTAAAACAAGCTATTTAAAATTAAAATAAAAATGATAAAAAACAAATAAAGCATTCTTCTAAGAAAAAGTTTGAAATCTCTATTATGCTTCTTATTGAAATCTGAGAGGAAACAACATCCACTAAGACAAAACCAAGTGACAATGGAGACCAAGAGCAAACAAACCTCTAATCCAGGGACTCAGTAGGACCTGGAAACTAAAGGAAGCATGGCAAAGAAGCTGGCAACAGTCAGGCTTTTGAAGTGACACAGCCACCTCAGAGGAGAGCAGAGCTTCAACTGGGCTGGTGAGCCATCCAAATGGAGCTCTTAAGAGGCAAATCAGCAGTGACAGGCAGAAGATAATTCTGTATAAACATTAACAGAACTGTAGACACTCAGAGAGCATGTATCTTACTTGGATTTGATGCAGTTCAAGTTCTTTGCCTTGAGGCTTTCTGCAATTAAAAACATTAAAAAGCATATCATGATATTTGAAAACATATCACTGCATCACTGCTTTGCTTCCCTAGGACTTTAGACCATGTAAAGTCTTACAAGAAATGCATGCCTTACTTACACACACACATACACACACACACACACACACACAACACACACACACGCACACACACACGCACACACACACAACACACACACACACACACACACACATGGAGGGAGGGAGGAAGGGAGAGAGGGAGGGAGGGAGGGAGGGAGGGAGGGAGGGAGGGAGGGAGGGAGGGAGGGAGGGAGGGAGAGAAGCATGCTGAGGCTCCTATCATAGAATACACTTGGAAGTCAGAGAACAATTTTTTTTTTGGAAAGTAAGAGCCTGTTTTATTTCTAAAAAGCCATTTCCTTGCTTTTTTACCCAGGATTTGAGGCAGGGTCTCTTGTTTCCTCCTTTGCACTGCGGGCCACCGCCTGCATCAGCTTTTTATGTGGGATGCAGGGGTCAAACTCAGGTTGTCAGGTTTACACAGCAAGTGCTCTTACCTGCTGAGCTGCCTCCTCAACCCTCATACATTAAAATAGTCATGAAAGCCATATGGCTTAAGTGGTAAACAAGTGATTAACTTTTCTCAAGCCAATTTTTCAATGGAATGATAAAAAGGTGAAGTGGCTGAGATTTTGAAAGTGTACTGAATATTTAGGACAATCTTTTTTTTTTTGTCTAATACATTTCTTTCCAGACACTAAAGCTCCCTATAAACAGTGAATTCATAGACTCATTCAAAAAGTTTATTGTAAATAAGACATGCCAAGCAAATTTGAATTATAATCACCAATTTATAAAACTTAGATTCACTTCTTAATTCACTTAGTAATAATCACTTTACAATAAACCACTTATAAAAATAGGTAATTGTTTTTTTTTTAAGTAAAACTGGGCATAAGTAAAACCTGCAGTCAAAGAGAACAAATTGTGGAGAACTGATTTAGGGAGTCGGTGAACCTGCAGCATTAGCTGGCTAGGCTGACTCAGTACAAAGCCTTTCCCTGTGATGTTTGTTTAAAGGTTTTGATCTGCTTTTCTCACCCTTAACTCTTGAGCTTGACACGCTACCCTAAGCTTGTAACAGCTCCTTGTTCTTCCCTTCTTGGCTTTACCGAGCCTGATTATAAAACTATATTCTTGTTAATTTTATTTTTTTAAAAAACTGTGAATAAGGTACATTCTTTACAATCTTAAATTGTAAAAATTAAAGTATGAGTTACCAAGGAAGGAAAAGATCACATATCTTCATGTCTTACTTTTCTGGATCTTTTTTCTTTTCTAGTCTTCCAGGTTTCTTGGTTCGATCTTCTTTGCTTGTAGGTTTTGCTTTCTGTACGGTTTTAAACACATCAAAATAAGAATAGTGTAAGTTATAGGAAGTGCATGGTAGTATATGCTGTGGGGAGTTCACTCTACTATTTCAGGGGGAATTATCTGAAAAGCAAAACTAATGTACCTATGCTGTTTGAATGTATACTTAAAAAAGAGAGAGAGAGAAAGTGGGGCAAGTTGCATGTGTAGAGGGCAGGGGTCTTCCTCTATTGTTCTTTTAGTTTTAGAAACAGTATCTCATTTACCATTGACTTCACCATTTCAGCTAAGCTGGCTGGCCAGCAAGCTCCTGGAATCTGGACATCTCTAGTCCCCAATACTGGGGTTACAGATGCAACACTGAGCCCAGTTTTTTGTGTGGGTGCTGGGTCATGTGCAGCTCCTCATTACTGGTCTCACTATCCTCTGTATCCATACATCTGAGTAATTTCAGATACGGAAGTAATTAATTTCCTCTGACTGTTTTCCAGTTCTGCTATGATGTGGCCAAAGGCTCTTCATTGTGCTGTACTTGCAGGACAGCCAGTGGGATGTGGAGATATGTGTTAGGATTATGTCATACAAATATACCACCAGTGATACATTTAAAAACCAAAGAGAATGACTCAGACTACACAAGTTTATCAAGAAGACGCAGCCCCTTGTGCTGAAAGCCCATGGTTAGACATTGAACCTGAAGTGAAGCAGGTTTATCTGAGACTGCAGAGAAAATTGAAACACCAGATGTGGCTTATGTGGAACATTGTAGGTTGAGAATCACTGAGCTGGCAAAGCTGCCTTCACCTGTTTAATCCAATGAAATGGCACACACACTGAAGTGAAACTGAAATTATACAGAATTGTGCAACATAGTTCGTAAAAATATGTTTCTTACAACCATCACTGTAGAGCTTCAGGAAAGGCATCAGCCCTTCCAGGCCCCAACCTCCGGGGACCCCAGCTTCATCTTCAGGAAGGAAGGAGACCAGTGGAGAAAGAAAGACCCCATCAGCACCCACTGGAAGAAGAGATGGGAAGAAGACAGAATAAGAGCTCACTCAGCAATAGAAACACCAACACGACCCTACCAGAATCTAGAGAACGAACGCCACCAAGACCTGAAAAGCACTACATAGACGAAGCAGAGGAGACAGACCTTAAAAATTATTTTATGAAGATGATAGAGACCCTCAAAGAAGAAACGAAGAAATCCCTTAAAGGAATAGAAGAAAAAGCACACAAAAAAATCCATGAAATGGGGGGAAAATTCAAGAAATAAAAAAAAATCTCTCAAAAAATCTAAAGATATCTAACAAACTAGACTTCAAATTAAAATCAATCAAAAGAGATGAAGAAGGACATTTCATATTCATCAAAGGAAAAGTCCATCAAGATGAAGTCTCAATTTTAAACATCTACGCCCCAAAACAAAGACACCTACATTTGTGAAAGAAACATTACTAAAACTCAAATTGCACATAAAATCTCACACACTAATAGTAGGAGACTTCAACACTCCGCTCTCACCGCTAGACAGGACTTCCAGACAGAAACTTAACAAAGAAAAAAAAAGAACTAACAGAAGTTATGACCCAACTGTGTTTAACAGACATCTATAGAACATTCCACCCAAACACAAAGGGATATACCTTCTTCTCGGCACCACAGGGAACCTTCTCTAAAATTGACCACATAATAGGAAACATAGAAAATCTCCACAGGTACAAAAAAATTGGAATAACCTCCTGTATCTAATCAGACCACCATGCATTAAAATTAGAATTCAACAATAGCACAAATCACAGAAACCCTACAACCTCATGGAAACTGAACAATGCACAATTGCACCTTCCCTGGGTAAAGGAAGAAATAAAAAAAGAAATCAAAGACTTCTGGGAATTCAATGAGAATAAAAACACAACATACCCAAACTTATGAGACACTTTGAAAGCAACGATGAGAGGAAAGTTCATAGCACTAAGTGCCCACATGAAGAAACTGGAGAACAATCACACTAGAGAATTAATGGCACAGCTGAATGCTCCAGAACAAAAAGAAGAAAACTCACCCAGGAGCAGCAAACGCCGGGAAATAATCAAATTGAGGGCTGAAATCAATCAAGTAGAAACCAGGAAAACACTGAGAAGAATCAATGAAACAAAGAGTTGGTTCTTTGAGAAAAATCAACAAAATAGACAAACCTCTGTCCAAACTAACCAAAAGACAGAGAGAGAGCATGCTGATTAACAAAATCAGGAATGAAAAAGGGGACATGACAACGGACTCTGAGGAAATCCAGAGAATCATCAGGGCATACTTTGAAAATCTGTACTCCACAAAATTTGAAAATTTAAAGGAAATGGACAATTTCCTGGATAGATATCACTTGCCAAAACTAAATCAAGAACAGATAAACAATCTAAACAGACCTATAACCCCTAATGAAATAGAAGCAGCCATCAAAAGTCTCCCAAACAAAAAAAGCCCAGGCCCAGATGGCTTCAGTGCAGAATTCTACCAGACATTCAAAGAAGAGCTAATTCCAATACTCCTCAAAGTATCCCACACAATAGAAGCAGGAGGATCACTGCCAAACTCTTTCTATGAGGCTACAATTACCTTGATACCCAAGCCACACAAAGACACAACTAAGAAAGAGAACTATAGACCAATTTCCCTCATGAACATCGATGCAAAAATACTCAATAAAATACTCGCAAACCGGATTCAAGAATACATCAGAAAAATCATCCACCATGATCAAGTAGGCTTCATCCCAGGAATGCAGGGATGGTTCAACATTAGAAAATCTATCAATGTAATCCACCATATTAACAAACTGCCAAAGAAAAACCACATGATCATCTCACTAGATGCTGAAAAAGCCTTTGACAAAATCCAACACCCCTTCATGATAAAGGTCTTGGAGAGATCTGGGATAACAGGGACATACTTAAACATAATAAAAGCTATATACAGTAAACCAACAGCCAACATCAAACTAAATGGACAGAAACTCAATGCAATTCCTCTAAAATCAGGAACAAAACAAGGCTGTCCACTCTCTCCATACCTTTTCAACATGGTACTTGAAATTCTAGCTATTGCCATACGACAACAAAGGGGGATCAAGGGGATACAAATTGGGAAGGAAGAGGTCAACCTTTCACTGTTTGTAGATGATATGATAGTTTACATCAATGACCCAAAGAACTCTACCAGGGAACTCTTACAGCTGATTAACACCTTCAGCAAAGTGGCAGGCTACAAGATCAACTCAAGAAAGTCAGTAGCCCTATTATATACAGATAATAAAATGGCTGAAAGAGAAATCAGAGAAACATCACCCTTTACAATTGCCACAAACAACATAAAATACCTTGGGGTAACGCTAACCAAACAAGTGAAAGACCCGTATCTCAAGAATTTCTAACAATTATTAAAATGATAGAAAATAATAAAAACAAAGTCAGTATATGATTATTTTATATTAAAATTCCAATACATACAAATGTACTATCACAGTAAACGTCTAAGATAAACATAGATGAAATAATTCCTCAGAAATAAAAAGCTGCAGCCAGGTGGTGGTGTTGCTCGCCTAAGTAGATCTCTGTGAGTTTGAGACCAGCCAGGGCTACAAAGTGAAATTTATCTAAAAAAAAAAGGTCAGGGGTGGGGGTGGGCTAGACACAGTGGTGCAGATCTGTAAACCCAACACTTGGAAGGAGAATGCAGGAGCATCCGAGATCTAAGGTCTTCTTTCAAGAACCAGGATATGAATAAAAAACACAGAAATATGGAAGCATGATAATGAATTTTAATGAGAACTATTATATCCCCAAACAACCTAGTATGTTTTTGAAGATGTTTCCTATAGAACTCATACATATTGTAGATCAGTAAATACTATATAATGAGACAGAATTGATAGAAGATCATTTGTTTTCTCCTCTAGTATCAAAGAAATACCAAGTAACCAACAAAAGTGGGTTCAAGAGTATTCCAGGGATATATTGTATGAGAGAAGAATAAAAAAATAAAATGAAAAAAGTCTTTGACAATAATTGAGCTATTTCTGTTTTCATAGCATCCTTATGGATTTGATAGTTAATACAGAATTTTAGAACATTAATTGAGTTTTTTAATCAGAGCTTCTAAAATTATGACTATTAGAAACATGTAAACAAGTAAATGTCACTTTGCTTCCTATCTATATGATAGTAGGCCTTATTGGTTACTATATGGCATGTTTATCACTTGTATGTACTAACCTCTAGATCTTTCAGCTTCTGTATTTCACTTTCCAGTTGACTTTTCTCCAATAATAATTCTTGAAAATCAGTTTCCATCTGTTTATATTTCTAAAGACAAATGAAATAATTTCAATTAAAACCAGGCATCTTGATAAGATTTATTTCAATACTTAGTTACTAATGTAAGACTAACTTCACTAAAACATGAAAAGAATGAGCCACTAGCATTAATTTCAGAATTGTTTCTCAGACTATGATGTCTAGAAAGTGAAAGGAACATGCTACACCTTCTAGTTCATGAGCCGGGTGAACTGAGTGAGCACTAATCTCTAATTACAACAATAGAAAAGGGCCATTTGTGGAGTCTCTTCAAAAATCAAGGACAAAGTAAGAGCATTATACTTACAGTCTCAATTATACTCTGTTCATTTAAAGCTCTGAAAAACAGACCAAAAGTAACAATAGTATAATACATACATACATATTTTTAGTTATGGAACACATTTACATTTTCTTCTTAAAGATTTCTAGCAGGCTTCCCTGGCTAGTCTCACAACTTCCTCTTGTGCTGTATCCAACACCTAAACTCTTACCAGGAACCCCCTCCATGCACCCACCCCCAGGACCCTTTGGGTGATCTTCACTACACACACCCTAGACCAGTAGTTCTCAATCTGTAGGTAGCAATCCCTTTAAGGGTCAAATGACCCTTTCACGTGGGTTGCCTGAGACCATAAGAAAACACAGATACTTGAATTATGATTCATAACAGTAGCAAAATTACCATTGTGAAATAGCGAGGAAAATAATTTTATGGTTGGGGTCACCACATCATAAAGAACTGTATTAGAATTGCAGCATTAGGAAGGTTGAGAACCACTGCCCTACGTGAGTCCCAGGGCACAGAAATTAAAAGAATATTCATAAACCACCTCAAAGAATTAAAGGTGTTTAAAGAAGGCACAAAGAAACAGTTCAATGAAAGCAAAGAGAAACATGTTAAGGAGAATAAATTCCTGAGTGACACCCAAGAAAACACAAACATTATGCTGGTGGACTTGTTGGCAACAGTCCAAGTCTTAAGAACAGAACAGAATATAGAAACACCAAAGAGGACACCAGCTGAAATGAAGCTGAAAAAAACCCAACAGCCCAACTAGAAAACTCAAAGGAAAGATGTACAAATAGAATGAATCAAGTAGAAGACAGAACATCAGGTCTCAAAGATAAAACAGAGGATATAAGTCAAATAAAAAAGGAACGTGAAAAATTAAACAAACAACACACAGGAAATGTTGGACACCATGAAATAAAAAACTGCCTTCAAAATATAGTCATTGATGAGGGAAAAGAATCCCAAAGTCACAAAACACTCCCCTCAACTCAAGAAAGTCTTATCCATACAAATATAAGAAGCACACAGAACACCAATTAGACAAGGCCAGAAGAGAAAAGCCAGGACATATCATAGTTAAAACGCTAATTATATCCTGAAATACTTACTGTGACATGTTACATAATCCATGAAAATTGTTTAGAAAAACATATTATCTAATGTCAAACTAACCACTTTTGAGAATTGGTGATTGTATCAGAACTATCTCATGGAAACTGAGGTGATTAGCTCACAGCCAGTAAATTTCTGTAGCCTGATTTCAGGAGTGTGACTTCATTAGCAAAAGCCTTCTTTCACTATACAAAGCAAAACAGTTGATTTACACACATCCCATTGTTTTTACCTTTTCCTAGTTTGGAAATAAATACTCAGAGCAAAAATGTGTGAACTGTATAATAATGACTAGAAAGGAAAATCCAATATTCATACTCGAGTGGAGACACTTGCAGAATCAGAAGCTCCTGTGAGGTCCTCCCTTCCCAGAATTCCAGCGTCCTGAATTTATTCTTATTGCCAGTGTTTCTACTTGTAGACAGTATAGATTAGCTTCATGTGATTATTGAAATTTGTGCCCTTGTCTTTAAAATTCCAAAGCTACAAAAACTAGCCAGGAAGTATGATGTACGATGAAGTTTTCCACACTCTTTACCTAGATTCCCAATTTTAGTGCTTTACTGTTTTCTTTGTGATATATATATATATATATGCATATACATATGACATGTATGTACACATACATATGTGTGTATATATTTGCAGAACCACTGAAATAAACGTGAACCCCTGGTAAAAAAAACCACTAAGTATACATACATAACAAAAGAGTTATTGCTATGACTCTCATAGTTATTGTTGTAACTCTCATACATTGAGAGTTACAAGAGAATAAATACAAATCACATATAAAGGAAAAAATAACAATAATAACTGGTTTCTTAGCTTCAGATTCTAGAAACACAACTGAGTCTATCACCAGTATCCTCTAAACTGGTACCCTAGCATGATTAATAGATGACACTTTCTCTGTGTGTCCCACTGGCTTTCCTCTTTGTGTATGTAAAGGCCTTGGTTGTATCTCTCCTTAAAATTATAGCAGGCTCACCTGATTAGAGTCCCACTCTGTGGCAACATTTATCTCTTCTGATAATGTCTCTCTAAACAGCCCCTCTTTGGATTGCTATTTTAGCATTTGAAGTGCTGGTGAGAACTTAATCCCTATCTGTAGCAGGATCACTCAAGCTGTTGTATTAGCTTTCTGGTGCTTTGTAGGCCAGATTGGGCTATCAGCCAACACTTATATATTCTACACTTTATTATTGCAGAAAAATGACTGCCAGATACAATAATATCTTATAAATGATTACATTATTATGATTTTATATCATTTTGTATATGCTTTTTCTACAGTTTCTGAATAAATTTTAAAGGCATTTTTCTTCTTACCATGGACTTTCACAAGGGTAGCTTGAGAATATTTAGCTAATGAAGCACACTACAATAAAGCAATAATAGTATCATTAGCTATGTATTTAACAGTTTTACTTTATTTAGCAATGCATGCCTCAACTAGAATGTCAACTCTATTGTACACCAGAGAAATTAATATTTAGAACAACTGAAATTTTGACTGTCATTAATTTCTTTAAAATCTAATAAAAAATGAATGCTCATACTCCATGCAATATTGAGGACCAAAACTTTGGGAACTGAATAAATCTACCTCTCCAAAAAAAAAGGAAAAATAACAGAATAATAACTGATTTCTTAGTGGAAACTTTGAAAGCCAAAACATCCTGGAGCGATGCATTTCATGTTCTAAAAGACTATGATAGCCAACCTAAGATAACACAACCAGCCAAAATAGCTGCTATTATTGAAGAAGAAAGAAAAAATTCATGACAGAAGCAACCTAAAAAAATTATAAGCAACAAAACAAACACAAGGAAAATACAGGAAGCATTGTTTTGGGCTGAAGAGGAATGAATACAGCGTATGGCAAGAAATGCAAAGCCATAATTACTAAAATGGCTAGAAACGTCTCAGACAATGCTTACAATCCCTAGCAACTAAGGAAATGCAAATCAAAAAGAACTTTGATATTTCATCTTACCTGAACCAGAGTGGCAAAGATCAATAGAACAACAGACACCAAATGCTGGAGGGGAAGCAGGGGGGGAGACCCTCATCTATTGATAGGATTGCAAACTAGTGCAGACCCTATGGAAATCAGTGGGGAGAATTCTAAAAAAAATTCTCAAAAAGCTAAACATAAATCTACCATATGACCCAGCTACACCACTCCTTGGCACATGCCCAAAGGACTCGATATCATACTTCACAGATACTTGCTCAGCCATGTTCATTGCTTCTCTATTCACAACAGCTAGGAGACAGGAGAAACCTATATATCCGACAGCTGACAAATGGTCTATACAGGAGAAGGTGGGAAGAGGGTAAAGGGGAATGGTAGGATACAAGTGATCAGATAATGGAAATGGGAAGAGGGAGCTCCTTAGGGAGGAAGAGGGAAGTGAATACGGAAGAACATGGGAAGAGGTAAAGGGTGAATGGTCAGATATAATTTATTTGATAGGGTAAAAGCAGTAAGATTGGGCTCCTTATGGAAGGGGGAAGGAGGTGAATATAGGAAATGAAGGTAGATATATAAAATAACGCTGATGGCTGAAAAAGCCACAAGGAAACATACTTTTAACTGTTTACCTTAAAAACCTATAGTGCTTGTAATACACTGTATAAATATACATACATAGTTTCCATAAAGTTTTCTCACCTGGGCTGATGGTGCTCCCTGAAACAGGCAAAGACCACCTAACAAAACCCCAATACCAGACGTGAGAAGTCTTCTTTTGAGTTGTTGGCCAGGACTAAGCAACTTCCCAAGCCTATAACCTATTGTTGCTTCCCTCGGTTGTCCCTCAGAGGTAGAATTAAGTTCCTAATTCTAAGGATACCATGCACTTCAGAGTCAAGACTCAGATACCACTGAGACGGAACTGACCTGAGTGGCCTCTCCCTGAGGACTAGCTTTCAGTGTAACAAAGGCACCATGTGTTTCCTAAGGAGAGAAGCAACCAACAGTCCCACCCAGTCATGCGATCCAATAACCACATTAATGACCAGCACAGCATGATAAAGTAGTGGCATACACACACATAAATGCATACATATACATACATAGATACATAGATACATTTAAGAGGTCAGCTTTTGAAGAGGGTCTTATTTCTTAGCTATGCTCCCAATGTTTCTAGTCTATGAACTCGGTTTTATAAGTAGAAAATAAGAAATAATTACTTTCAAAGCTTACCTCTCTAACATATTTGTCTGATTTTCAAATATTTTAATCATCACAGTTATCCGTTGAGGCAATGAATAAGGAGTTTCTATTACAAAAAATAAAAATATCATAATGGCTGATCATACGACTCAGTGATGTAGATGGGGAAACTAAACAAACATAAGGATCAGGTGACATGATACTTTCAACCACATCTGCCTTATTTTATTTTATCTTACACATCATCTTTGGCTTCCAACACTGTGCCAATCACTGTGTATTCTAATCTGTGTGCGCTTTTAATCTTCATAATAACCAGGTAATATTCTATTGTTGACTAATAAATATGCCTACTCTATATGGCTGTTGTCAGGACAAAATAAAATTGGATTAAGCACTTGGAACCCTTTGGAAAACAACCTGCACAGTTTTAGATTAATTCTTATAGGCATTTTGCAAACCATTAAAGCAACTCGCTTGAAAAAAAGTCAGTGAGCATGCAACTGTCATTGGAAACTCCCTAAGGGGAGAAGCAAATGAGTTTAAAATGCAATTGGGTATTCAAGGTCTGAGAGACAATTTTTTTAGGTGTGATATATGCCTAATAGGGGCAACCAGTGACAAAGGGGGAATAAAAGAAACACGTGAAGTGATAATGACTACAAATATTCTAAAGAATAAAATACCAAATCACTCATCATTGAACATTTTTGTTATCACTGTGGGGATGTGCATGAGCGTGACAGGACTGTGTGTGGAGATCTGAGCACACTCTTTGGGGTCTGTTTTCAACTTCACTATTGCCTGGGTTCTGACTTAACTCAGATCAACCTCTGTGTGCAGTACGTGCTTTTACCTGCCAAGTCACTGGTTGGCCTAAGACTGAGAAAACAGAAACAAAATCAAAATATGCGCCTAAACATAGAATAATATTCAAACTTCAGAAAAATCAAAAGATAACAAAGGGACCAAAGTAGCCATACATAGAGAAAAAGGATGAAAATCAACCAGACTTCCCTCCTTCCCATACAGCATCCTTGCACGTGAGAAGCCCCTAGGACCTCAGAGCTACACTGTGTACACACAGCACTGCAACCCAGTCTTCAATGCTACTCTGTAACTCAATCATAAAAGCCACTATCAGAGCAAGTAAGGTTACACAGCTCAAGGCACTGGTGCACTTTCTGCTGAATACGTGCCTTAGGGCCAGTCTGAAAGCACCTTCAATGCAGACACCAGAGCTCCAGATGAAATAAGAACATCTCCACTGAGGTTGCTGAGGAAGCAGTAGCTCAGAATACAGCAGCATCCAGACTTCACAGTCACTACTAGCCCATGCCCACCTGTGGTACAGAACCCAAACTGGTGCTACCATCATTGTGATCACACAGCAAGGTATACTGGTCACCACCAGGTATCCTCCTGAAACAGATTCCCGTGGGTGAAACACACACACACACACACACACACACACACACACACACACACACACACACACACACGAGAATCTTAAACAGTTTTTGATACTAAAAATCTCAACAGGTCTCTGTGCAAGTGCTTGCTTACTGGATATAAAGACTTGTGTAAAATAATACAAAGACAACAGAAAGAACTTCAAGGACACTGAGCTGTTGTTTGAGGCCAACCTGAGATACATGAGAACCTTTCTTAAAAACAAACAAATAACAACCACAAAACCCAGACAAAATCTTGAAAGCAGCAAGAATACAGAGGTTCTCACTAGGATGGTGTGAATGAGAATGTCCCCCATAGGCCCATGTACATGAACACTGGGTCCCCAGTGGGTGGTAGTAACTGGGAAGGTATAGAACCTTTAGGAGGTATTAATGTAATGGTGTTTAAATGAATGGCCACGCCGGGTGGTGGTGGCGCACGCCTTTAATCCCAGCACTCGGGAGGCAGAGGCAGGCAGATCGTTGTGAGTTCAAGGCCAGATTGGACCGACAGTCTCCAAAACAATACAGAGAAACCCTGTCTCGTAAAAACAAAAGCAAACAAACAAAATGAATGGCCACTTACCTGGTTCAATTTCAGACATAACTTGAGATTCATACTCTGCGTGGGATTTTAAGAATTCTGAAATAGATGCAAGTGTCTGCCATTATACTTTTTATATCACAATCTTATGCACGAATCAGGTTCATGGTCTACATTTTTAATTTTAATGATTTGCCCAAGAGGAAGACAAAACGACTTCATGGGAACAACAGCCAAATCATAATAGCATTCATCTTTTAAGAATATTTATTTTACTTTATGTGTTTGAGTGTTTTGCCTGCATATATGTATCTGCACTATATGTGTGTAGTGCTGGTAGACACCAGAAGAGGGAGTAAGATCCCCTGGAACTAGAGCTACAGAGATGTAAGAGCTGCTATGTGGGTGTGGGAATCACACTTGGGTTCTCTGCAAGAGCAGCCAGTGTTCTTAACAGCTGAGCCGTCTCTTCAACTTGGCATTAATCTTTTGTGTTTCCAAAATCGACACTATAATAAAACTTGAATCGAAATATCAAACTCCCTACCGGACAGTGTCTTCAGTTTGCCATTGCATAATTTTTTAATTATAAAAATTAAGTTTGGGGCTAGAGAGATGGCTCAGAGGTTATGAGCACTGATTGCTCTTCCAGGAGTCCTGAGTTCAATTCCCAGCAACCACATGGTGGTCCACAACCATCTACAATTCAATCTGGTGCCCTCTTCTGATGTAGGCAGAAACTGCATATGTAATAAATAAATCTTTTAAAAATTAAGTTTAAGTCTCAAAGTGATAATATCATTAGGAAACTGTATAAAGCTTAAGCATTTATAAAATATTACCTTCAATTTGCTTCTCTATAGCTTCAAAAGTTTTCATTGATTCTGACAGAGCATCTTTATCCCTGTTAAGAGTGCCAATAGATAAAACATATCTTCATACACATTAATTTACATGCCCAAGGAACTATATTTTTCAGACTACACATATGAAGTTGGTGAAATAAAAGTTAATGATTTATCCTTAAGTCATAGTTACTACGATAAATGAATAGTAAAGCCATCCCATATTATAAAGGTCAAATTCTGTGAATTGTGTATTTCGGGTATAATTAAATACACCAGTAAGTAACATTTAGAATAAAAAGTCTGTAGAAACTGATCTCTTTTTTGCTAAGACATTTTCACTAGGTGCAGTGCTAGGAGGATGAGTCTGAGAGTCAGACAGCCCTCCCCAAACCTGTAACTACATGGCCTGGAGCCAGCTGCCATGCCTCTCTCTCCGGGTTCTTTATCTGTTAAAACTTACATATACCAATAGCCTTCTCATTATGTAGTTACGAGGCTCCCAGGAAATGCTGGAAAATATCTTGTGCATAGAAGACATCTAAATGTCAAATATAAATTCTAATATACGTTTAAAAATATTCCTGGCAACAAACAGCTCAAAAATGTACAGAAACCTTCTTACAGTGCTGATGCGATAACAATTTATAGAGAGAATATGCAGAGAGCGCACACTGACTTTTACCTTCTTACAACTATTAGTAGTTTTTTTTTTAACAATATGAAAGAGCTTTATATATACTTGATGGAATCCGATGTTTGAAAGTCCAATTCTAAACCTGGTTTTATAATTTTAAATAAACACTGAATTTGCTACTAGGACTCACTTGTTCACATTCAGACATGTGAGACCCAGAAACACAATGTTCTCTCTCTTCTGTGGTTTCCAGCTCCAAATCCTCAGATGTGAGCATGCAACATGGAGTAATGACTAAATCTAAGAAAGTATAAAGAGACCATAGGCATGGGGGGAGGGGCATGAGAAGGAATAATAGGATATAGGAGGTATGAAATGAGAAATGAAAAAACACAGATGGGGTTCAACTAGAGAGGAGGGGAGGGGTGTCAATACAGAAGGTGAATGACAGAGGAGGGACAAATAACACCAAGATTGTTGGATAAAGCCTCAAGAAATCCTGTTGTTTTACAGTCACATAAAATTATATAAAATACATTTAAGTATACATCTATCATCTATCTGTCTGTCTGTCTGTCTATCTATCTATCTATCATCTGTCCATCACCTATCAGTCATCCATTCATCCATCTATCTATCTATCTATCTATCTATCTATCAATCATCTATTTATCCATGTATCATCTGTCTACCTATCATCTTGTCTGTGTGTCTGTCTAGCTATCTATCCAATCTACCTAGCAGGAAGTTATGCCAACTGGGCGACAATGATCCCTACAAAACCCAAAAAAATTGAGATACAAGTACCAGGAATGAGCAATCACTGGTGAATGGTTGATCAGGGTATCTTGAGTGACTCCTAAAACAATATAGACTATAGACCTTGACTGCTTCCTGGGAGTTGAGGGTAGAACCCTATTGCTGAAGAAACCGCATACTTTGGACACAGAACTCAGATGATTTGAGCTGTATCTGACCTGGAAGCTTCCTTCCTGCAATCTGGCTTCCATAGTACCAGAAGATACTTTGAAAGCTGCCAAGCAAGGGGAGAAATTCAACAATCCTACTTAGTTGAACTATGACAATGAACAACATGGCAAGATATCCATAAAGGTGCAATAGTGGCATTCAAACATTGTTGGTAACCAGCAGTTGTCTAACTTGACCTAAGTCCCACTCAACAGGAAGGCAATAATGTCTAGTACTGGAAACAAAGCTAGTGAGGTAACGAACCTTACGAAAGAATCTACCATCACAACTTTGCTAAACCTGCATAATACCTAACCACATTCTAAACCTTATTCTCTTACTCATAGATAAGTGTACCGATACTTCTCATCAAAGAAGTTGCTCCTTATAGCAAGTGGAGGCCATCACAGAAGTCCACAAGTGGACAGAATGCACAGGTCAACAGATCATGGGGAACTCTCACCCCCAACAGATATATCTACATCATGGCACCTACATCTATTTTTAGAGAAAATCTCAGAAAAAGGCATGGAAAGATTTTAAGAGCCCAAACAACAGGAAGTCTGCTGTGAAACACTCTCTCGTAGAAATGTTTGCATAAACGAGACTGGACAACAATGGAAGATGCTAAAGTGGAAGGTAACAATTTTTTGCAGGGTTTCACCCCTAGAGAATTACAGGCAATTATTGACTGCTAGGAAAAGAATTAGCCTGTCTCAGAGATGAGCTCTCTTTATTGACTATCCAATGCAAAATGGTCAGTCCTGAAACTATAATACACAAGCAATAAAAACAAACTCAGCAGGTTGTAACTATGTATTTGTGCATACATGTAATACATATATGTATATATGTAATGATAATAAAGAAAAGGGAGCTATTAATCTGAGGGAGCATGGGAGGGCACTTGGTAAGGGCTGGAGGGAGGAAAGGTGGGTATGATGTAATTCTATTTCAACTAAAATATATTTAAATTAAGAAACATGTTTACAATCAAGATATTTTAAAGACAATACTATCCAGCAGAAGTTTTAAGTACTAGCTATATATGGCTATTGAGTACTTAAAATGTTTTTCGTATGCCCCAGAAGCCAATTTGTTTATGCTAAATTGAATTTGAAAAGCCCTATGTAGCTGATGTCCATTACACTGAATAACACCATCTCATATTATTAAACTTCAAATCAGAAAAAGCAAGTAAACATTCATATATCACTAAGAAGTTCTTTGTGAAACAGGAACACTGAGTTAGCTCACATCCAATGCTAATTGCTGATTTTAATTCAATGAATCCTTATATTTCACTTACATGTGTTTCAACATCAGTGATCCCCTTTGTCCTTTCAGGCGACTTTTCAGCTCTTCAAATTTATGTATCAGATTTGCTATTTGTGTAATGTTTACATTGACCGATTTATCGTCTGATGGAAGATCTGTTTCAAAAATGCTTTGGTCCTTACTTATCTAAAATAACAAAATTTACCAGTAATCAAAGAGCCATTTAATCTCATACATCAAAAGCATTTCACTATTTCCTTTATCAATCTGAATAACTTTTATTTAATCTCATAGTTAGCTATATCCAAACACTGGTATAATAGTCACAAATGCAGGGAAGGGCATTTCACTATCAGCAATGCTACAGCTCAGCCAGGATGTTTAAATGTCAAAGCTATTATTTACTATTTTGTTATATAAAATTTTTAAGAAAGCCCAATAACAAATGCAACTCAAAAATATTGACAAGAACAATTCTAAATCAATTGTTTCACATAATTTTTACCTGAGAATACTGTGTTGTAATAAATTATAGAAAGACAATGATAAAGTAATGACTCTCTATTACTAATCTCAGGTGTTAATGTGCTTTCATTTTTTCGTGGGGAAACATTCAGATGCCTTTGGATGTCTCAAGCCAGAGGGAACAAAAATGAAGAGAAGTTTCTGAGTGATAACTACACTTTCTGTCTCTGCCCTTTAATTTTCATTCCAAATAGCAAGACCCTTTTGTCTTAAAGAACATTTAACTAGAGAGAGTGATAAGTATAGCCAAAGGAGTGCAGAATACTTCTGAACAATCTTTGAAGTGGCCTGGGAAACAATTCTCTCATGCTAGAGGAATATATATAATCCATCCCAAAAGAGAACTAAAAGTCCTTGAAGTCACAGGTCAGTTGTTCTCTTTGGAGTGTCTAAAGTATTTGAAAATATAAAATGCAAATGGTATCATTAAAGAACACAATACATTTTCTAAAAGTCAATATAGTTTTACATCTGCTTATATTAGGAATAATTTTTTAAGCAGAGGAGAAATTTTAAGTTGATAAACCCCTATTACTTTTATGTAAATCAAAAAAAGAAAGTGAGTAAAATTGTCATTATTCTTTAGGAGAAACAATGATCTAATAAGTCCTGTTCTCCCCTGTATTCATGTAGAAAACTCATATGCAAATTACTGATAAACATTTTTACTACCCACTAATTATTTTTCAGCCCAAATCAGAATATTACTTTATATTCAATGGTTACTGAAACATTTGACTTACACATACTTCAAACAGATTTTCAAATGGGTCAAATACTTACTAATGTAACCAATAGTTAAGAAGTTTTAGATTTTACCTCCTCCATTTGGTTGACTCGTTGCTGAAACCACTTCATAGAAAAGGAATAAAAAGGAGAGTTAGTACACATGTATCGATGAACCCGTATCTACCCAGTACCATTTCTGACTCACACGCACATCACACAGGGTTCAGAACAGGGTTAGAAACTTAAAAATATCTAGCAGCAGCCATGGAATGCTGCACAGATAATCATTGCATAATATGCATTTTTTCTCTTTAGTTTAAGCTGTAATGAATTGAAACACATACCTTGAAAACAGACTCCAAAGTCTGGAAAACAAAGTTTTTGTTAGTATATTTAAAGATAAAACAAGTATCATGAAACTCTTATGATTTTGGATCATAAATCTGCTGAAATTACTATGATTTATATAGTTAAAGCAACAATAAATCTGTAGTTCCAAAGCTATAATAATTTTGTAGTTATAGTGTTTAGTCCATTTTCTATACACAACTACCTCTAGAATTAAAAATAGATTTTTTTTATCCACAGGATTTTGGAGTCAATTATTCACATCTAATATTTTTTGTGTGTGTATGTGTGAAACAAAGTTTCCAGAAGAGAGTCACACCTGTGTTATATGTTTTCCAAGGAGTGATTAACTTATTTTTAACACAATTTATAGAGGAGATGTGTAACTTCAGAGGGAAATCACCTTGGGCTATCTCAGCTCCAAATAGCCATTTATTGTTGACCTCTGTGTATGACCTGGTATTCTTGTGATTATTAGACCAACCACTTTCCAATAAACAAGTTCCACAAATTCCATCAACTGAATTGCTAATAATGCATGAGCTAGCGTCTAAGGCCCACAGCAGAGATTTCCCCACTGTGCCAAAACCTGCCTACTTGATGTTCCCAGAAAAGTATTTCAAAAATGCTTGATTTATAACTTTTTTCTGTTCTGTTGGTATAAAACTTCATGATTTATTCCAAGATAGTTTGTTTTTGGAGGTGATTGTGAATATTGCTTCCTGGCTTTCTTTCTATGTATCCTTGTCATTTGTACACTGGAAGGCTTCTGAGCATTGTGTCTAAATTTTGTGTCCACTTATTTTACTGAATATGTTAATAAGTAGAGATTTTTGGCAGAGTTATTAGGATCTTTTATATATATATATAAAAGGATCATATATATGTATATATATGTATATATATATACATAAAATCGTATCATCTGCAAATAAGGCTATTTTGACTTCCTCCTGTCCACCCTAGGCTACTGAATCAGATATTTAGTGAGGCCCGCAGTCAGTTGGTGACTTAGAGTGACTGTTTCTTATGCTGAAGTCTGAGTTGGTCTAACCTGTGGTTAATGCAGTGGAGTGTACAGCAACTGTATGAAAAGCTTCCTGAAAAGAGGGTTGCATGCTTGTCTTATTTTTTAAACTGCTGTGACAAAACATAATGGTGAAGACAACTTAGAAAAGAAAGAGAGTGGATTTAGGGTAAGAGTCCATGATGGCAGAGCAAAGGCACACTGTGTCAGGGACACTCTGGAGCTGGCATCTTGATCTAAAAGTAGAAGGCAGCGTAAGCACACTGGGAATGACCTGATCTTTTGAAGTTTCAAAGCCACCCCTCTGACACACTTCCTCCAACAAGGCCACACCTCCCAAACAGTTCCACCAACTGGGGACCAGTTTTTCAAGGATGACCTATGTGGGCTACTCTCATTCAAACCACCATGTTCTACTCCATGGCCCCCACAGATGTGTGGCCATATCATAGTGCAAAATGCACTTAGTCCAACTTCCAAAGTCTCCATCATTTTTCATTCTCAGCACTGTTTAAAAGTCCAACATTCAGAATCTGTTGTCAGACTCAAGGCAATCACTGCACTGTAAAAAATCAAGATGCAAATTATATACTTCCAACATACAATAATACAGAATATATATTACTATTCCAAAAGGAAGGAATCCAGTCACGGAGGACCAAAGCAACATACTGGGCCAAGTCCAAATCCTGTAGTTCAACTCTTCTTGTGTTTGAGCTCAGAGAGCTTAGCTGGCTCCAGGATTCCAGCTCTGCCTCCTGCAAGATCCACCTCTCTCTTGGGCTGCTCCACTCCACCTCACAGCCCTCCTCGGCAGGTGTCCCAGGGCTCTGGCACCTCTAACATCATGGTGGTGGGGGTCTCCAACACAGTCCAGGCTTCATGTTCAACAGCTCCACACAATGGCCTCTCAGGGCCTCTTGCCCTCTGAGGATCTTCATGCAGGCACTGCCCCATCACACAATGTCTGGCCTTGGCCTCTCCTTAACCATGGAGTAAGACCGCATCCCTGTACCCACATATCCATCACGACTCAAAGCCAGAACAACAGCGAGTGATGCTGCCAAGTGTAGCTGCCTGCTTGTGGACGGGGCCTGGTCCCTTGATCCCGTTTGAGGCAGCTTTCACTGGTTTTCTAGGCTCACATTTCTTAGGCCTCTTCCTTTCACAGGGGAAAGGAAGTTTTGCTGGGTAGGGTCTTGCCCTCACGGCACCTCAGGCCTTTCTTCAACCTCCTTTAGTAGAGACCTTGGCTTCTCCAGCATTTAATTTTCTGGTGCACCTTTTCTCTTGCAACTGTACATTTGGTATTGTTTTCTGCTCTTTTTCATCGTAGACCTGTACAAGAATGATTGCTAGTAACCATGGGGCAGAGTCAATAATAGAGTGCTTTGAAATCTTCCCCATCGAAGACTTTAAGCTCATTACTTTCAAACATAGCCCCAGGAAAGATCTCAGGACTTGGGCAGACATTCTTTGCCAAACATCACAGGATGGTGGATCTCTAGTCCAGTGGATGAGATTTCTTCTTTCCCAGATCACAGTCTGCATGGATCTGTCTTCCAAGCCTCTGCTAAGATAGCTCATTAAGCTCTGCTTACAGCATTCAAGCTTTAGCCTTGGAATTTCTGTTTTTCTTTAAAATGTAGGGCCTATCACAACACCAGCCTTGTACCAACTTCTGTCTTCAGTTATTTTTAAATTGCCATGACAACAGCTTTAAATGGGATGTCTTTATCAAATCCCCCCAACCCTCAGAACTCAGGGAACCCATGAAAGAGGTGGGAAGAGTGTAAGAGCCAGAGGAGATGGAGGACACCAGGATAACAAGGCCCTCTCAATCAACCACAGAGACTGAAGCAGCAAGCACAGGCCTTGCACGGGTCTGCACCAGGTCGTCTGCATACATATTGCAGCCCTCAGCTTAGTGTTTCTATGGGACTCCTGACTGTGAAAATGAATGGGTCTCTGCTTCCTGTGCCTTTTCTTTGGCGATTTTTCCTTCTGTTAGTCTGCCTTGCTCATCTTCAATGTGATGGTTTTTATTTTATCTTATTATATATTTTATTTTGTTATGTTTTGTTTTTATATCTCTTAGAAGCCTGTTCCTCAAGGCTCCCTGAATGTGGGTGTCAGCTAGGAGGCCTGGGAAGTCTATAAGGTCTCTGGTGGTGGAAGCAGCATTTATCCCTAGTGCACAAATGGACTTCGGCAGAACATTCTCTATGGAGGGATACTCTCTTAGCCTAGATGCATGGGAGAGGGCCTACCTAGGTCCTGCCCCAAATGACTTGACAGACTTTAATGATCCCTTGTGGAAGGCCTCACCTTCCCTGGGGAGTGCATAGGGGTGTCTGAAGGATCATTGGAGGATGGGAGGGAAAGGAAACTGGGATTGATATGTAAAATAACATCGTTACTAATGTTCTAACAATTCTAACATTGTTCTAATATATATGAAGTCCGTTCTTTCCCAATGAGAAACAGAAAGGGAGGAGGGGGTAGGCAGGAACTAGAAGGAGGAGTACAAGGAGAAGAAACTGTAATCTGGATTATTTATATGGGAAAAGAATCTACTTTCATTAAAAGAGAAAAAAGAAGAGAGAAATAAGAAATTACAGACTTTGTGCACATTACACTTCACTTAACTTCCTTCTCTGCCTCCTTAAAGAAATGGTAGCAAAACACTGCATATAGGAACCTGCCGGGAAAAGATGTGAACATCCGCCTGGAACACAAGAAGCATCTAGCTATCCCACCACAATGATGAAATGCTTTGAGCTACAGAGACGGAGGCTGCACAGCATGGTAAATGGACCATATCTCCCTCTCCTTTCTGCTCTGAAGCAGTTATGCTTCCAGTTATCTGAATTTCAACTAATATTAGTAATAATTAGTTTCCCCCAACACAGCATTTTTATTAATTACCTGCAAGTTTCATATAATGTACCCCAGTCACACATGCTTCCCATTCCTCCCAGATCTACCCTCCTACCCTTGTGCCCCCCCAAAAAAAGAAAAGGAAAAAATCATTTTTAAGTTAAAAAACTTGCAGTCCTATTCTAGAATTCTCGTATTATAAACACTTTCATTGTTTATTTTAGAAAATTTTCAACAATTACCTTTGAATGTGATTTATGTATTTTCCACATATTTCTGTATATTTCAAGATATGATTTAAGCAGACTTTTCTTTCAAATTCTATTTTGTTACTAATTGAAATTTTCAAGATATATAACAAAATAATTTAGTAGCATAAAAAATAAAGAGATGCCTATAAAATGAGCATACTGTAACTTTTGCTTTAGAACTGTCATCTAATTGGAAATATTTTCAGAATAAAGCAGGCATAAGCATTCATGGAAAATATCTAATCTAGTGAAAACTATATAACTAGTGTTGTATTGAAAATAAATATTTCAAAAATTAATAAAGTAAAAACTCAATATAATACTGCAATTTAAATTTTATTAATTAATTTTAATGTGGAAATCACTAATTTCCCTAATAAAATGACAAATACATGAAAGAGACATGAAGAGAGAGAGACAGAGAGCGATCATACCTACACCACATACACACTAATTTTGGAATAGTATTAATTGTTATAAAAATTATTTCTTAATATTTATGTATTTAACATATATCAACATATTATATAATTGTGAATATGTACTTTTACTTTTTAAATATATTACAACAAAACTGCAAAAAAAAAATAAATGACTCAGAAGACTATTAGATTAAAAAATGAAAAGACGACAATAAATAAGTTGCTGTGACAAAATACCATGACAAAGGCAATTTATAAAAGAAAGCATTTAATTGGGCTTACAGTTTCCCAGAGTTAGAGTCTGTGGGGGTGGAGCAAAGGCGTGGCAGCAAGAAAGCTGGGAGCAAAGCTTACCCCATGGCACACTTTCTCCAAGAAGGCCACACATCATAATCCTTCCCAAAGAGTTCCACTAACTGGGAATCAAGTATTCAAACATGGCTACAGGGGCAAGTTTCATCCAGAGCACTGCAATGCTTAAAGTGGAATTTTCAGAAGTGACCTTCAGAGAGTCATGATCTAGATAAGCATGGTGTATGCAAACATTGGGGCTTTTCAACAGGAAGGCCTGAAGAGCTAAGGAGATACAGGACACCACCAGAAGTAAATGTGCAACCAATGGAAGGATTTTATAAAAACGTTGGCTCTAAGCCAATTAATATTTCAGTTTTGTCTAGTAATGTGGTGTGGTTTAGTCACATTCCTTGTTTTCTACAAACTACTAAAAGGGTACAATGTATTTTGATACAGTTAAGAGCATTTGTGACTTTTTTTCTTCTTTGAAATACCTGTTTATGTCATAGTGACCTACCTTTCACTTACTGATTCAGAGTCATAGCAATCATGATAGTCTCTTATCAGCTATACGTGATCCAAATAATTTGCCTATGTTACTTTTTCTTGTCCTGTTCTCCTTGTGGATTTTTTTAACCTGATAGATTAAGGCTTTAGTTTTAATATAGTTGAGTTTGTCAGTCTTTCCTATAATAACTTGTATTTCCTTCTCATTATGATTTGTATTTTGATGCAAACTGGAGCTTACTGATTGTTTGGCTGATCAGCAGACTCCATGGATTCATCTATTTCTATCCCTCATCCTAGTAGAAGGGCTATAGATATACCACCAACAAGCTTTTATGTGGATGTTGTGAGTCTATCTGAGATCATCATGCTCATGCATTAGGCAGGCACTGTACCAAGGGAGCCCTCTCTCTATCCTCTGAGTTCTTAGCTGTTCTACACGTCTATAGTTCCATTTTCATCTAGTAAAATATTGTTTGGATTACCGAAAACAATGAAAAAAGTTTTGAAATATTTGTCTCTTAAATGAGAAATGAATGTAAAAATAATGCTAGAAACATTTAAAAGTGGAAATATTTAATTGGAAAATATTACAAACAAAAAGTAGTAAGAACATTTGTATCAGATAAAGTCATGTGCAAAACAGAAGCACAAAATAGAAGAATTAGCTATCAAAATAAAACAGTCATAAGGGATTATGAGACAGACAGGAGGAAAGAGAAGTCTGGGAAATGGCAAAGACAAATGATGTCAGTTGTACAACATCACAAGTCAATTTGGACATACGTATATAATATACTAGGGAATACAAAACAAATGATATTGTAGTTTATTAACTATATAGTATAGAAAAGGAGCTAAATGTTGACCCTCACCTATAAATACTGTGTCTCTTTTTCAGGCAACAGAAGAAAACACTATAAAATAACCAGCTTTAACCTGCCCCAAATGTCTTGCAAATATAATAATGACCATTTAAAACTCAAAGTGTATTGACAAATAAGCAAAATGTGATTTCATTCACAGTTTTAAAAATATTTACTTTTATTTTCTGTGGGTGTTTTGTCTGCATTTTGTAATATAAATTGTGTGCCTTGTATGTGCAGGGGCCAGAAGAGGGTTTTGGGTCTCCTGGAACTAGAGTTACACATGGTTGTGAGCCACTATGTATTATTGGGAACCAAATATGATCATTTTCAAGAGCAATAAGTGCTCTTTAACAACCGAGATGTCTTTCTAAACGCATATTATTTAATTTTTGAAATTAATAACATATATGAAATATAATAATGTACAAATAATAATATATGGGAAATCAGGAGTTAAGTAGAACTGTGCTAATAGTATTGTTTTGTAGTTTTATTTTTATTCTGGGAGAGTACAATGGTGATCCCTTGTTTTTGTTTTTGTTTTTAACCTGTCTTTGATTTTAAATTAGCATTAGAACATGATTTTGATAATAAACTTATTTTGAAAATGGAAACAAAACAGAGATCACATTTGTAATTACATATGACTGTATTGATACTGTATTAAAAGCAAAAGCCACAAATATTAAATGCCTACACTGAGAATCAAGAAATATAAAACATCTTCTAATGACTGTTGCATTCCCCAAAGGACTGATTCTAAACTAATACTGCTGAGTGTGTATCACATCACAGTTTCGACAACCAATCAAGTTCTCATAGTTTACACTGGGCATTTGACCCTGAATACATACATTCCGTTCTTCCTTAACTGCTTCCTCCAGCTGAGTGGCCAATTGTGAGCAGCATAACAAAAATGAATTCATATCATCACCAACCTTCAAAAAGGAAACACAAGGCAGAGTTACTTTCAATTTTAGAACCCACTTGTATATCCACTTCTGAATATATTTAACTGTGGTTTGAAAGTATTTTCATTTTGTGTAATTTCCATCCCTTCAAACAAAGGTGGCAAGAAACTATGTTTCAAATGTTATCCCCAAAACCCCTCCTAGAAATGAAATATGGAAGAAAGCACATCCTGGGGAGTGATGACACACAGTATGTTGTTTTTCTGTCAGCTTAGTGGCTGCACCAGAATCTACTGATATTTTAACATCTGAGTACAGAGGGCCCACAGTGAGTGCCTGGCTGCTTAGACTGTGCCTGGCAGGATTTCCGGCTTCATCAGCACCAGCTGCCTGTAGTCGCAGCTACCAAATGTAGGTTTTAACTAAGTCTCCTATGATCTATTTACCATTAAATACTCTGAAGTTAGTCGTTGGGGTGAAAATCTGCTAAATCAGGGGAGCCAAGAAGCCAGCAAGACCCAGCAAGTGAAGTGTCTTTTCACTCTTCCCAAGCCAAAAACACAGTGAATCTCTAAGCCCCTCCCTACTCCTTCCTGTGCATCTCTCTATCCCCATTCCTGGGTCCTCCATGCTTTCTATGGCTAATTCTTGTCAACTAGTCCCTGGTTCCGCCTCCTGATCCAAGGTTAATTTTATTAACATAGTATCTGAGTTTCACAGTGTAATTAAATATTGTGCAATAATGTTTTCCTATTTTGATCTATACAACTGCAGAAACTCAGGCAGCCCAACTTTACATTCCTGTTTTTATGGAATCTAAAGAAAACAGCTACTGTGTATGTGATTGTACATGTTAGAAAGTTAATGTAGGACTATGAATGCCGATTAGTGGTAGGGCATTTGTCCCTTAAACCCAAGGCATGGGTTCTAGCCCCAGCACCACAAAAAAGAAAAAAATGTAAACTACAACTATTGACTGTAAATATGCTTGCCAAAATCTGTGGCCTTTCAGTGTAACCTGTTAGTAGCGAATCATCATTACAATGTAATGATTAAATATCTTCTGATAGATATTTGTATATCAGAAAACTAACCCATGTTAAATCAATCCTAAATACTTATTTCCAGTAGAGATTCTCCCAGAAGAAGATACCCACTGAATAATACACTTCCACCATACTTTATTGGAACAACATTGACAAAACAGTCATATTATTCCAGCAGTTGAAAAGCTGAGGCAATAGATTCCAAGTTTCAGGCCAACTTGGGCTACAGAGAGTATTCAAGGGAATTTAATGAAATCTTATTTCAAAATTGTAAGGCATATGTGTGTATGTGTCTGTGTTCACACATGTCATATTACATATGCAGAGGTCTAAGAACATGAGATTGTTCTTCATGTGTGTTCCAAGGATTGAACCCAGGTCAGTAGGCTTGGTGGCAAGCACTTTTACTCACTGATCATCTTGCCAGCCCTCAAAAACTTAAAGAAGTGGTAGAGTGCTTTTCAACCATACTTTAGACCAAACAACAACAACAAAGCAAAGCAGAAAAAACAAAAATAAACACCCCCCCCAAACAAAACCAAATGAACAAAACACTGGAAGAATCATCCAGAAGACTAGGAAAATAGGGGAGAAGAAGAGTTACCAGTCACAAATTTAATGACAGTTCATTCCATCACACCACTACAGTCAATTGCCACAAAATAGAGACCAATTTGACAAAGTTTGCCCAAATAAGAGCAGTACACCAGACAGAAGAAAAAAAGAGAGTTTAGCAGATATGCTGAGGAGTGACAATAATAACTTGTGTACTATGTAACTTAAGCTAGTTGAGAAACGATAACTTGGGACACAAAATTGGCAGGTCCTAGGGAAACTGAAGAACTTCTTTTGTAATGTTAAACAGACTACAGGGGAACAAAGAAGGAGTTATTCCGAGGTCAGGGTCATTGAAATAAGCTAAGGAACTGACACCTTTCCAGCATTTGAGGTGAAATAGAAGACTATTAGTGGAGTAATCAAATTCAGTGAAATAAAATGCCATATTACATGGGCAGTTCTACACAGATAAGGAAATTATCAAGAATCATGACAATGGATGTGAGAGAAGCTGACTCCTACATGTATACTACTTATTGAATATCACACATTGATGCTTTCTTTTATACTAACAGAACTTCATTTTTGTTTGCAATAACAACATACAGCTACTACTATTACTGCTGGTGATGATGACAGTTTAAAATTTCCAGTCTTACAACAATGATCATACTGGTCAGATATCCTGAAAGGTACAATAGTGTCACTTATATTCTGGGGTAACCCAAAGTAACGTATTTGAATTTAAGGCCTTATAAGTTGAACAGAATGCATGCCAAGTACCACAAACCAGACAACTACCTGTGGCTGGTGATACCATGGACCCTAGAGGAGAATGACCTACTGCTGCATTCCTAAATATTATAAGTTCTAACTGCATCATTCTAGTACATATCCTTACATACACAGAGGGGTGAAGCTCTCACCCCTCATCAAAGAAGCTTCTTTTTGTAGCTGATGGGAGACCATCACAGAAACTCATAACTGTCCAGAATGCAAAGAACACCTGAGCATAGGGTGCTCACCCCAGGTCAATACATCTGCAACACAGCCAACACAGAACAATAGCAAATGCATAAAAGTTAAAAAATTCAAGTGCAAATGTAAGGTTGAGACAAATGTATGTAAAACAGGGCCAGCAAGAAGACTCAGCAGCTGGGTGGTGGTGGTGCATGCCTTTAATCCCAGCACTTGGGAGGCAGAGGCAGGCTGATCTCTGTGAGTTCAACACCAGCCTGGTCTACAAGAGCTAGTTCCAGTTCCAGGACAGACTCCAAAGCCACAGAGAAACTCTGTCTTGAAAAGCAAAAAACAAAAAAAAACAAAAAACAAAAAACAAAAAAGGCTCAGCAGTTAAGAGTTCCAGGTGTTCTTGCAAAAGACTAGAATTCGGTTCCCAGAAACTGCAATGGGTGGCTCATAACCTCCTGTCACTTTAGCTCCAATATCTTTTTCTGGACTCTGCAGATACCACTACATATGTGCACATTCACACATACATACATGTGGACTATTCCTCTACACTGTGTGAATATGTCACTGTGAATTGGTTTAATAAGAAGCTGACTGGCCAGCTGCCGGACAGGATAAGGTTAGACAGGAAAACCAGACTACGGACACTGGGAAGAAGAAGGGTGGAGTCAGAGGAGTCACCAGCTGGTCATGGAGAGGAAACACGAAGTCAAGATGAAAGAGACGGTGATAAGGAAACAGTGCAATGGGAAAAAAGGGGATCTAGGATATTTTATTAATATAGAAATCCCTTAAAGGGGAGCACTCTACTCTCCGAAGCACAGCCAGCACCCAAGAGAGAGATCTTACTTTTTCTTCCTCCTATATATCTCTTGCCTATTCCATGTCCCTCTGTCCATGCCCCAAACAGGCGTGGCCAGTATCTTGGGTACGTGAGCTCTCCACTACAAGAGGGAAACCATGTGGCAAAATGTAGATTAATAAAAATGTGTTAACTTAAGTTATAACAGTTAGCTAGTAACAAACCTGAGCCAAGCATTTAGACAGAGAATCTCTGCCTACAGAGACAGGCACACATACACATAAACAAAATTTAAAAGGCACCTTAGAAATTAAAACAAGCAAGAAATGAAACCCAAATAAAACAAAAACCAACCAACTGAATGAGAACCATGCTGTTATGTTAATAGCTACAATACAACAATATGTACAACAAAGATATTTGCCAAATCTTAAAAACTTTTGGTTTTTCTACATTTAAAGGCTAGAAAACAGTGTGTTTAAATTATATTTTATTATTTATCTTTGTGTGTGGGGATTTATGGGGGGGTCATGATTGCTTACAAAAGTATATCTGTGGATGTCAGAGTATGACTTAAAAGGGTTGGCCCTCTCCCTCCACCATGTAGGTTTCAAGGATTGAACTCAAGTTTATCAGTGTTGGTGGCAGGCACCTTTACCTACTGACCCATTTTGCTGGTGCAATACTTTCTTATAGCCAACTCAGGCAATGTATCCAATCTCATATTTAAAACTCACCACAGAGGCAAGATTGTAAAAGGTAGACTACAGATAAGACAGGAGTTGGCAGAGGCTGGAAACATTAGCACACTTCTGTCAAGTGTCTCAAGAGGATCTTTGTATGTATAGTGGGCCATTAAGACAGTGTGTTGTGTAGATTCCAAAGGCAATATATGCACATACAGATAAAGCTACTCCTTCCTTAAGTTTCACTGATGTTCTTTCTCGATTTTCATCAACAACTCCATATGTGTCTTCCAAAGCAGTAACAACCTTCAAAAAAATGAAAATCAAGTTGAATTTGTCACACAGTCAAAATGCTAAAGCAATCACACTATGACTGTATAGATGTCACTTTATTTCCAGTGGCAGGAATGTCAACGTTCTACCCATTTGGCTCATCACGTTTTTAGAAGATGCCTGCACAATGGTGCCAAATCCTGCTTCCTTGCGATGGGGATACCCCAAAACTCTGTCTTTTCTATGCAGATAAGTAGCTAAAAGAGAAAAGACATGCCTATGAATAGCAGAGTTTTCCTCAAACTCTGATTTTCCTCTGGAGATTGCATGAATAAAAAAGAAATATAAAGAGCAGAAAGCAATAAACTCTAAAAGACATTCTCCCAGATAACAAACTGATCAGGTATCTTAGAAACATGATGAATTATAATTTTTCATATTGTGTCCTCTCTCCTTATTCTTACTTAAAAGCCTGTTTACAATCTTACTGTCAATCATTATGTAAAAAGAAACTTAAGAGAAGCATTAAATGTTATAATGTTGAAGTGCAGACAAGAATTAACAGCTGACAGATGCCTATACCCATAAATCCCTGCTTGCAAAGATAGCCTGGCAGTTAGGAATTTTGCTTTCAAGAAACTAGAAGAATGGTCTTTATCCCAGACTGTGCTTTATGCTGAACTGCTTTCTTTTGGATTGTGGAATTCTAATACATACTTGACAGAGAACACTTTAGGTTTCCACCCCTCTGGGCACTTAGTTTTTAATGATATCTTCTAGTACCCATCCTATTTGAGTCATCATGATTTATTACATGAGGAATGAAGCATACCTCATATGATTTCAGTCAGAGGACACTCACATCCCTGGGCCTGTTTTCCTTCTAATCTCCCTCCACTTGCTGGATGTAATAAATTTTATCATTGGTATAATGATATATGGAGTCCATCCTAATTACAGCTGATTCTCTTTCAGGGTAACAACAAATCTCCCAGCTAGTGACCATCTTGGGAATTACCACAATAGAAGACACAGCATACATCTTACCAACTTCAGATGTTTAGCAATCCTCCTGACCATTTCATCTTTAGGTATTAAATCCTCTGTCTTCCTCGATGGTATAGGCAAGGCATACCGCATGAGTGATTCTCCTGTGGGTGGAGACCTTAGGACCATTGGTTCGATTTTATCATGCTGTGCCTTGGCATTACGTTTTTCTTTTAACTTAGGTGATGAATTAAGTAATCCCTTTTTATAAGGTAATTCTGGAACACTTGTAAGTTTCTTACTAATGGTTGATAGATTCTTTGCCCGCTTCATTTTTGTGGTTGACTTGGCTTCCAAATTACATATGAAAAGTTCATTACCTCCCTGTGAATAAAACATTAAGAGATTCAAAGAAAAATCCCACACCATTCATTTAATTACCCAAGAAAAAAGTTATTCTGGTGAAATTCATGTCTTATCATTAGTGTACTGTAGCAGGCTGCTAAAATGATATTGTTATTATGGTGTAACTATGAACAGTTCTGTACAGGCTCATGTCCTGGGTATTTGTTTCCCAAATGATGTCACTATTTTGCGAGGTGGCTGAAACTTTAGGAGGTGTGGCCTAGCTGTAGGATGTTGATAAATGAATGCTGACTTTGCAGGTTTACACCTGGTCCTCAATTTCACATTTCTGCTTCCTGTCACCAGTGTGACCAGCCTCATTTTCCACGGGTTTCCCATCATAAAGTGTGACTTTTTATAGACTCAGATGCATGCAACTACATGACTGTGGGCTGAACCTTCTGAATTTGTGAGCCAAGTAGGTCCTTCCTTTCAGTGGGTACTCATGGCAGGTAATTTGTTTTAGAAATGCAAAAATAACTGAACCATATACCAAATCTCTTCAGGGAGGAGCTGTCATTATTATTCGTCTATCTTTGATGACAAGTGAAATAAAAAAATAGAAATTTTTAAACTCAAGTATGGAAACATAACAGTGAAAAGACCCATTATTAAGCTAAAATGCACCCTTTACAAACACCGCCATTCCCATTTGGCATGTGATTAAACTGATCTCAGAGAAGCTGGTCACAGGACAACTCGAACAACCAGGAAGGGTTGTAGTTGGGATTTCAATAAAGAAATTTTTTTCTGTATATCTTGTTTCTTTTCTATGCTACTTGTTCCAAGTGTTATCATTTATTTGTCTTTAAAATTTATAGTATTTTGTATGAGTGAGGGATGAAGTAAGTGAAAATATTTCAGATATGAAATTGGAACAGGATTATTAAATACTCCAGCGATCCCAGCTTCAGACCCCAAACTCCCTTCCAGGCCCCAACCTCCGGCGACCCCACCTTCAGCTTAAGCTTTAGTGTCAGCATCCCCAGCTTCAGCTTCAGGAAGGAAGGAGACCAGTGGAGACAGAAAGACCCCACCAGGACCCAATGGAAGAAGAGATGGGAAGAAGACAGAATAAGAGCTCACTCAGCAATAGAAAGACCAACATGACTCCACCAGAATCTAGGGAACCAACGCCAGCAAGACCTGAAAAGCACCACATAGACGAAGCAGAGGAGACAGACCTTAAAAATCATTTTATGAAGATGATAGAGACCCTCAAAGAAGAAACGAAGAAATCCCTTAAAGAAATAGAAGAAAAAACAAACAAAAAGATCCATGAAATGGGGGGGGGGATTCAAGAAATAAACAAATCTCTCAAAGAATCTAAAGAGTACCAAGAAAAAACAACCAAAAAATGAAGGAAACAACTCAAACAGTTGAAGGATTGAAAGCTGAAATATAAACAATAAAGAAAACACAGAACGAGGGGATGCTGGAAATGGAAAAGCTGGGTAAATGATCAGAAACTACAGATGCAAGTATCACCAATACAATACAAGAGATAGAAGAGAGAATCTCAGGTGTTGAAGACTCATTAGAGGATATACAGTCGTCAACCAAAGAAAATCTCAAAACCAACAAATCCTTAACACAAAATATCCAGGAAATATGGGACACTGTGAAGAAGCCAAACCTGAGAATAATAGGTATAGAAGGAGGCAAAGAAATACAGCTCAAAGGTACAGAAAACATATTCAACAAAATCATATAAGAAAACTTCCCTAACCTAAAGAAGGATATGCCTATGAAAATAAAAGAATCTTACAGAACACCAAATAGGCTGGACCAGAAAAAGAAGGCACCTCACCATATAATAATCAAAACATCAAACCTACAGAATAAAGAGAAAATATTAACAGCAGCTAAAGAAAAAGGCCAAGTAACATATAAAGGCAGACCTATCCGAATTACACCTGACTTCTCAATGGAATGATGAAAGCCTGAAGATCCTGGACAGATGTCCTACAAACACTAAGGGAACAAGGATGCCAGCCCATACTACTATATCCAGCAAAGCTTTCAATTACCATAGACGGAGAAAACAAAATATTCCATGACAAAGCCAGATTTAAACAATATATATCCATGAATCCAGCTCTACAGAAAGTGCTAGAAGAAAAACCTAGATCCAAGGAACATAACTACACTCACAAACACAGGCAATATATAATCCCACTTTACAAAATACCAAAAGAAAAAGGGAGGAGGAACTACACAAAATAACTTCACTATCAATAAATCAAGCACAAACAAGAATCATCAATCAATGGTCATTGATATCCCTCAATGTCAACGGCCTCAACTTGCCTATAAAAAGACGCAGATTAAGAAGAAGAAAAAAAAAAAGACGCAGATTAGCAGAATGGATACAAAGACAGAACCCATCCTTCTGCTGCATACAAGAAACATATCTCAACATCAAAGACGGACAGTATCTCAGAGTAAAGGGTTGGGAAAAGATTTTCCAAATAAACGGACCCAAGAAACAAGCGGGTGTAGCAATCCTAATATCTAACAAACTAGACTTCAAATTGAAATCAATCAAAAGAGATGAAGAAGGACATTTCATATTCATCAAAGGAAAAGTCCATCAAGATGAAGTCTCAATTTTAAACTTCTACACCCCAAATACAAAGACACCTACATTTGTGAAAGAAACATTACTAAAGCTCAAATTGCACATAAAGTCTCACACACTAATAGTAGGAGACTCCGCTCTCACCGCTAGACAGGACCTCCAGACAGAAACTTAACAAAGAAACAAAAGAACTAATAGAAGTTATGGCCCATCTGGGTTTAACAGACATCTATAGAACATTCTACCCAAACACAAAGGGATATACCTTCTTCTCGGCACCACATGGAACCTTCTCTAAAATTGACCACATAATAGGAAACATAGCAAATCTCCACAGATACAAAAAAATTGGAATAAGCCCCTGTATCTTATCAGACCACCATGCATTAAAATTAGAATTCAACAATAACACAAATCACAGAAACCCCACAGCCTCACGGAAACTGAACAATGCACAACTGCACCATCCCTGGGTAAAGGAAGAAATAAAAAAAAAAAAAGAAATCAGGCCAGGCGGTAGTGGCGCATGCCTTTAATCCCAGCACTCAGGAGGCAGAGGCAGGCGGATCTCTGTAAATTCGAGGCCAGGCTGTACCGAAAGCCTCCAAAACAATACAGGGAAACCCTGTCTCGTAAAACCAAAAAACGAAAAAAAAAAAAAACGAAAAAAAAAGAAATGAAAGACTTCCTGCAATTCAATGACAATGAAGACACAATATATGCAAACTTATGGGACACTTTGAAAGTAGTGCTGAGAGGAAAGTTCATAGCACTAAGTGCCCACATGAAGAACCTGGAGAACATTCATACTAGAGAATTAATAGCACAGCTGAATGTTCTAGAACAAAAAGAAGCAAACTCACCCAGGAGGAGCAGATGCCAGGAAATGATCAAATTGAGGACTGAAATCAATCAAGTAGAAACCAGGAAAACAGTGGGAAGAATCAATGAAACTAACAGTTGGTTCTTTGAGAAAATCAACAAAATAGACTAATCTCTGTCCAAACTAACCAAAAGACAGATAGAGAGCATGATAATTAACAAAATCAGAAATGAAAAGGGAGGCATAACAACGGACACTGAGGAAATCCAGAGAATCATCAGAGCATACTTTGAAAATCTGTACTCCACAAAATTCAAAATTTAAAGGAAATGGACAATTTCCTGGATAGATATCACTTGCCAAAACTAAATCAAGAGCAGATAAATAATCTAAACAGACCTATAACCCTTAATGAAATAGAAGCAGTCATCAAAAGTCTCACAACCAAAAAAAAGCCCAAGCCCAGATGGCTTTAGTGCATAATTCTACCAGAAATTCAAAGAAGAGCTAATTCTAATACTCCTCAAAGTATTCCACACAGTAGAAGCAGGAGGCTCACTGCCAAACTCTTTTTATGAGGCTACAATTACCTTGATACCCAAGCCACACAAAGACACAACTAAGACAGAGAACTATAGACCAATTTCCCTCATGAACATCGATGCAAAAATACTCAATAAAATACTAGCAAATCGGATTCAAGAACACATCAGAAAAATCATCCACCATGATCAAGTAGGCTTCATCCCAGGAATGCAGGGATGGTTCAACATTAGAAAAATCTATCAATATAATCCACCATACAAACAAACTGCGAAAAAAAACCCACATGATCATCTCACTAGATGCTGAAAAAGCCTTTACAAAATCCAGCACCCCTTCATAATAAAGGTCCTAGAGAGATCAGGGATAACAGGAACATTCCTGAATATAATAAAAGCAATATACAGTAAACCAACAGCCAACATCAAACTAAATGGAAAGAAACTCAACGCAATTCCTCTAAAATCAGCAACAAGACAAGGCTGTCCACTCTCTCCATATCTCTTCAATATTGTACTTGAAGTTCTAGCTACAGCAATAAGACAACAAAAGAAGATCAAGGGGATACAAATAGGAAAAGAAGAAGTCAAGCTTTCACTATTTGCAGATGATATGATAGTTTACATAAGTGACATGAAAAACCCCGCAAGGGAACTCAGAGAGCTGATAAACACCTTAAGCAAAGTGGCAGGATACAAGGTTAACTCAAAAAAATCAGTGGCCCAATTATATACAGATGATGAAGTGGCTGAGAAAGAAATCAGAGAAACATCACCCTTTACAGTAGCAATAAATAGCATCAAATATCTGGGGATAATGTTAACCAAGGAAGTGAAAGACCTGTATATCAAGAACTTTGAGTCTTTAAAGAAAGAAATCAAAGGGGATACCAGAAAATGGAAAGATCTCCCATGCTCTTGGATTGGTAGGATCTACATAATAAAAATGGCAATCTTGCCAAAAGTAGTCTACAGATTCAACGCAATCCCTATCAAAATTCCGGCACAATTCTTCACAGTCCTTGAAAGAACAATAATCAAGTTTATATGAAAAAACAAAAGGCCCACGATAGCCAAAACAACCCTATACAATAAAGGAACTTCAGCAGGCATCACCATACCTGACTTTAAGCTCTATTATAGAGCTATAGTCCTGAAAACAGCTTGGTATTGGCACAAAAATAGACAGGTAGACCAATGAAAACCCTGATTTTAACCAACACACCTATGAACACTTGAATTTTGACAAAGAATCTAAAACTATACAATGGAAAAAAGAAAGCATCTTCAACAAACGGTACTGGCACAACTGGGTATTGGCATGCTGAAGACTGCAGAGAGATCCATGTCTATCGCCTTGTACAAAACTTAAGTCCAAATGGATCAAAGATCTCAACATAAATCCAGCCACACTGAAACTTTTAGAAGAGAAAGTGGGAGATACTCTTCAACGAGTTGGTACAGGATACCACTTCCTGTACATAACATCAGTGGCACAAACACTGGGATCGACAATTAACAAATGGGACCTCATAAAACTAAAAAGCTTCTGTAAGGCAAAGGACACAGTCAACAAGACAAAAAGGCAGTCCACAGAATGGGAAAAGATATTCACTAGCACCACATCTCACAGAGGGCTAATCTCCAAAATTTACAAAGAACTCAAGAAGCAAGTCTCCAAAACACCAAAGGATCCAATTAAAATGTGGGATACAGTACTAAATAGAGAATTCTCAATAGAGGAGGCTAAAATGACCAAGAGACACTTAAGAAAGTGCTCAACATCCTTAGCCATCAGGGAAATGCAAATCAAAACAATTTTGAGATACCTTCTTACTCCTGTCAGAATGGCTAAAATCAAAAACACCGATGACAATTTATGCTGGAGAGGATGTGGAGAGAGGGGGATACTCCTCCACTGCTGGTGGGAGTGCCAACTCATACAGCCATTTTGGAAATCAGTATGGAGATTCCTCAGGAAAATGGGAATAAACCTAACACATGACCCAGCAATTCCACTCTTAGACATATTTCCAAAAGATGCAAATTCACACAACAAGGACATCTGCTCCACTATGTTCATAGCAGCATTATTTGTAATAGCCAGAAACTGGAAGCAACCTAGAAGCAACCTAGATGCCCCTCAACTGAAGAGTGGATAGAGAAAATGGGGTACATTTACACAATGGAGTATTACTCAGCAGAAAAAAAAATGGAATCTTGAAATTCGCAGGTAAATGGATAGCACTGGAAGAAACCATCCTGAGTGAGGTAACCCAGTCACAAAAAGACAAGTATGGTATGTACTCACTCATATATGGATTTTAGACATGGATCAGGATAGTGCCAGTCTGCACTTCCACTGACAGAGAGTCTGGGAAACCCGAAAGTACCTAAGAGATATGCATGGTACCCAAGAGAAGAGGAATGAGACAAGATCTTCTGAACAGATTGGGAACACAGCGAGGGGAGGGGGGGAGTGGGAGCTGGGAAGAAGAGAGGGGGATAAGAGGAAGAGAGAGTAGGTCATGGGGGAACAGGAGTAGGAGGTAAAATAGGGGGAAGAGGGAATCATAGGTTAAAAGACAGATCAGGTACCAGTGTGACCTCTAGTGATCTAAAGGGATGACACCGATTGGCAAGCTAAGCAATAGTGGAGAGACCACCTCGAATGCCCATTCCTGATAATTAACTTGATGTCTATAACCATCTTGGAGCCTTCATCCAGTGACTGATGGAAGCAGAGGCAAACACCCACGGTTAAACACTGAACTGAACCAAAGGAACCTAGTGACAGAGAGAGAGAGGCGATGAGCAAATTGGCAAAGAATTGGCTGGCAAAATCAGCAGATACAGCTGATCTGAACAGGGGGGGAGCTCTTGGACCCCAGACCGACAGCTGGGAGGCCAGCATGGGACTGATCTGGACCCCCCAAATGTGAGTGTCAGTGAGGAGGCCTGGGCAACCTATGGGGCCCTGAGCAGTGGACCAGTGTTTATCCCTGGAATACAAACAGGCATCATGTGTCCATAACACAAAGAGGGATGCTCTCTCAGCCTGGACTCTTAGGGGAGTGCCTGAACCCTACCAGGAGTGAAATGACAGACTCTAGATATCCCCCATGTGGAAGGAATTGGCAATAGGGTGGGAGGCTGGGGGGGAATGGTGGGAGGCTGTGGGAGGAGGGGAGGGGGAGGGAACTGGGATTGACATGTAAAAGAAGCTATTTAAAATTAAAAGAAAAAAAAAAAGAGGCATTTCTCAAAAAGTTCTTAAAATGGCCAGTCAATAATACATTAAAGCTATAGTACATAAACATGCCAGACATAACTTCTTATCAGGGAAATGCAAAACAAAACCAAAATAAATAAATAAATAAATATTGCAGAACTTAGAATATATCATGGTCAAATTTAGCAAATAAAATGGTAGTGAATTTTCAGTGGAGATTTATGTGAGCCAGAGGGCACTAAGGAAGAAAAATCAAACACTTTTAGCTTTAAAAGGAAAGAATGAAAAAGCTGCTTGATAGTGTTTTGAAAAATAAAAAGGAAATTTTCTGTTTAGCACTTCAAGAGCCTGGAGTGCAGCAACTCTGATACAAACTACCCTTGTGGTCATAAATAGAATAATGGCTGGTCTCCAATGACAGTTTACTATGCTATTTTGGAGGTCTCATTTGCTAATTCATAAACAGAACTACTATTACCTCCATTTCACAGGTTTGAAAATGGAGGTCCAGAGGGGTAAAACAGCAGGAAGTCCTTTTCCATGTTTCTGCACCAGCACAAGCTGAATTCAGGACTGCAGTCTGTTTCAGAGTCCAAGCTACTATTTGAATACCATGTAAAAGAGAAGATTCAATGACTCAAGGTTCACAGATCCAGGCAACAAAATAATGCCCACTGCCATTGTCAGCATATATCAGAAACTCACCAGATGGAGATACCAGAATGCTGAATGTGGACATGTGGAAGGGAATCCTTGCCAAATGCATAGGCCCCTCCTTGAACTTGCTCAGTGACAGGTTTCCAGAGACTGGTATCCATCCTGCCACTTAAGAACTCCATCAATTTAAGGGTATGCATTAGTCATGACAAGTAAAGATCTGTTTCACCAGCACCCTTCCCCACTACTGTATATACTAGAATTTCTCAAACCTTCAATGTTATGTTCACAACCTAGCCAAATATTCACACACCACTCTAAAGCTCCATTGGCAATTTATGATTGTGTTTATGTTGTGTTTGGTACATTAGAATTACAATACTTGAGAAGCACTGCATGCCCTGCAGCGATCAGAAAATTCCAGAAAGGGAAGAAATTTCTTCAGAGAAAGCACAGCTAGATTCTGTGCTGACAAAAGGAAAACAGAATTTGAAAGTAAAGTATTGTACACAGAGTCTCAGGCTGGGAACTATTTGACAGTCAAACTTGGAGCCCTCAAAAGAAACAACAGATTAAGTCTTGGGTAAAAATCAATACTGAAAGTTATTTTCATATTGTATCTACATTTTAAAATGCCTGCTTCTCTGTCTCTTTGTGGATGACACTTAAGTCAGTTTAAGCAACCAAAGAATTTGTTAGAATAGCATGAGGAAAATTAATAGGCTTTGGAAGACTTTGGAAGGACTTAAGTCATTGTTTAAAGAGAGATTTATTTTATTTTATCAATGCTAGGAATTGAATTCAGAACTTTACACATACTATTTGTGTGCCCTAGTACTGAGTTAAACCTCCTGCCCAAACAGATATATTTGAAACAAATGAGTCAAGCAAATTGTGACCTATTGCCATAGTCATGCATCAGTTGACTATAAAAATGAAAATGTAATGTTCTATTCTCTATCAATGGATATATAAAAATCCTATATAGACAAACATACTATATTTTAATTAACTTGTAATAGCCATATATCCTTATGGGGAACATTATATTTTAGTAGTATATTTTAATACATGCATACCAGATATACTGATCAAATCAGATTAAGTAGTGTTTCCTATGCATTGTTATTTTGGAGCCTTCTGGAACTTCTCTCTGGTTCTTCATAAAGGACATAATGTGTTCTTGTGAATCTAATACATTTTGTAGAATGTAATTCTCATTTATGAACTTTGATTGCCTCACGATTCAGAGCAATCAAAAGTAGCTATGTCTCTCAGTTATACCCATCAGTTTTATAGTCCTTTCTCAAATCTGCCTCCTAAGTCTGATAAGGAAGAACTGTCTTTTCTTCTTAAAGTTAATAATCAGTTAGAGATGAACAACTACAGTTGTTATGACTTACTAAGGAATCAGACCAGAAGCCACAGAGTTGTTGATAAAATACAAATACACCTACTTACCTGGATGGCTCTGACGTTGGAAACTGGCTGTTTCAACCTATTCACGAGGTCTTATTCCTAAAAAAACAAAAACAAAAACAAAAAACAAGACTCTGTTAGATGTGGCAGCCTTCAGATTCAAGATCTTGATAAATTAGAATTTTAACTCATGATTCAACTGGGCAATTGCCCCTTTCACTGGCCATATATTCTTTCAGTCTCAGTTTCTGCATTACTTGGAGACTCACCTTCCCAATGCCTCAGGGAGAGGGAACACTAGAGCACCTCGATAAATCATTCAGGAAGAGATATACTGAAATGCCTTGCCCCTGATGCAAATGATAGGTGATCAGAAACTTGAAAGGCCCTATCATCTCTTTGCCTGCCCTCTTGACCTTCTGCCAAGAGCAGCAAACTGAAGAGGTGGTGGGAATAAAAAACCCTTGTTCGGCCTCAGAGGCTCTCAGCTTGAAACTGAACTTTTGATCTGTACAAACTGTTGCCAAGACAGCAAGCTACTCAGTTCACTAGAGGCAACCATTCTCAGTAGAATACTCAAAGATCTCTCCAAATACCCTCTCTCAGCAGTACATACATCTCTTCTCCCAGAGACCTGGGAGACTCTCTGAAGAGCTGAGTTATTTAATCTTCACAAGTTAAATAACACACAACCATTGCCAATGAGCCTAGGTTCCAGAAAAATGGAAACCAGAATGTTCTAGAACTGCCTTCTTTCAGTAGAAGTATCTTCAAAGCCAAGTAGAATTGTGACTACATAATGGACACCCCAAATGTAGAAGTGCTTTCTTCCCCAGCTTTCTTTAAACACGAGACCTAACTTTGATCACTGGGACCAAAGCCCATCTAGGGATGTAGGCTATGGTTTGTTGGAGCTAAAGGAACAAAGAATAATAATGAACCCAGCTCTGGCCTGTTTTTATAGCTGTCTGTTAAACATCAACCAAACCAAGTAAAAAGTTAAAAACTCACTGAAAACAAAAAGTCCCAAATGGAAATGGTATGAACCAAAATGGACAGTGTGACTGACTGACCACATGTCTGCAGAGCAGGTTAGTATGATGACTAATCACACCGAGATGCTAGGATAGGAGCAGCATACAACACAAAAGCAGAGCAATACAGAGAAAAAGTAGAGAAATGAAGAACAAACCAAAGACATACCTCGAACTATGCAAATGCCAATAGACAGATAATGAGAGACCCAAAGGAAGAGAAAGGTGGAACATATCGGAAGAAATACTCCAACAAATAATAAAGAAGTGTTTCTCAGACCTAAAGAGTATTATAATGTACAGATAAAAAATGTTCTCAGGATGCCAATAGGAAACAAACAAAAACACAAAGCACATCAGAAAGAAATGGAAACATCTAAAAAGGAAAACTAAAAACAATTTTCAGAAAGAACATGAAACCTAAAAAGGAGGGGAAAAAAGGATCAATGATACCATTTAATATTTCTTCTCAAACGATTATATATTTTATCTAAATTTCAAACTCATTAAGGGCTAACAAATAAACATGCTTCAAAGAATAAACCAGCAAAAGAGGGAGCTGGGGCTGAAGCCATGGCCTGAGGCTAGAGTCCAAGCCCCTGCCACCACCAGCTCAGTCATTGTAGGCCCTGAAAGAAAAGGGCTGTAGTGGGAGTGGCCTGTGTGGGCTGAGCAGTTTCTCAGGGCCAGGATGCTCCAAACTAGCAGTGATTCAAGCCCACCAAGCAGTGGTCACCTCTCATCATCAAGAGTCCAGCAAGGCTGTAGTTGCTCCAGGCACAGGATGGTTCATTTTGACTTGATGCTCTAAGTAGGGCTCTCTTCAAACTCAGAGGAGTGGCCACAGAGAGATGATCAGCTCGAATCCCAACCAGCTTCCCTGCCTTGGCATTTTCTGGGCACTCATGCAGTGTGGGGTTGTAGTAGCTGGAGCCCTCTCCTGCCACCTCTAAAGACAGGGAATGGGGAGTTACTGCCTGCTCTGCTCCTCCTCTTCTCCCTTTCCAAGGGAAGTTTCTTTCTAGTTCCACCCTCCACCGGAAGTCCCGCCTCTGCATCCCAAAGTGTGTTCTTCCCCAGCTCCTGCAGCACTCCCAGAAGACAAGACTGAGATTCATTCTTGCCTCAGTTCTTTGTCCTTAGTGGATAACAGTTGATCCTCTCCTCTTAACTTCCTACTAAGGGATTTATCCATTCCAATTACCAGCCCCTTGACCATGTCCATGTGACTTCCCCACTCATCTGAGGTCCAGTTTCCCTAGGCTCTGTTTACCAGCTCTCAGGAATCTAGTCAGTTTCACCCCTGAATGGGAGTGATCAGAAGGATCCAGTTCAGGATTTTTCGTGCTGGAAGGCTGCTCCAAGTTGGCAAAGATATGAACCTGGCATCTCTACCCACCGAGAACAGGAATAAAGGAAAAATCTCAAAGAGATTACTGCAGTCAGCTTGCCTGCAGGACAGCTGGAGAAGTCCAAGAACGGCTCAAGCAGCAAGTCTTTATTTAACACTGAGCCTCTGGCCTTAGGCTCCAGTACAACACCGAGGACCAAGAGGATTCTATGCAACTAGAAACCATTCTTTTATCAAGGAAGACTACTTACGGTGGTGCTACAAGATCTGTTTTCCCCTCTGAGCTGTCATCATCCTGGAGGCAAGGCCTGTATTGTGTGCTGTGTTGGTTTGATGTGAACACACTTGGCTCTCGAGGATCTGGATGCCCTCAAGGAAGAATCAGAGCAACAAAATCTAGTCAGAAAGGCCCACTCCAGGAAATGCCCAAACATAATGAAGGAAAGACTGGAGTAAATAAAAACAACTTGAGAAGGTAAATGGGAAGCTGGGCTCTATTACAGTCAGCATCAACATGACAGAGTTGACTTCTTAAGTAACCACTCAAAGCCAGAGCTGCCTTACATGTACATCAGGCTTGCCTACCACTGTAGAAGGACAGTTCCCATCGACAATGCCTTAAACAGTGTTCATCTTGCTGTGGAGGCAACATGGGAAGCTGAATGTACAGAATAGAATTATGGCAGATTGATATGGAGAGTAATGGAAGTAATCAGATTATCCCATCACCTTCAGGCACACCCGAATTTGGTAATAAAATCCCAGGTGACAAGGTAGGTTCTGGCTGGGAGCTGTAAACAATGCTGGCTGGACCATACCAGCTCTACGATTAGAATTGTTGGCTTCTTTTTCTTTGTTCCTAGTCATTTAACCCCAACCTAGGAACCACACAAGTCTTGTTGGGAGTTCTCTCAAATCTCTCTCAAGATTTATAAGCATAAAAATATTCAGTGGTGAACTACATTTTCCCTTCGAGTGTGCTCTAATGGTCCTCAACCTTTCTAATGTTGAGACCCTTTGATACAGAGTTCCTCATGTTGTGGTGAGCCTCCAACCATAAATTGTTTTTGTTGCCACTTCATAGCTGTAATTCTGCTACTGGTATGAATCACAGTATATATATCTGATATACCAGATATCTCGAATGTGACCCCTATGAAAGGGTGGTTCAACCCCCAAAAGGGGTGTGACCCACACGTTGAGAACCATTGTGCTAGGCTGTTTCCCCACTCTGTCTGCACAGAACAAACTTGACAAGTGGCCATGATGTTTGGTCCAGTTTATCCTGACAGATGTGGATGCTGTCCAGGAGCTTGAAGCCTTTAAAGGTCTTTCTTTGTAAGTCATTCAATTTGGTGTTGTCTAATTTTCATGTTTGTAGAAATATTAAAATGTAATGTTTCCCATGAGAGTGTCTACATTTCTCCTTCTTAAAAGTTTTTTTCCTTAATGTTGTCCTTGTATACCTGTGCTATTTCACTTTACATTGAAGGTTAAAGTATAGTTTAAGAACATCAGGTAATTCTTGCTCTTCTGGCTGCTTTCTACACCACACTCCCACCATTTCAGGTAACAACCAAGTAAAGTTCTAAATTGACCGAGAATGAGAATAAACCAGTTAAATAGTAACGTACAAAGATTAAACTAACCGTGGCAAATACACATGATTCCTGTATTCGGGAAACTGCAGTGGGAGGATCGTGAGTTGGAGGCCGCCCTGGGCTACATAGGTGAAACAGTAAAGAAGAAGAGGAGGAGGAGGAGGAGGAGGAGGGGGAGGGGGAGGGGGAGGAGGGAGGAGGGGGAGGAGAAGGGGGAGGAGGAGGGGGAGGAGGGGGAGGAGGAAGCGGAGGAGGGGGAGGAGAGGGAGGAGGAGCAGCAACAGCAGCAGCAGTCCCAACACCAAAGTTAACACAAGATTCAGAGCACTCACAATACTCTGAAATATGTAAGATGCCCATCAGTAGTGCCAAGGATAATAGACTAATACCTGTTTTCAAAGTAAAAGTACCTGGTATCAGGGCAGCACAAATTGGACTTGATGGGTTTTTTTAAAAAGAGGACCAAAGTTAGGGGGTTAGGGAAGGGGAGATGTATCTGGGAGAAATTCAGGTTGAATACAATCAAAATGCATTATATAAAAGTCTCAAAGAACCAATACTACTTAAAAACAACAAAATAGAGATAAAAATTTATATTATATATGGGCAAAGTAAAGAGAGAAGACAGAAGGATATACTGGCTAGAACATAACAAATACTACTCAGATTTGGAGACCCACTATCTAGTATTAAGAGGGTCATTCAACATATTTTTAAGAGTTTGATAGCATTTCTTTAATTTGCCAGAAATTATGGAAAACGTTCACTGTATCTTGTTTAGGCATGCATGTGAAATATCAACATCAATGAACACAACAAATTATCTTAGCGACCAGAACACAGGATAATAAAAAGTTAATGATGGCCTTCAGCTGGATAGCATGCAGATAGTGAGGCAGAACATTGATCCCTAATGGGATGTCTCAGTCAGATCCCCCCCCCCCCACACACACTGCCCAGGGCTCAGGGAATCCTATGGAAGAGAAAGCAGAAAGATTTTAAGATCCGAGGGAAAGGAGCTTTCTTTCTAAACACACCAGGACTAACATACTCATGAACTCATACAGACTGAGGCAGCATGTACAAGCCTCACAGGGGAAGTGGACACGAGCCCCCATCACAAACCCAGAAGCTCTCTCATATTGATAATTGCTCACAAATGAAAAATTGTATACCCACTGAGTATACAACCCCCCAAGGGCAAGCCCCATGCCTGCCTTAGCCAACACAAGAAGAACTCAGTGGCATGTTTTGGTGGTTCTTTGTCTCATACTATTTTGTTAGGGCATTCTCTCTCTCTCTCTCTCTCTCTCTCTCTCTCTCTCTCTCTCTCTCTCTCTCTCTCTCTCTGTGTCTCTGTCTCTCTGTCTCTCTGTCTCTCTCATAGGTCCTTTGCATCTATACCATGCTTTTCAGGTTGGTGTTTTTATGGGATTTGTCTGTGTGTGAATGTGTATTTTTCTGCATCTATAGTTTTCTAGTGCTTTTTCTTAGGCTCTTTTTCTCATTTGTTTTGCCTTATTCTGCGCTTTTATATTATTATTATTATTTTGGTTTTTCGAGACAGGGTTTCTCTGTATTGTTTTGGAGGCTGTTGGTCTAGCCCGGCCTCAACTCACAGAGATCTGCCTGCCTCTGCCTCCCGAGTGCTGGGATTAAAGGCGTGCGCCACCACCGCCCGCCTATATTATTCTATTTTTATCTTTTTGATGCCTGTTTCCTAGTGAGAGAAAGCAGCAACTTATGTGAATTTGGGTAGGTGGATGGGACGTGAGAAGATCTGGGAGGAGTTAGGGGAGGGAAAATCATAATCAGAATATATTGTATGAAATCTTTTCATTAAAACATTAGTGATAGCATAAAATAAACCATTTTTTTTTTGGTTTTTCGAGACAGGGTTTCTCTGTGGCTTTGGATGCTGTCCTGGAACTCACTTTGTAGACCAGGCTGGCCTCGAACTCACAGAGATCCGCCTGCCTCTGCCTCCCGAGTGCTGGGATTAAAGGCGTGCGCCACCACCGCCCGGCTAAAATAAACCATTTTAATAAAGGTTTACAAGACCTAATTTCTCAAAAATGTTGGGCATGATTTCTAATGTAAGCAGCAAATACGTATTGATACAATTGTTAATTTAAAAAGCCCTTTTCTGAAGGGAGGAGGAATGGATAGATGGGGCAGAGGGGAGGTAAAAAGTGACTGGGAGTGGATGGAGGGAGGGGAAACTGTGGTAAAGATGTAAAAAAATGAAACAGTTTTACTTGTGAGCTGGTAGAGGTCTAAGAGGCACCTTATAAAAACTTTCAATGCGCACACCCAGACGCAGGGATGTACATCTCAAATATGTGTGAGCAAATCATGGAAGTCCAGCGTCCAGAGCACGAATGACTCCAATGCCTACTTGACTTCAATCTACTAGAGAACTGTCAGAGACAAAGGAGAAGGAATATGAATGTAAGAACTCTAGTGAAAATTAGCTGTAATAGGGACTAAAGCCTATATTACTAGAGGGAGGAAATGTGGTCAAGGGGAGTTTGCAAATGAAGAAAAGTAAAAGTTAGAATGTTGTTATGAGCTGAAATGTGTTCTTACGTAAATATATTCAGAACCTGTAAATGTGACCTTGTTTGGAGTTGAAGTCTCTTTGCAGATGTCATCAGGTTGAGTTCATGTTAGACAGAACAGCCCTCACATCTAAGGCTTTCTTACACAGGCACCCAGAGAGGAGGATGTCGCTGGATGTGGTGCAGATACTGGAGTGACATGGCTTATGATTGGTAACAAGCGCCAGAGGAGGGCGGTTCAGTACTTACTCAGCCTCCTTAAGAGTCTCCAGGAGGACCCTGCCCTGGAATCACCTTGACTTTGAGCTTTGAGTGTCTAGCCCCAGAAGTGGGGGTGATAAACTCCATTTCAAGTCACAAAGTCAGCCCTACCTTTTTACACTAGCCTCAGGAAACACACACAAAGTGATGGGAATGAGCTGGTGGAAATCAGCATCTGGCTGGCAGATCCAACTGCTTTGAGAAACAGGAAAGGGTCCTAAAGATGGCAACATGCTTCAGACAGATACAAAAACTTAATTCGTGACAACAGGCTGTGGGGCAAACATGGGTGTGGAAGAAAGGTCACCACACTTACTTAGTTATCAGAAACAGGCCCTAACAAATCCATCCATGAAGTTCCAATAAATACCAAAGTTGTAACCCTCCTTCTAACAGCCGAGGAGGTAGCACCATCATAACAGACATTTAGTGATTTTACCTCTACAGATTAATTTACTCATTTTAAACCTAAAATACGGTGCACAAAAAATGTGGCGGGGTCAGCAGGGGCCATTTTGGGAAAACAATGAATTGCGTTTGATTGGCAGCCGGAGGAACGAACTCTGGTGGCCGTTGTATATTAGGACTAATTAGCAAGGATGCTCTTGCCAAAGTGCTTAATGCACAACTTTATAGTTCAGGAAGGCAGCACCTCCCACCTGCTCCCCTCTTAGAGCTATACCTGCTGAGGATGTTGGAGGTTGGCTTACTGGGTGGCTTGGCTTTGAGGAGGCAGGCTGTAAGGTGAGAATCTATTTGCCTGAGAAAGTTGTAAATTCCGAGTCTCCAAGACCTCTTTGGAAGAAGCCAGCAAACTCTCCAGACAACAGCACTACCCAGAACAAACAGACATTTGTGCTGAAAGGGAAAGGTGGGCCTTTGCGCCCAGGGTGGTAACAACCGACCACAGGGCGCGCGCTTGCCCCCACCCCATCCCTTGCGCCTAGGGAAGCAAAAAAACGACCACAGGGCATGGCGCGTGCCGCTTGACTCATCAAGATCTCTCATGCCCACAAAATGCAACAAAGACCGCAGGATGCAAGCCGCTGCCTCCGGCTTTGTTACTTAGTGTCCTAAGCAACTATGGGGAGTTGTATGGGTACCAGAGATCATGGAAACCTAGCACACCTATGCCACATGTCAAATGGGGAAGAAGGAGGAGGAGGGGGGAGGAAGGGAGGGGGAGGAGGAGGAGGAGGACAAGGAGAGCTTGCCTTGCCCTTCTAGCAAACAAGGAGCAGTAGTCTTTCCAGAGTGGAAGAGGAGACAGGGTGATAGCTATAGATTTTCACAGAAAATCAAATACACACACACACACACACACACACACACACACACACACACAAGAACAAAGTAAGCTGGGCAGTGGTGGTGCACTCCTTTAATCCCAACACTCAAGAGGCAGAGGCAGACAGACTTCTGTGAGTTCAAGGCCAGCTTGGTCTATAAAGCTAGTTCCAGTGACAGGTTCCAAGACTACACACAGAAACCCTGTCTCGAAAAAACAAAAATAAAAAACAACCCCAACAACAACAACAAAACACCCAAAGTAAATAAAATACATTGGAACATATTAAAGGAGAGGTGATTCATTAAGAAGTTTCTTGTGCTAATGACTGACATCAGGAGTAGCCCTGATGTTGCAATGTCATTATGGAACTGTAGGTATGTACCTTTAATGACTGCTGATATTCTAGAAACAGAGAGATTTTGTTCATGTACAGTAGAAAATGAGCAGGGCAGGGATTGTTTTGAAATATGAAAATATAAGGTAGAAATAGGGTCACTGACTTGGATTATGTGTTAATAAATATTTGTTGATGCATAGATAAACAGATATTTATGGCTGCTAAAGTATGTCAGGTAAAGCATTGTTCAGTTTATTGAAGTTTTCTGTGTAGAAAGTTTTATTTTTCAAGGACCTTTGGAAGATCATTTGAAACCACAAATGTAACAATGAAGCAGGTTTATCTATTGATAGAAAGCCTAAAACACCCGATGATAACTATTACTTGCAGAGCATATCATGAAACACATGAAAAGGACCTAGAGTTTTTGGGATTAAAATCTGGTGATGAGGGAGTTAGCTTGGCTTTTCTGTGCCTTGTTCTGAGGATGCTGGCTGTGAGAAAGGATGAAAAGAGTTGAATCTGTATGCTAGAATAGTGTGTCACAACTGCATAGCAGGTTCCAAGAAAGTGAGCTCCTGCCTGATATCATTAAAGAAGACTTTGCCCTGTTATGATTCCAGCTGTATTCTCTAAATGGGTTTTTTTTGCCCATAAAAACTTGATTTTGTTGAAAATAACAATAATAAGACATGCTGGTGTATTTACCTCCACTGAATAATGAAAATAGCATCATTTTTCCTTCTACTTTGATTTAGAGGAATTTGTTATATTATGCTGGGTATGGTGGGTCCTGCCTGATAACTCAGTATTCAGGAGGCTGAAGCAGGAGAATTTCCATGAGGTTGAGGCTAGCCTAGGCTACATAAGTTCAAAGCTAGCATTTGGGTATAGAGTATAACCTAATCTCAAAAGACCAAGCCAATTTTTAAAATTGTAAGTGGTGTTATTGTTGATATTTGTTCTGAGCTTATTCTGTAATAAATGTAACACAAGTATAAGCACAAGTATAAATATAAACCTTGTAGGTCAAGGTGCAGCCAACGAAGGGAAAAACAATAGGCTTCCCTTTCTATAAAACAATGAATGACAAGTCTTGTGAACTCTGCAAGCCCAAGTATATAACAGTGAGTCAGAAAAGGAGCTTAACTAAATAGTTAGGACACCCAGCACTGTACTCACATGTCACTATATAAGAATGAAATGAGATGAATTATGGCAAGATAAGCATAAGGGAAGGTGCTTCCAAACTAAAACACATGGATTATCCCCGGATTTCATATTAATGAACACTTGGAACAAATTACATTACCGACAACATACCGATTCTACTAGCTTCCTCTACAAAGTCAGTGTATTTAGCTACCAAATTTCAAGTTCTATTTCATGTCTCTTTCGGGGATGAACATAAACACTGTGATCAAAAACAATTTAGAGAGGAAAGGGTTGGTTTATTTGGTTCATCATCGAAGAAAGGAAGCCAAGACAGGAGCTCATAACAGGAACCTAGAGGCAGAAACTGAAACTTCCTCCTACCCCCCTCACCCCTTCACCCCCGCCCACTAGCCCCCTCTCCTCCCCCACCCCCCCCATGAGGGGTAAGGCTTGCTCATTTACTTTGTTTATATAACCCAGGACCACATGTGGGGCAGCTCACAGTGGAGTGGGTCCTTTATTATTTGGGGGGGGGGCTTTTGAGCCAGGGTTTCTCTGAGGGACTTCCCTGGCTGTCCTGGAATTCACTTTGTAGACCAGGCTGGCCTTGAACTCAGTGAGATCCACCTGCGTCTGCCTCCCAAGTGCTGGAATTAAAAGCAAGTGCCACCACCACCAGGTCCAGTGGGTCAATGAGCAACTAAGGAAGTGCTGCACAGACAGCCCCACAGGCCCAACTTGTGGGAGGCCCTTCCTCATCTGAGGTTCCCTCTTCCAGGGTCTACCAAGTTGACTTCTGAAGCTAACTGTGACAATAGCTGCTGGAAATAAAACCATTGACACTCTAGACACATAAATGTAAAGAAAACTTTGATATAAACCAAATATCACAGCACTTGGGAGGCAGAGGCAGGCAGATCTCTGTGAGTTTGAGGCTAGCCTGGTCTATAGAGTGAGTGCCAGGACAGCCAGGGCTACACAGAGAAACTGTGTCAACAAAACAAAGCAAAACAAAAAACAAATATTAAACCTACTTTTTGAGTAATAAATTAGTCAGAACAAATTTAGCCTTAAAGCTAAACTATATATCACCAGATGTGCCACCTATGAACAATTAAGTAGCACTTAGAAGAAATGCTTCACTGGTCTGGTGATAGCTGGTCTTCCACATCATAATTTTATTCAGGCATTAAATTTACACAAATCTTAACTCTACTATGTATTTAAACTTTTACCTAAAGAGGGACAGCTGGTGTTGGCAACTGGTGCCTACCAGGAAAGGAGTCAGTTTTCCTTAGGGGTGTGGCCTCTTGTAGACAGTGAATGGCCTCACATCTACAAATATTGGTAGCACAAATTGGACTCAGTGAGTTATTAAAAAATAAGAGTACTGAGAAGTTGTGAGGGGAGATAGCTGGTAGACATGGGAAGACAGGGAGTGGACATTCACAGTGGGGTGTATCCTCACAGGGAGTGGACATTCATAGTGAGGTACATCCTCACAGGGAGTGGACATTCACAGTGGGGTGCATTGTCACAGGGAGTGGACATTCATAGTGGGGTACATCCTCACAGGGAGTGGCCTAGAAGCATCAACACCTAAGGATTAATACAAGTGCAACAAACAACATTACCCTTTTTAAAAAAAGATTTACCTTTATTTTCAACTATATGTCTAAGTGTCCTTATTTGCACATGCATGAGGGTACCCACAGAGGTGAGAAGTGGGCAATGGATCCAATGGAGCTGAAGTTATAGGAGCTATAAACTTCCTCATGCAGGGTACTAGGAACCAAACTTGGGTCCTTGGTGAGAGTGGTATATGCTCCTAACCACTGAGCTATCTTTTCAGGCCTAAAGATATTCATCCTGACATTGATCTCCTAAGAAAGATAACTAAATTGTTCTCTTGTGCAATAAACATTGTTAGTGTTAGTCAAAATAAATTATTCCGTACCTAAGTGTACATGGGAATAAATCAGTATTAATAGAAAATAGTTGTATAGACTAACTTAGTAACCAAACTTCAATTTTATTGTTAACCCAACACTGTTAGGCAAATAGGGACAGATTAAAAGACTATTAAAAAGATCTCCAGCCAAGAATCCATCAGAAACATACCTCTTGCATGATCTATGCAGTGACACATGTTTAATAGCTGAAATATTCTGCCAATGTAAAGGCAGGATTATGGTTTGATCCTTAATTAGAAACAAATATGAATAGTTACGTGTCATTTCCAAAACTGAAAAAAATAACTGTATGCAGCTTTGACTTAATCCACTATTATTACTCTCCTAAAATGATCAATAGACTCAATAGAACAATCAATTTAGGGATTAAGGAAAATAGAATTACCTCTAAATATTCTTAGACTAACAAGTCAAAGTAATTAGTTGGTCAATTATTGACCCCAAAATATTTTTAAAGTGGACAAAATTACCCTAAGGGAGAAAAATACAATCATAATTTAGATGGTAAAATAGAGTTTACCACCTTTGAGTTGGATCAGGGCATACTAATAGTATAACCTCCATTAATTCTTCGTTTATTCAATGATTATAGACCTACAGGATTTGTGCTCAGAATAGAGTAACCTAGGTCAGTGTCTAATAATAACTTCTCTCACTTGAAAGGACAAGAGAGACATCCAACTAATTGAAGTTACCACAATCTAACAGATGAAATTTGCAAAGCTAATAAGTGAAATTAATAAATTTGCTTCAATCCCTGCCAAAAATCAGTCTTGTTTGGGTTGTAAGCCTGGTAGCTAAGACTTAAAACGTTACTTCCTAGTGTTTGAGTCCTCTTTTTATCATCATGTATTTAAATGCCCTCCTACTAAAAAGTATTTTCAGTTTTTCTCACCAAAGTATTCCTCATTTTAACTAAGTTAAGCGTATTAGGTTATACAACTACTTAAAAATACTAATCGACCACTAGTTGTTTTATCCCTACAGTAGTAGAGAGTTGGTAAATAGTAGGTTCCCCTCCCCCCATAATAAGTTTCTCTGCTAGCGAAGTAAGACAGGTCAAGTCAAATTAAAATACAGCAACAGGTATATTGAGAGCATCTCCTGGGTGGGTCCTCCCATCTCAGGGGACTCACTCCTGCAAATGAAAGCAGGGATATTTTATGTTTTGTAGT